AACAACAACAGAGTCTTCGCGTATTCTTACTTGCGGAAGATATTCTATAGCTATCTATTTTAACTATCTGTCTTGTTTGCGCAAAACAGGCACGTAGACAAATGAGAAAACTAGATCTACACGAATAATAATAATCAGAGCACTTCAATAGGCGCACATACTACAGACCTATGTATATTTATCTGTGTCTCACAAATCCGGCGAATCCAGTGATCGACAACATGTTATTGTATGATATAGGACAAGGCAACCCTTGCAACTGATCAGTCTAATGCAAGATATCGAACACATATCTGTTTGTTGATTAGTATGATTACACATATTTGTGCGATAACAAGGACATTTCTATAACATACAAGTTCTTTGACAAAGAATTTATTTTCGAACTATCACAGCCGTTGAAGATAAAGTGAAGGCTTGTAATAATATTTATGAAATGCTTGTCAGATTGAACAAACATCAACAAATCATCGATTGAACTTTTCTCTCAGCTTTTATTGAATCCATTCAAATGTTGCCTTTGTGAGCGCTTTATCAGTAATATTAGTTCTATCGTATGAGAGCGGATTTACTGATGAATAAATATTTAATATTTAACAAAGCAAAACAATACGAAGTTTTCAAGTGAGATTTACATTATTTCATATTATTAACTTGATTTCCTCAAGCAATTGTATTCTTTCTAATGAGATTCTCGAGAGAAAAAAAGTAGACTAGATTCTTAAAGGATAGGATTCTCTTTTTACTGATAATCCATCATCTGGAGAAGAATACAAACCCATTGATAAGTGCACATAAATTTCCTCACAAGTCATTCAAGGTTTCAGCTTAATAACAGTCGTTTGAGCCATATCATACGTCAAATATCGATCAAAAGAAAAAGACTCATACGATTTGTTCTGAAGAGCACATCTGTCAGCAAACAGCACATTTGCCGACGAAGAAGAACAACCTTGAACTTCATCTGTCAAAAGATATCATTGTGTTGCTTGTTTCTCAGATTGGATTGAACATAGCAATGATTTACATTTGAGGTTTCATTCCGATTCGATAAACAAGTTTCTTTTTTGGCGAAAGATGTGATCCCACTCGTGCGCTTGTAGACAAATGTGAGTCGATGTCGTTATTAGAGCATGCTTTGCTCTTTAGAAAATTCCATCACAACCGGCGGATTATATTAGCTAGAATAGTTTCTAGAGTGTCGCTCACAGTTCAAGGCAAAGAGAAAAACATTAGTTACGCCATTTACGAAACGGATTTCAAAAGAAAATGATCGTCTACGTGACGAGTGGGTCGCGTGGGTACAAAATCTAGTTCATTTCGCGAGATGTTTAGATCGAATGTCGGAATACATTTGAATTTCGAACGGATACATATCGCATGCGTTGTCGATTTGACGATTGAATAGGAAATAGATGTTGAAAAGAGCTCGATCGGCGTTGAACAGCATGTTATAATCATGTTTGAGTACAACGGGTTTCGACGTCCATATATTCACACACGATCGCAACGAGTTATCGGCGTTTCTATTAATTAATGGAATAGATATACATAGGCGAAAACATCGAAAATGACTATTCTGTTTTCTCATCATTATGGAATAGTATTTATGTACAAGAGCCTCGTCAAATAGAGATCACATCCGAATAGAACAAGAAAACAGGAAGTGTGACTTTTGCATTCAAACTGTAAACAAGACATTTGTCTGCAATGATAAGTGTTTGTAGATTATTTTAAATTAGCGAGTAATCGATGGTAATTGATAGCGAGATTATCGAGAGAGATATTATATCACTTCAAGATAAAAATTGTCTTATGAATAATTGAAAAGTTCGTCCGAATTTATGGAGAAAACTCTTTTCCAGGCAAATGATTTCCAGATGTCACATCGTTCCACCATATACAGTAGAAATAGACTAAATAAATCATCTCTTACTTGATTACTTGCCTGTTGCAAAGAGGAAAAAACGCAACAGAAATCCTTTTTTCGCTTCGTAATGAAATCATAGGCATAAAAGCTTCAATGGCCAGTACTTTTGTTGTAGATATTTCAATCGTCAGATCAATTAGTCGTCGCGAGAGAAAAACAAGACCCGACGGTGCCCAGTTCCTATCGGCGACATCAAAGTCTAAATTACTTACTAAATGTAGCATAGAAATGACATTGTGTTATTTTGTTTCTCCTTGATTACTGCTTATGTTTCGTAATTCGTCAGTTCTAGAAAGGGTTTATTTGAGAATAAATAAACGTAGAAGCCTTGACAAGTCAAGAAAATCAAGGGTAACGAAAATACGTTAGCCAGTCATTCAAATCCGTTCTGAAGGTTGTTCTCAGTCTACTAGCAAAATCTCGATATTTCATGGTAGGAAATCCGCAATACTTCCGCAGATATCATCGTTATCTAACCGATGAAACATACATTAGACCATCGAGGTATTCTCATTGTGCGTAATAATAGATAATATACAGAAAAAGAGAGTTCACGCATGCATAAAATATGCATTATCGAATCCTAAGAAAATATCCTTTTTAATCTAAATAATATCAATAATTGAAATCCCAGGATGACATATGACGACAACTGATTGTCCATTGCTGCCCGATTACACATTTCTTTGGCACACATACAAAACCTTCCGGTACTAAAGTTGGCACCAGTTGAATGTCGATAACAAACATCGATTTTCGATAACCGATACAGAAAATAATCATTTAAGCAACCACGCCGAACGAATGTCTCATTGGTTGATGTTCCGTCGAAGTGAAAAAACTTGACACAGTAATCAGCACATTCAACCGTACGATTGGCACGATGCAATTTAAATGGATCACCACAGTAATCATCCACACGGGAATCACATTGATAGCAAACAAACTTTGCCATACTACATGTTTCTTTGGCGACGACAACAAGTATTGTACGTAATTGATGAATTAACAGCGATAGATAAACACTAGACAACTGTTTGAATAGACAAAAAGAAAACATAGAAAAAACGAAGAATATGTCTGAATAGAAACAAAACATCTAATCTATCATTCTGATGACATATTCATACAATGAAGATTAACTTTCATTGTACGGAGATGTATCTCATCTTACTACTTGCTTGTCTTTTGACCGTCAGAACACGTTAGATGATTAATAGGAAGAGTAGGCAATACTTACAACTTTCATTATCAACCATTCGGTATCACGTCGAATTAATATAAATGATCAAATCAATTAACGCATAACGGTCGGTGAATATCTAGAATAAAGCGAAACTGATCATTAAATCGAGAATCGTTCTTCGCTAACAAAGGTGACATTAATCAATATTCGACATGGGCGTTATATTAGATATGAAAGTGGTTGTTCGGGTGCCATCGACAAAGACTAGATGAGACCAACGTCAACAACATTCTTGCTAGTCTGACTTTGGTTAAGACACTAGCTTCTGTTTGCTATTCCCTCTTGTTCTTTTCTTTTTTTTTTTATTCGCTTTGTCATCATCGACACAACAACAAATTGGGGCTAATGCATTGCGCTCCGCTTTCTTTTTCGCTTTCTCTATCTATGTATCCTATCCTGCTCTCTATCTTATTATATAGACTTTGTCAGCAGAAATGAGCTGGGCTACACAAAATGCTAAGATGAGATTCTGTCGATTCAATTTGTTGTTTGATGTCAAAGATGTCCACGAACACTGCAGTTAAGTGACAAGATTGCTGTATAAAATCATTTATTCAATCATCAATAAATTCCGTGTCTAACTAATCCTAGCACACACAGTCATTCTCCTTTGGTTTTTCCTAGCCAGAGCGTTCCTTCAGAGAAATCGCTTCTACCATCTGCATGATTGTGGTTGCCATCAAATCTACGAAATCATGTAACGGAAGAAATATCCGCACTTAATCATTGATTCGTACTGCAAACACGTTTCTTTTTCACACTTTAGAACTCGCCGAATATTTGTAAAACGAGAAGAAAACTCAACTAATTGTTCTTACACATCTTTGTTTTGATTAAGATAGATAGTAGGTCGGATATCCCCTTTCATCTCTTCACTTTTTATGTTATATTAGACGTGTTTCCTTTCCATTAGTTTACATTTTCTCTTCTTCTCTTTTACTCCTCGCTTTTCACTCATGACTTACCGTTACGTGTCGCAATGAATAAATCGCTAAAAAAGTCGCCCGCCTTCTCTGCCAAACAGTCTCTTTTTTGTTCCCTTTACCCTATCTGTCTGTTTCTCCCTCTCGTTCTTTTTCTCACCATTTTTCTCGCTGTTTCATTGTTATTCCTTCTGAAGCCAAGCAAGCAAAATGATTTTGTTGCCTGCACATTATCAAGGAAGTAATAATGGGCAGGAAAAAAAAACTCAAGAAGAATGTAATGCGTTAAAGAGACTGTTGACACATAGTTGTCGATATTATCATAACCGTCTATTTCTTTTTTTTCTGGTCAGATAAAAAACGATATTATGATAGCAGATACATAAGTTAACAACTCTGGGAACAAAATGCGAGCTTTCTGACAGTATATTTGTAAACTGTCATACGAAAAGTATAATTAGAATTGATCCAATGATTTATGATTTGACAAAATCTGATAGTAACATTTCGACGAACAGATTAATGACTTAAGTCTAATCGATCTCGTCATTTTCGAGTAGTTGCTCGGGCGCATAATGCGATGAGGTTTTATTGAAAACAATAATAGTTGCTCGACTTTTGCTGGCAGCTTTGGTAAATAAACAAGAGAGTTCGGTCATTAATCACGATGATGACAGAAAATTTCCATGATCAAGCTGATCGTAAATTTTGATCGATTTCTTTCGAAGACGAACTGGAAAAGCGTGTAGATATGCTAATTTTCTTCTCTTTTCATCGAGCGGATGTGGATGTCTAGTGTGTGGACTACCCAATCGAGAATAGATGCACTTCGTAAGTTACAGTTTCCGGTAGAATTCTGATTAATATAATTGAAATCGACGTACCAGTTCATCTATGTCTTTTTCCTCTTCGCGTAAATGAGTTCTATGTCATGCATGGTCAAAAAATATTTTATTTTTCGATAAAGTCACATATTTCCAAAGGGAAAAATTAATAAAAATGGATTTTATATGTTACAAGTTCAGCGTACGGTATAGTAAGTGTAGATGTATTGTTTAAATATTGGTGAACATGACGTAGAGATAGAGAAGTTTGTTCGATGGATTGAATCCGATTGGATAGGAAGAAATCAGTGAATGTTGGCTAAAAGGAAAGATCGACAAGTGGAAAAGTTCTCATTTCTATGTCAACTCACTTGTTTAAAATGAAACAGTTGATCGTAATTATCATCACAATCGTAGGCGAACCTTCGAAGGATCAATGCAAAGCACTTTGTTGAATTCGACTTCATATTGTTCAATGCACGAATATTAACTAAATGATAGTCACTAGGAAGAAGTGATGGTTTCGCAAACAACTGATAGCCATCTTGCACCGCTCTCGGTATGAACGACTGGAGAATATGCATTGGATAGAGAAGTTTGATAGATAAATGATGTGCCTGAAGCGTTGGATAGCCTGTCAACGATGTTTGATCGACAGTCTAAATTTAATTTCAGAAACTCTTTATTTCTGACATATATTGCAAATTACTGTGTGGCGTCGTTCGAATAGAAGCTTAAATGTGCTGATTATTTCGCGATTATCCATCACACCTTGACCTAATCCACGGCCATCGTCTTGAGTTAAGCGTCGATCAAGAAAAATGTCCATAACACCTAGAGTAGCAGCAAGGTTGAAAAGAATTGCCTGCTAACGGCTTCTTAAGAGAATTAACATCAACGGTTCGTTTCCTGACAATTCCCCCATCGAGCGTAGCCACAAGAAAAATGTGCGCGCACATCAACTTACATATATCTCACTGCGCCGGGATGAAGTCTGGGAAATTGATGAATATCGTGAATAATGTGTTTTTTTGTCAGTTAGGAAACAAAAGAGCAATTTCTATTTCGACCGATCGCTGATGTCGACAGAAAGATAATGCATTCTTACCTGGTTTTAAACATGCAACACCTGATGGTTGACCAGCAAGGACAGTAAATCGCATGGAATCATCTTCGATGTAAGCCATGGTTGGCATGGGATACACATTACCTTGTAGGGGTAATTTGTCATACGTTTTTCTGCGAATCATCTACTTGGCAAAAGATTTCGATATAGGTGGAAAATATAAAGATCATTACTTGAAAGCCATTCAGATCTGTAAAGAATTCCGCACCATTTTTAATACCAGTTGATAATCGTACGCCCAGTTCGATATCTTTATTCATGGTTAAATGGGTCAACACATCAAGTTCGATTGTCTGGTCATTTGCGTCTAAAATAGAAGTGCTTCGATACTCTTGATCAGCGAATGCAGCTTTTAACTAACCGTTCGTATCCGTTAAACGATATTGTAAACTGTAGAGATCATTGATAAGATCGATTCGAGTTACTAGTAAACCATGTTGAACGCGGATAAGATGAAAATTATTCATTGGTATTTCTTGAGCATTTCCATTCGGTATAAACAAATAAGCACCGCTATGATGATCCGATTCTTTCGTTGTGCCGTACTGAATCATATTCATATGAAAACGCAGGTTTTCATCGGAGAGCTTGGAGTGAAGGTTGAGTATAGCACCAGTTTTTGAGAAAGTCACATCTAGAACACGATTCTCCATCTGAATCAGTTTTGTGTCTATTATTTCGATCGGAAAGGGCCTACAAAAATCATATATTTTTTCTATAGCTGAGACAAACATCAATCACTGACGCTGATTGGTTCTTTGGACTATACTGTTCGTTGATATACTGCAGCTTGACTAATTGGCATGACTGTTCATTGGTCGTACTACTATGAATTGTATAGTCTTTGATCGAATATGGTTCAACGTTCACAAGGATGAACAACTAGGAAACATAAATGTCTACAAGTATGGAACATTTGATCTGAAATCATCTCACTTCATATTGGTGATGTTCCATCGTATTCGATGTTTTACTCGACCATTTCGGTCCGATCTGGCATGTTTTAACCGATTTTTCACTGCTTGTGATGTGTACATGGTAAACATTCGAAAGAATTTGAATAATTTCCGATCGTTTCTGATCAGTTGGATTGTAGACATAAACTACTCGATGATTTTGTTGGTTATTGTCAAATACTAATAACTGTTTGGCTGGCAACAGATCATATGAAGGAAAGACTTCATTCGAAGCTAAAACTTGCTGCCGAAAGAAATATTCATTTGGAAATAGAAGAAATGCCGCAGATTGTTCGATAATATTTTGTGTCATGTGAATACTTGACAACAATCTAGAGAATAGAACCGTCAACTAAACTAATGTTTCATTCGTCAACTCACTTTCTTCCATAATCATTGACCACGTGACTTTTCGCAGTGCCTGTAATACCATCATGATGTTGGAATAGGCCGAGATTTCGTCGCGTTTGAGTTAACATTGAGAATAATTCTTCGGTTGGAAAGTAATTCAGAAGTTTTCGTCCGAACATTTCCACACATGCAACGGAGAAGAGTATCTCTGAAGCTCTAGAAACAGCGAAATATTGGCTCAAACAGATTTACAAGTCTTAGACCTCATACCGTAGATACGATTCAACAATTCGATCCATTCGCTTGAAAAATGCTCGCGATGTGTAATATCCACTCCAATAATTGTCGGTTCGATCCGCATATGTAAAGAAATCTCCGACATAGCTCGGAAATTCCTCACGAGATTTCATTTTTGTCATTTGATCGAAATAATCATTTAGTGTGCCATATTGAATCTAACAATCGACTAGACTTCGTACAATAAGAAGCAAATCTTACCTGGACATTCCAATCAGTGCGTTGATTCATATATGCAAATAATTTGTCATAATTATCGAATTGCAGCCTTGCTTCATTAGTTGTTTGATAACGAAAATCATCGCCTAGTTGGATAAACAAAACATTTGTACGATATAATTGAGCTTTCTTTCGATATTGATCTAATAATAACTGTGATCTGCAAGAGAAACAATGATTCTCTCAGTGAGCACTAAACATATTCCGAATTACCGTTCCGGAAGATTTTCTTCATTGATTGTGACAGGATCGATTCCCCATGAACAACTGATATATGAATCGGTTCCTCGTTTGAAATCAAACTGACAGCATATTTTCGGGTCAGGTCCACATGTATAAGGAATATCATAAGCATAAAATGGCAACACATGCGTGAATATTCGTGTAGAACTCGTTCGATCTATAACAATGAAAAAAAAAGACATATTCAGCTTGATTTTTTTTGACAAGGTTTGAGCTACCCCATGGTTGCTGCCAAAGAAATTCCAATTGCTTCTCTCTGGCTAACTCTTTTTTTATATGATAATGAACCCTAATAGCATTCAGTTTGTGTAGAGCCAAATAAGTGAAAACCAGGAAGAATTTACCTTTGAATAGCTAAATTTCGTATTCCGGAGCGTTGAAGTAAATACGCCATCGTTGGCGAGTAGCCAAAGGGGTCATTTGCCCAGCTGTTTTCAATCGAAATGTTTCCTAAACAAATCACCATATGTTAACCAAGGACTCAGACGGAAAAGATATTTTTAAACCGATATTTTGTTCGATAAATTGATGTCCTTCGATTAGCTGATCAAGCATAGCAAAATAATGTGTATTTGCTTCATCGTTCATCACCTATCAGACGAAGAAAAGATTCTTGAACATCTCGTCTAGAATTGCTTACCCAGCCTCCTGTAACAATCTCTAATCGCTTACTATGTAAAGCTTTCTTCAATAATTCGCGTTGATCGCTGGTAGCTTGATCCCACCATAAACTTAAAAACGACATTTCAGCCCAAACAAACCGATAATTAGCATTTTTCTCCAGCATTGTTACAATTGTTGTCAGAATACGTTTCGTTACATGCTTAAAATATTGCTCGAAGGTATTCAGCCAACCTATCATAACTTAATAGTTAAAAACAAAGATACGACTTGCATTTCACCTGGATCACAATGCGAATGAGGCATGACAATGATTTTCAATTTGTTAGTTGCTGTCCATTGTGATGTATTGTACTGAATGTCGAAACCCTGCGTCCATACACCACCATTTTGATTATCGAATGGAAGACGTTCGTACAATTGACGAATCTGAAGCATCGATTCCTTCAAGAATTAAAATTTGAAGTAAAGTCTTACATTGAATGTCGTATTCATCGGAGACGAAATTCGCCAGAAGCATTTCGGCAAGGAGGAACTACTCGATGTGCTATTTTTAATCGAATGACGAGTAGATTGTGAACTTTGCTTTTTTTCTTTCAGAATCTTATCGAGATTTCGAATGGAATCTTCGAGAGAATCAAGCTGTTCGTTCATTTGTTGTTCTCTTGTTTTCTACAGATCAAAATTAACATATCATGTGATTGATTTGAATTGAATCGATCATACTTGTCGATGATCTCTTTCGGTACTAATGGAGTCAAGCATGAAGTATAACATAACTACAGTGATGAGAAAGAAAGCAAGAACAAACACGGGAATACACCATCGACGGCTCATCTACAAGAAAAATTCAGTCGATGAATTTTGTTGTGCACAACACTTTCAAATCTTCCTGATAATAATGTCAGTCGAAATACTTGCGTAACATGTATTCTGACAAACAAACGTATCCTTTGTGTATCAATATTTATAGAATTGTAATTAGTAAGAGCGATTCTACAAGAATTTTACATGCGACTAGAAAACCGTGATAAGTAATGAATGAAGTTAGTGCATTTCGTAGGTTCTACAAGAATGGATCTTTGAGTCTGATTGAAGATCTAGAGTGCGTATTTGTCACGTCGTGCTCTGAATTAGTACAATGGGTGTACATGATTGAATTTTATTTTGTACCGAAAGTATCGCGCATACAATGGCACATAAAGACAACAAAAAAGAAGGAGGTGTCGATTAGTATATAGCACATATTAGTATTGTTAGTAAATTGAGAAAAACTGAGAGATTCAAAGAAGAATACGAAAAAAAAAAACAAAAGATTTGTTTGATCTTGGATTTGTTTGTATGATCAATATGTCACAGATATTGCTAAGAGAGAGAGAGAGAGAGAGAGAGAGACAAAGTAATTTCATGTCAGGTTCGTTAAAGATCACTGTTAGAGATAAAGTCCATTGATTAGATAATCTTCGTCAATTGAGTAGTTTTTGAACTTCATGGCGTGTCTTCGTGTTCGACGACAATTCAAAAAGAGTAAAACGAATAATATTATTGTAGAGACAAGACCAAAAACAAGAAATATGATAACGGATGTTTCACGGAAAAACGAGCTTTTTCGCGGAACATTGCTGGCAGCTAGAAAAGAAATAAATCATTATGGATTGTCGATGAGTAATAAACAAATAATCAATCAAAACTGACAGCAGCATTTCTCAAGATCGAATAACATTATTGGACTAGATGCTCATGGAATCTGATATTTTGTCAATTAAAACGTGTTCATTCGGAGTGAGGGACGCTGTGAATTTCATGGAAAGAACACTTACAAGTACTCGTTGTTGTTACAGATTCCTGCTTTGTCTGGACAGAATTGGTTTTCAAGGTCATGACTGTGTAATCTTGATGTGAGGCTAATACACAACTACCGTTGCAAGCGAATAGATAACATTTATAGCCATTCTAAAAAGAAATTGATTGGATCAGTAAGACGAGGCTCTCCGACGAACTTACATGAGTTGGTTGTTCGCTCAGCATAGCTAAATCACATGATTTTTCGGCACAGCAATTCGACATACACTCATCCTTGACCGTAACTCCCATCGATAATTTTCGTTTATCGACGAGGGTATATCGTATCATTCGAGCACCGCTGGTTAACTCTTTTACCTTAACCAGCTGTTCGGATTTGATGTCATATTTGTCAGTGCATACAGATGAATCAGACATATCATGTTTATTGTTTGTTGTTGGTTTGGTGACTTTATCCGCTGAAGACGTTATTCGAGTAGTAACATCATCTGCGCTCGCGTCTTCATTATCGAATACATTGTCGGGAAGAACTTTTTTTCGTGACGGATGAGTTTTTGTACGTCGGTGCGAAGAAGAATAGTATTGATCGTCGCCGTCATCGTTTGTATTTGTTTCTTCTTGATCAACCGATGGTTTTCCACGATGCTGGTATTGATTAAATCGTTCTTTGAGAAGGTCGGATAATTCGTAATTATCATCGTCATCTTCATCCTCATGACGACGTAGCTCAATCGGTGAGATAAGCAAAAGTAGAACTAAAATGGCGATCTTCATCTACAAAAACAAAAACGCAGTAACATCTGTTATTTGTCATAGAAAAGAGATAAACATCTGCCTGGAATTTGTACTATAATACTTCTGATTACCACAAGGGTAGTGCTTTTTTACACAGGATAAGAATGCTATGATTATATCTTCAATCTTTTCTTCTTTCTCACTTCTTGTTGTAAAGCGATTGGAATCAAATTCGATTTCTGTACAATCTCGCGCATTTTCAATCGAATATCGTTTGTTGTTGGTTTGACCGATTGTGATGACGAGGCCATTGCCGACGGCTTTCTCCAGACAAACTTATTCAGCTCGCTCTTTCGTCGAACAATTGTCTTCCGCTCTTGAATTTTTTCTTTCAAATCATCCAAAGTTTCACATTCTGGCGCATAACAAACATGTAAATTCGATCCCATAAAGTTCAGATCATCCAATCGACATTTCGCTACACGTGCATGCGAAATCTGTACATATTTAATCAACATTGTATCCAAAAATTGTTCGCCTTCCTGGGGATCCTTTCGTTCATAACCGTCTAATTTCCAATACTGTTCAATAGCTCCATATTGACTAAAATGTGGTACTAATTGTTCACCAGCACCAGCAATCGATGGAATATTTTGTACGAGAAGATACTTCGATTCCTGTGCAATAGTGTACACTTTCACTGCACGTGGTTTTTTCCCGTCGCGATACGGTGGACGTGTCATGCAAACGTCACCACGAATGTGATGATCATGTGCTTGTAACATCTGAAGCAGAAAACAAAGGACTAGCTGTTTCGATCTGTGGGCATAGCGAAATAAATCATTATAGAAAGATAATAAAGAAATATACATATAAAAAATAAAACGAGAATATAAATGTTTATAAATAATCGGGAAGCACAAAGCAGGTGAAAGCATATTCGTTAATGGTGTTGACTAGAAAAATAGAACATCTTGATTAGTTTTGTGACGAGAATGAACAATCAGCACCATAGGGTTTTTGAGCGAGAATGAGGTTATCAAGCATGGAAGTATGCAAATGCAGGTTGATATGTTGATAGAAAAAAAATGAAAAGTTAGTTTTTAGTTTCTTGTTTAGCTGAAAGACGTTTTTTACGCACTAAAATGAGAAAAATAAATAGAGCAGAGTCGTGTTTCTTTTTCGTATTTTGGATTCTTACAAGCATCAAGATTTTGCTTAAGTTTTTCGGTGACACGGATTCGTGGTCCAAGCGTATCGAAGTGTAAATTCAAGCGAAGAATTGTGTTATTCTGTGCGATAGCATCCGCGACTTCCATTTCAACTCGATTGCCGAGAATTTGCGAACGCTTAAAACAGAAGAAGAAAAGCGTGGCGTTTAGAAAACACATCTATATGAAATGCTAAAGGTGTGTATAGACTATAAAATATAAGGTGTGAGTATGAAGGGCTGAGGAAAATATAGTTACAGTTAACTTGCTTCACAACGAAGAGATTATACATTCGTTGGCTGAAAAAATGCAAATAGAATTGAAAACAAAAGTAAATTGAATTGAAAACACGTCGCTCAGAATGCTCGTCTTTTCTATTGTTTACAGAACCTTTGCATAGAGCAATTCGACATCTGATTGACATTAATCAGTCGATTAGAGTATCTCAAGTATCGAATGATTTGTTTGTTTTTCAAACATTCCGACTAATTCGAAACGAATGTTCGGTAAATAAATAAATAAATAAACATGAAGACTTTACTTGATTTGATAGACGTAATTCGATTACTGTCTGGTTTTTTAATGTACTTCGGACGATTTCAGTAATGATTGGACCTGTTAAACGATTAGATTCCGCATTGACTGTTTTCAACGTTGAATTTGCTTCGATGAGCTCAGCAAGAGTCTAAAGTAAACAATACATTTCCATTTGTGATAGAAAATTCTTCTTTCTTACTCGACCAGCAATATCGGTCATGCCGACATTGGCCATTTCAAGAACCTCAACGTGCGTATTCTCTTTCAATGCGTTCAGTAGATCTTTTAGTACATCAGCTTTCACATCGCGAATATTGTTTATGTTAATACGGGTTAGGTCCTTATCATTAGCAGATGCTTTTTTGATACAATCTTCAACATCAGTTGTATTATCGGGTTCCGGAGGAACGATTCGTAGTGCTTCAGCCTTCGCTGCAGCTAAAACAAACTTAAACATTTGAAACAATCTTGTTCTTGGACGTTGTCAAATCGCATACCATTCCAGCCGCCGGAATTAACCGATGAAACCTTATCCATAACAGCCGCATGATATTGAACTTGATTGATCAAACCAGTAAAACCCAAAATAGCTGTAGAAGGAAGAAAAACGTTAAACCTAGTTACAAATTCACTAGTACAAATGACAACAAACCAGCAAGTTCGACGATCTCTGTTTCACTAGCATTTGTTAACACATCGTCCCATTCGGTTGGCGCGAGAAACTCATCATCCTCGGTCGTTTGTTTAACAACTGCAGGCGGCTCCCAAACTTTGCCTTTTTTTTCGCCAGGTACATAAGGTTTTTGTTCTTCCCAATCCTTTTCATTTTGTCCTTGTTCGGTGAGAAACGTCAAGAGTTTATTGCGATCATAGGGACCTGTTGCACTTTTTTTTGTTTGCGACTTGCAACGGTCACTCGCTGGTAAATATGTATTCTTAACACGACGGAGAAAAACAAGTAGAGTAGTAAGAAAACGAAACTCAACACTCATACCTCAGGATCGACAAAGTCATTAATTTTATCGAGTTCCTCCTCAGTAAGTCCGTCTAAAAGTGAATCCAAATCTTCTATAGTAAAATTTTCATTTGAACTGTTCGCCGTTGTCATTGTGTAGGTTGTTAATTAATGTAGCAAAATAATAATAACAATAACGTAACGTGATAGATTGAAGGAAAGGAAAGGACACAAAAATATATATAAGATGAATAATGAGAACCGGCCAATGAGCATCTCGATGATAGATGGAGTTAGAAGGAAAAAAAAGAACAAAATGTATTGGATACAGTAAAGAAACCAGTCTGAACGAAATTTTTTACGGTTTATGTACATTTAGGTTGACAAGATGTCGATTGTTGTGGATTTAGACGATCCGGTAATTGAATTGAATACAAATGATATTAAAAACGCAGTCTGATTCTCATTTAGAACAATATTTCACAAATATTCGATCTTGAGAAAGATTGGCTTGTTGGCCGAAAGATTCTATCCGAGAATTATTTCAATTTCTACAATCATATTTTCGATTTTAATGAAAATGCCACCAAAGAAACTGATCACGACACTGTATGCCAATTTTTCTATAGATAAAACGCACAATGCAATATAAAGACAATGAAATAATTGAAAATACTATTCTATTTAGAGCGTTCATTCACGTTCACAACAAGTTGAGCGTATCCATGCTATTAGTCAACAATTAATCGACAAACCCAACCGAACATGTTTATCAGATATTCAGAACACAACAGATCTCGTACGCCAAAGCACCCTTTAATCTTTCACTTGCTAATCCATTCATTATTGTAGTGGAAGCGAGATCAAAACAAGATGTTATGTCGAATCATTCCATCACAGAATACTCTTTTCGAATTGACACAGAATAAACCAGATCACAATCGATGGATATTGACTTTCCAAGAGAATGACGAAGTAAGCAACAATAAACTGAACAAGTAATAGAAGGATCGTGTCTTTTTATAGAAGATGTCCATTGATGATGATGATGATGATGATGACGGATTTCAATCTGCTTCATCATCGCTTGCGGAAGATAATTCGCAACTTGCTCTGGTTGCAATCGATCACGCGGATCTTTGGTCTCGAGCTTTCAGTCAGGCAGAAAATAAATATTTTACATGGGAACAACGTGGAAGGTAAAAGCTCATCAATTCTCTTGCAGTTCTTCATGTTCAATCGACTGTTCTAGTTACATTTATGACCGAACACGTCCGTATTTATTCGATCTTCGCGTCAACGATCGGCCATTTCAACATTTATGTTTACTGCTTCTTTTCCAAAAACCATCCCCGTCTTTATCTTATTCACTTGATATCAATTATCATCCGATCGCAATTGATGAATACCTTCGTGATCTCTGCTATATGCTAATGGGAATCTCTTCTCAAACGTATGAATGGAATGAAGTAATTACTCATCCTGACATTCAATTCTTTTCATTCTTATGTTTTGTTCATTAGATTCATCAAACATTCGAACTAAAACCCAATGTTTGTGTACTTGGTTATACTCAGATAACTATCGAACGATTCTCTGAGAAATACATTCAATCAGGAAATCGTTTCTATTCCATTAAAGAATACGTTAGTCGATCGTCATCAAAGTCCGATACAGACAATGAGTTTTGTCAAGCTTTACGATGTTATTTACGTTATGTTCAACAAGCCATTGCTATGCATGGTTCTGTCAAAGATTCCCTAGTGAAATTCGCTGCCCAACTAGAACCAATACTCTGTAGCCTCGAGTAAGTTTCATCAAAACGAGCTTCAATGAATTCTTTCATCTCAATTTTAGCCTTCCTCTTTCATTAATATCGACTACCAATGAACTAGAACAAACCATTCGAACATCTTCGCCTCACACTTCGACTGCGTTCGTGAAATTATCTTCTATTCTTCATACTCTTCTCAACCATAACTATCATAATATCGATGCAAATTATTTTCTTTTACTTATCCATTTTGTCACATATACACTACGACCCTTATTATCTTTCCTAACAAATCTTATCATTCATTCGAATTATCTTGATCGTTACAATGAGTATCCGATTCTATTCAACCATAATCGCTTAACTGGCCTGAAAACGACCGATTTTTGGACGAAAACATTCACGATACGTTATTTACATGCAAACAATACTGATACCATCTTTCATCAAATTCTACCTATTGAATATCTCCAACAAGTTGTGAATATCACACGTTCACTGCTATTGATTAAACTATGCGATAAAAACCATCCATTATGTTTTCTAACGACGACCATAAAACCAGAATTGAAATTTGTTCATATGAATTTTGTGGATAACACATATCGAGATCAGATCTATAAATATCAAGAGGAAATGTCGAACAATATCCGCGAATACGAAGAAGCACAGTACGAACAATTTTCGTTTGTATAGAAGATGCACACTTGGCTTTTTAGGAAACAGAAACGATTGGAAATCGAACAAGCGAAAGTACAAGAACGAATGGAAATGTATGCTCGGCAGGATCAACAACGGGCGGAAAGAAAAAGTTCGCTTTTTAGTCTACCACCTCTTGAGCTTCCTTCCTATTTTTCGAACAGGAATCGCTGATGATGAAAGGCAACGCTCACTCAGAGATAGACAACTGCTTCGCGATGAATGGCAAGAGCAAGTTGATCGGAAACAAAAACAGGTGAGTCTGATCTTCGAAGAGATCTGAAGTGGTTCTCATGCTTTGATTAGATAAAAGAGGAAAAACTCAATGAACGACTTACTGATGCAGAACTTAATAAAGTAACATCGACAAGAACAATCATTGGTACTCGCCTCGCTACACCATATACAAATTTAGTAGAGAGTGTTCGGTGAGAAACGATCTTACTGTTTCTTTTCACATTCTTCCATTATCAATCGTCTCTAGAAATGAAATTATTGCTGAATACGATGCGAAAATGCGTGATGCAACTGAACGGGAAGAACAATTCCGTCAACGAATTCAGGCTAACAATGTCACTGAGACACCTAAAGACGTCCCACCCTCAATTTCATCAGTTTCTTCTGCTTCTACACCCAGTTTTCATACTCCAGCAATCGATCAATCACCCACCCTCGTTGCCGATACGGACCACGAGCCAATGGATATGTCTCCTCCGTCAACTATCGAACATATGGATACAACTAATTCCATGTCTATAACACCAATCGAAAAAACTGAAGTGGCTAATGCATCAACTGAGCGAGCATTTGTTCGACATACCGCGAACGAAGAAACAATACAAGCACAGTATCGCCCGGGTATTAAACTTGTTCCAAGTAATGTACTGAAATCGACGATTCAAAATTATATGATTGATCATAATTCACTGGATGAAGGTCAAGGTGAGTGATAGGGAACCATCTTCTCAGCCTTGCATTTTTTTAATTCAGAAGAAGAAGCACTGCCGGAGAAAGTGTATGACTGGGACTCGATTATTGCGAACGGACCTCAATTTAAATACGATGATACATTCGGTGTGTATTTGTTCTTCGAAAGAAATCAGTGGAGTTTCGTATGTCTTCGCTTCTAGATTTTCATATTCAGGAAAAGAATGTTTCATTTGCAAAATCTAATTTGACGACATCTTGGTTCGATTATGATATGTCTCCATTGCGTGTTTGGTTGAAACATTCGATATCTCCATTAATTTACGTTCAGTACGTTACAACTAGTCGACTTCGTCATATATTCTTTTGCTTTAGATCTCAGTTGGTCAATCGCGCACTATTAAATTACTTCTTCGACGAATTGAAATTGTTGGATCATCTAAATTATCTTCGGTCTTATTATTTCCTTGCCACAGGCCGATTTGGTTTAGCTTTCTGCGGTGAACTATCACGAATGTTACTTTCCAATGATGACGTTCAAGTGATCTATCGAGTCAGTTCCATGCGCCAACTTCTTTATACATCATTAGACCAAGCCGGCGAGTTGAATCATTTGCATGACGTTCTTCAATTATCATCTAAACTTGATATACCAAATTCTGTCAGTCTACTCGATCCAAGTTTACTTGATTACTTCGATCTGAATTATCTCATACAATGGCCATTGAATATCGTCATTTCGCAAGATATGTTGGAAAAATATAAAATCATCTTTCGTTTTCTTCTTCGAATACTTATCGTTAAACAAGTTCTCAATGAAATTTGGATTATGCTCAAAGTTTGTGAGTAGAACTATCATGAAGTTTACTTCCAGACGTAGAGATTTCTTTTGTAGGCAAACAAAGAAATACTGCTTTGGCACAGTTGCATCAATACAGGTGAAAAGCAACTTCTTTTGTCGAATCGATCATTTTGGTGTTGTTTTTCAGACACCAGATGCAACATTTCATGACCGTACTGAGTAATTACATAACCAATCAAGTTATTCAAGTTGCTTGGAATGAGTTTATGCGTAAAATTCAGAAGGCAAAACATATCAACGAAATTGTTGCAGCACACAATGAGTATCTAGATCGAACCATGTTGAAGTAAATTATTTCGTTTTCGCAAAAAGAAAACCAGTCATTTTTGTTCCTTTTTCAGTTGTCTCCTTACGCCGAACGCAGCGCCAATTCTCAGCGAGGTCAATCGTGTTCTTACATTAATCATCCGTTTTCGTTGTCAATTAAAAACATTCTCGTGGATCCTCGAAGCCAAACACATCGACCTATCAGATACGAGCATGCAAGCATTGCGCACAACATTTGAAAAGTATCATATCGCCGTGCTTTCATTATTCAAAGGTATTGACCGGGGAAAATCGAATTGAAAGTCTCAGAGTTTGCTTTTATTTAGTTCTAACAAAACTGGTCGAAAAAGGTTATAAAACATCATTAGGTGACCTATTAATACGGCTTAATCATAATGGTTATTATCATCGAATCGCGAACGCTTCCATTCGACAACAATAGTTTCTGTCAGATTGTCTCTATGAATATCGCTCTAACAAAAGAGTCGAAGAAGAAATATTGAAATGAACACAATGACATTCGATTTTGTTAGGCACGCTGTTGAATAATAGAACTTTTTAAAATCAAAATTTGTTGATAATGTATTCTTGATTCTATCCATATTTTCTATTGAATTACACGCACCATATTTTCGACAACCTAATCGAATCACATCGAAATATGTTCGATTGGTAAGAAAGAATGTTGATTCGTAGTCGAAAAAGTTCATAATTGCTTTCCCCGCTGGACATGTTGCACACATATCAGGCGTCTTGAAATATTGAACAATACCGATACATTGTTGACAGGCAACAATATTTGTTTCTCGACAATCAGATGAATTCGTAAAATTCAAACACATACGACCATCGAAGTCTGTTGTCGGAACAATTAACGAATCGAGTTTATCGATTTGCTCATCCGTAGGAAATGTTGTTGATTCGATAGCGCGTTTGGCATTTTCAACCGTATTGCATGGTGTCGAATTACTCGCTTTGCAGTTATAGATAATAAATCGACGCGTTTCATATTCCCCGGACCATGCTGTCACTTTACGTTCAGTTTTGATCATGACACTGTCGATAGGTAAAGGTGTATCGGCACCGTAGTAAACCTCCGTTTTGTTGCCTTTGTACCATCCGATTCGTACAGAACATGTACTTTGCGCTGAAACAATCTCACAATCGGGTGCTGTTGGCGATGGAATATTGTCACTCGTAAGTGACGAATTGAAATTCATTCCGTTACATTCATAACATTGCAATGCTAGGCGATATTGAGCATGAAGAAGAAGAACTAGAAGTCCGAAGTAGTAAGAATGAACGACTGTCATCTAAAAATTCAAAAGAAAATTCGATGTCGGTTATCAATTTATTATGTTTGATCAACAAAACACGACGTAAAAGAGAACATGTGACACGAGAGTTTCGATAAGAACTAACTTTTGTTGGCGTGATGAAACAATTTTTATACTTGTCTGCTCGTATGTTCCTCAAATAAATTACTCGGATATCCTATCGTTAAATCGAGAATCGTGTACGTATACTGTTCTTAAATATAAATATGTCACTGACAGTTACTGTCGTCTAAGTACACTACACTCGAAAAGAAATGGAGAGAAGAACATGCGATCGATTGTGGAAATAAACGCTCTACGAATAGTCAAAGTTAGCTGTAACATCATTCTAGGATACATGAAATCATCTGTAAACTAGTCGATCTGTTTTGTTTTATTCATGATTGAATTAACAAAGCGAGCTACTATAAACCGCCTCCTCGTTGGAGTCTGATGGTAGAGAGAAGAAATAATTGACGTTGTCATCATTTACGCTGATTTCATTTACAGTTTATCATTGTTTGCAAAACCTCTCTCGGAATAAAGAATAGGATTTTATGAGAAATGATACGAAGAAATGTATTTTTAGCTTAGGAAATATGATATATCTAGTTTCTCAAGAACAATTTATCATATTATGCTTCAAGGCATATAAAGAATGATTATTGATAGCGCAGTTGTCTTTACCGTCGAATTAAAGATTTCTGACACATTTAGGCCTGTCAGTCTACTTCGATATTTACTATTGGATAATTATATTAGCTATTCTATGTTTAGTCGAACATTGTTTTGTTGTGTGTAGTTCGGAAACATCAATTCTGGCTTCTAACGTCTGTCTAATAATGTTTTATTGGATTGTTTTTGAGATTTTCTCCGAAAGAACGGATGTAGTACTCATTGAATTTGATTCTCTGTTACATCTGAAGATAATCTCATAACCATACAGTTCAAATAAACATTTCGCTCGCAGGGATGCCATATTACTCATGGTATCAATTAACACTAACGCTAATGTTTTAGACACTAATGTTATTGTAAACACTGTTGGTGCAGCATTTTCAGATGTCCATGTTAATTAGGATTTGAATCTTTTTTACCACATCCGAATATCAATATCTAAAATTCGATTTCGAACGTAACTGCGAATTCGGTATGGACAATTGTTGAGCTGTATCGAAAGGAATATATTTTTCTGTTAACAGCATGCAATGAAGAATGTTCTAGATTTGGACCGATTGTGCTATCTGATCGTCTGAAAAGTAGATGTCAACAACATTTTTCTTTTCCCACAGAGAATTCATCCTAAGAAATAAGAAGTTGTTTTCCAGTAAAGGGTTTTGTTTTATGGAATGTACATTTGAATAACACTTTCAACATTCTATTGATCGCTAAAGGTTGACTGATCTTTATTTGTGAGTGAATCGAAGAATACCAATAAAACTCGTGAGATATAGTAAATAATTATGAACGGGTCTCATTGTTGTTGCCACTGAGCGATGGAACTCCCACGAATTCAATTCTGTCGTTAAATTTTGTCTAATCTGTTCGATACTTACTGTTGTAGAACAAATCTCTCCATTCTGACAGATAACTTTTATCTCGTCAACGCGAGAACCCATATCAACACGGAAAGTCGTTCGATAAATAAAGTAGTTCCTCTTGGGTTCATCGGATACGCACGAACTACATATATCCACTTGATCGGAATACCGAATAGTACTCAGACATTGACGACAAGTTGTTCGATTCGTTTGAGAACAGTTTTTCATATTCGATATTTGAGTACACGAATGTGCATTAAAATTCATCATCGGAGTGAGTAAATAGTCAAACTGCTCGATCTTATTAAGTATCGGAAATGTTACCAAGTCCATCAGACGTTTTATGTGGTCAATATCGTTGCAAGCCGTTTGACTTGATTTACAACCATAACCGATCGATTTACGAGTTTCGTATTTACCGGTAGCAGTAGTCATTTGACGTTCTATGATCGTAGTAACACTATCATACGGAACCGCTTGATCAGTGTTATAAGATACGACACTTCTCCCATCTCCATACCATTCGACAAGTATATAGCAACCATGATGCGCTAAGACTATGTGGCATTCTTCTTCAGTTGGAAAGGAAAGATCGTTGCTAGTAACCGGGTGGTCGTAAACGTGTGTTTCACATACATGACATTGAATTGTACAAGCATATGGTGGATAAAAGAAGAAGAATATAGAAAAATAGCCAATTAAATTCATTATTCACTTTCAAACGAGAATGAATCAAAAGAAAGTGCGAGTTATCCTGGAAAACGACTCAACTCAGTTGCATCATTAGAGATATCCCAATGTTCTTGTTATTCGAAATCGGATAGAAACAGGAACATAACAAAATAAAGAAATATACAGCATATCGCTTTCGTAGATACATGGTATTTTTAGCTGAAAAAACAATCAAGCAGGTCTATTGCACATGTGTCGACAACGAAACAGTTTTGACAGTTCACGAGTGGTATTAGGAAGAATTGCATGGATCTGCTAAAGGATATGTCTCATAGATTTCAACAGTTCGAACGCAAATATGCGCAAATTCATAATATGTTAGAATATATGTTGATAGTTCTTTATGTACGGGTATTGAGTGCAAGTGTACAAGATCCAACGTAAGCAACCTTCTGTTTGTTATCTTTAGCATTGAAACCATTTCAATCTAAAAGAAAATCCATTTTTTTTATGATTGATTTCGATTGATATTGCCTTTGGTTTTATTGTCAGATGCCATTTTTCTCATTAATGATATCTATTCTCTCTCGACGTTTTCCTCTCAAAGAACAAGAGAAAAAAGGCCTAGGTAATACTTTCATTAATCATATCAATTCAATTGATGCTTCGTCTTTCTTCTCGAATCAAATGCCACACATGTAACATCCAAGGTACTCTATTTGTTAACTAAAGTATGTGTGTTCGATGTTCTCCATTATCCATTTTTTCATGTTATTCGATTTAGAATGAATGGAACGAATTTCGCAGCAAATGCAACAGCAACGATTAGTGATAGTACAGCATATGCCTATGATTATACTGGTGCAATGGTCTATATTGTCGTTGTTTTACTTTGGTATTCAGTTGGGATTGTATTCATGTTGGGAATGCAGATGCGCGCACGTTCGGAAATAATCGAAGAAACGGCAAGGCGACGAACGAAACTGTTGATTCGAAACTTACGAGATCAAACGAATACGAAAGAAATCCTAGGTGAAGTATCTGATTTTCTATTTCGATCTTAAGGATACGTCAGTCCGTCTCTGAGTTCAGTCAGAAGATGATTGCAATAACATTTCGACTCTTTTTGTCTTCTAGAAGAACTAGTTGATAAACAAAAGCGTGCTCGTCTCTGGGATATTTATCTTGGCAACACGACTCATGCGATAGATAAATTACACCGTGACGAAACTGTTCGCATCCGTCATATTGAAAAGCAATTGGCAACGATAAATCGTAATCGTCGATTTACAAACGAGACTTTGTTTCCGACAGAAGAAGAAGCTGTTCATTTTCGTAGTCGATCCGATTCCCGACAAATCTCTAGTAGGCTATCACATGTCGAAGTTCAACGAAATCTTCGACGTCGCTCATCGTTCGACCAACAAACACTCGAGCGTTGGAAAGCGCTCGCTGATCGATCGAAAGCACAGGAGCAGATGCCATGGACTATTCGTAAACTCGTCATTCGAAGATATTTTCGACGTCCAGTGAGAAAGCCTCCGTCAATCATTCAACAGAATTCAGTCACATCGAATCGTACCAGCGACGATCTAGTTTCGTTCACTAATCAAATTCATCTCCTTACTCGACATCATTCAGAAATACTTCTTGACCAAAGTACAAATCACCTTGAACGACAGAATCCGTATCTGACGTACTTTTACACGTCATTACGTCGACCAAGTATATTATCCTCGAACTTTTTCTCGGTATCATCTGAACAAATAATTGAATAAATTTTCTTTTGGTTCTGTTACAAAATCAAACAAACGGCTCAACAAAAATGCAGCGCGCAAAAATGGACGGAGCAAAAGAGAAGATAGAGAAAACAAAAATACAAATACCAATACCAATAAATGATGTCTTACATAGAACTATACAAAGACCGAAAACAAGAAGAGAAGAAAGTCATATTTTTATGATTCGACATGAGATTTAGATTTTTATCACTGTCGTAGACGTTTTACATGATTATTGTTAATATTATCATCGTCGTCGAAATTGTCATCAATCGAGCGTTTTGAGAAGACTTGTTGTTTATTATTGAGAGTAGAAAGAACGTGTTGTTTAACTGGAGGTATCGAAGAATCGTCATGTGAATCATAGGTTGATTGTCAAAGGGCTTTTCCAGGTCTTAATATAGCAAGATGAAAGAATCAGGACAAAAAGATTTACTTTCCTAATCAACTTACAGCGCAAATGACATGTTCTTGAAATCATGCTCAGGAATTCCGGTTAAAAATAATGTTGAACAGCCACCATTCAACTGGCCGTTCGTTACCGTAACACCAGGATTCGACTGTTGTATTTGTGACATACCTGTCGTTCCGGTTAGTGGATGACTCAAACTCTACGCAATGAAAAGAAAAGATAAAATCATAGTTGTTGTTATCGCGAATAGTGCTTACCATTGGAGGTGCATGCAGAGCAGTATGTAAGAGAGCAGGATGATGAAGGCCAGCTGAAGCTAAGTCAAATGTGAGAGGTTGACCCCATGCTTCAGTTGGAAAGAAAGCCGTGCCTAATTCTTCTAAAAAAACAAAATGATTCAGTATGCGCTGATTCATTCATGTCGAGCAAAGATATTTACGTGGAATTTGGAAAAATTGTTGAGTTGCAGCTGCTAACGGATGTTGAGTTGCATGTTTAGGTTTTTGTACTTTTGTATTCGATTTAGCGAATTCAAGCCGAAGTGTAGCTGGAAGATCAGGATCAAATCGTACGCCCTAACAAAACAAATTACATATCCTTATAATCTTCACCGCCGAGGCTATTTACTGTTAGTTCTTGTTTAGCCGTTTCAGCGTCAACACGACTGGTAAATGTAACAAAGCCAACAGGTGAGAGATTCTTGCCATTTTTATTGGTTACTTTGAGTAGACTTCCTTCATAACCCTATGGAAAAGCAAGAAATTTCTCCTTGTCACGTTCAATTGTTGATTTAATCATGTATGAATATGTCGAACAATAGTTTTTTTTTTATTGTCTAGTGCATTTTCAGACAAGACATCAATCATTGAAAAAAGCACTCACCTTGTATCCTCGAAAAAGAAGGTACAATTCTCGTGGTTTAGCGTCCATTGGTAAACCAGACACGAATAACGTTCGAACCTAAATCATACGAAACCGATTATTGCGAATACTTCTTCATTATGTATAATTGATAGTTTTATTATCTCGCTGCACACGAACACACGTACCGGTCGACGATAAACTAAATGCATTTTATCGGTATTTAACCGGAGTGCTTTTCTGTTGGTGCTGTTAGTTGCCGTGCCGTTCTCGACAGTAATTTCATGTGTCATCTCGATGTGTGTGTGTATTTCTGTGTATGTGACAATGGAAGGAATGATGATAAAAAAGTTTGTTATGTTTTTTTCTTTTTGATCGGTCACGTGAAAGACAACGAAAAGAGAGACAGAAAGTGAATGACACACTTGATGTGAACGGTTCTTTCCGATTGAGAAAGGAAAAGCAATGATGCGAAGGGTGAAGACAAGTGATGATGAAAACAAACTAAGGAGACACAGGGAAAAAAGAGAAAAGTCCAAGAAAGATGAAAAAATGATGTTTATACAATTGGCAATAATAAGAAATACAACGAGATGTTGATCTAACACGCATATGCGCATCAGGTGTGTCGGTATTTACAAATGCTCTTCTCTTAGTTTGATGAAGAGAAAGAGAAAAGAATTTTCTTGTAGCACAGAACAAAGCAAACAACGGATTTTCGAAGATTTATTTATATTCATCCATGCCTCGCACGACATGCATGATGACGTTTATCTCTCATGTGCTCGATGCTTCATTTGATATGCATACATGGAAAAGAAAGAATAATATTCGTGTTTCAGACTAATTGAATTGTATCAATTGCTATTCTTTGTTAAAAGAAAAACAAATATAGAAATACAAATTTGAGATATTCCAGTTAAAACCTTGTTTTCGCATATTCATATGAAAACTTAGATAAGTTCTAGATATTGAACACTGATTCGCAATCACGATGGTATTCTATTAACATAGATTTCGATTTGTTCTCTTTGTTTAGATATCTGGTCGATTAAGCAATACGTTAATGTCTAATTTTCTAAATCATTATCCAGGGAATAATTATCCTGATTTCTGGTCCTAAACTAAGGAGAATGCATGCACACGGAAGGAGAGAGAGCAACAAAGCAGTGAATGATTTCGGACTGTTCAGAGTTTCTCAGTGCACTGAAAATATCCAAATGATCATTCTCTCTTTGCTGCTGCTGCTGTTCTTGTTGAATGTGGTGACGGTGGATAGAGTGATACTAGTGCACAAGCATCTTTGACTAGAAGTGCTTCAGAGAGTAACGTGCTAATCGTATGTGTAAAAAAAAGGTGCTTGGAAAAGGAGCGTTTTTTTTTGTTTCATATCAATTCGATTTTGCTTACTTACCTCGTTCAATTCATCAGTCGAACTCTTCATTTTGTAACAATGACTATAAGTACAGACAGGATATAATACAACGAATTGATCGGAGTTGACAAAAAAGATTTCTGTTCTGTTTCGTTATACCTCTTCACCCACACAGTCAATATAAATATGTGTTTAATAGCGATTGTAAAAAGAGGACGGTACTAAATATGTGTAGTTATAGGAATATTGCTCGTTTGTTTGTCGCCATAAGCATCCACGAATCATCATATTAATTTAAATAGGTAAGGCGAGAAGAAGAAGAAAGAAGTGTGGTTACTGTTCACCGTTATTTAAACTTGAGTGAAGAAGAGAAGAAGAAATGCAATAGAAAGGTCTTCTTTGTCGACACTTTACTACCTCTTCCATTGAAAAATTTCTTGAAAGGAAAAGAGAATCATTTTTAGACACAGAGAAAGGAAAACGGCGACCGGAAATCAATTGGTAATAAAAGAAAAAAAAAGAAAGCGATCGGAACGAGCAAATGCCTTGATCACTTGTCATGTATAAAAAAAATTTTAATGTACTTTTAAATGAAAAGTAGGCGCTGGTCGGAAGTCATTTTCACTTACACAGAAAACGGCGATGGAGATGAAAAGAAGCCACTAAATAATGCCCGATTGATTCCTCAGAAAATCTTCGGTCATTCTTCCGATGCTCAACGATTCCGCACTTCTCAGACGATCTCATTAGTTAGTCAGACGATTACGTTCTTTGACAAGAAAGAATGTCAAATCCGATTGATTACATGCTAGACACTTATCAGAAAGAAAATCGATACGAGATCAGAATACGTCTCAAGCGATCGACACAGTCACGTTCGGAGAAAAAATGTCTTACTTCGAATCGATATCATCGAGAGGATTAGTCATTTCTCGTTCGAGAAGAATTGTTTCCATTATAATAATACGAAAACCGATCTAGTACTCTATGTATGTATTCAGTCGACTATTGCTATTCTGTTGTTGATATGTCTCTGTGACATTCCTGTGTACAAAAGGAGGAAAGAGGATGCGAGAACATAGAGAAAGAAGATTCTGTAAATAAAATTATCATAATAGACTGTGTTTTTTCTCAAGATTCTTTTGTTAAGCCTATAGACACGGAATGGAAGAATATTGGCAACAACTCGTATCTATTATGATTCCATCTGGTCCAATGGTAGCTGTGAACTTCTTCATTATCTTCGTTCGACCATGAAAATAGTACCTAAAGGCATCATCAGTTAATGTCAATTTATATTCTACAGGTGCCGGGAAAATGCTTGCCTTCGTTCTTGACAACTCCTACTCGATCGTCATCGATCAGTGAAAGTTACTGTTAAAGTAATAACCGATCGTTTATACGAGTGTGATCATTGAAATTGATCGAAACTACCTTTTGGTTATCATGGTCACACCATCAAAAAAGAAAAGCTCGAATTTTGATTTCTAAAAAAATTTCGCGTTCTTATTCAATGCGTCTTTCATCTCCTTGTAGTTATTAGGAAAAAAAGAAGAAAAAGGCAGCTGTACATTTAAGTAATTAATATACGGTCGGTCGGATTTTCCATCTTGTGGCCCATTAACTACATATGTGCGCCCTCGATTCAATAATACAATCAACAGAAAAGCATCGACGATCGGCTAAAAAATCGTCAATCGCGCGGAAGTTTTCTCGTCTAACACATTCCAATTTTCTTCGATTATTAAAGATAATAATATACACAAATCGAACTATTTTCGTCTAATCAACAAAGGTTAAGGTCTCCTATCGATTTGTCATCAACATTCTATCATTACGATTCGAAATTGTTCATTTGCGATCGTGATTCGTAGTAATGTCAGAATAATCAACGATTACAATCTTGACATATGTACATATAAATGACTGTAACATGGGAAGAAAACGGCAGAAAAGCGAAGATAAATAAATAAATCAATGTAATTCAAGATCTAAGAATTAGAAGAGAATCATTTTACCTCATCATCTGGTAATCCAATATTATTAATTGATTCCATACTTTGAGAAAGACTATGCCCATTTGAACCATTACTACAGTCTTCATTATTATTATGATTAGCTTGTAATACTGATGTGCCATTAGTTGTCGTTGTGATTGTTAACGGATGAAATGTATCATTCGGTGACATTGATTTCATCATTTGGGGATGAACATGTGTTGAAAGTGAAGGTCGTTGGTGAATAGAGGGATGAAGGATTGCTGGAGGAGATGGTTTGATAAGAATTGGTTTCGAACCAAGTAGTGCCGGTGGTCCGGGAAGTAGATACGTCGATGGTGATGATGTCATCTGCGTGCGAAACAGAAGTAATTATCTAGAGAGAAAACTGATGTGTTAAGTTTTACCTGATGATGGAACATCAGATACAGTTTCTTTTGTATATTGTACAAGAAATAGAAGAAAGAAGAAAAAAGTGATACACACGTCCGCTTCAACGACGGTCATGCATAGAAAATTCTTCATCATCAGGCAGACAACGGGAGCGAAAGAAGAAGAAGAAGAAAAGGGGGAGAAGAAAAGAAAAAGGTCGTTTTGGTAGTCTTTACATGTATATCCACTAACTACACAAGTGAAGAAGAAAATTGAAAACTACTATGCACACTTTCATGTGTGCTTATTTCTTTGTCGTCCTACTAGAAGAGAAGTACGAGTGCTTTCTGTTCTTCTTTCTTTCTTTCTTTCCATTCTATCATTCACAATGATTTTGCTATTAAAGATTTTCTTTTCATTCCTGTAATACCTGCATTAGATATATCTACTAACGGAACTAAGTCTCAAATCGAAAAAAGATGTGAATAAGTGATGCTGAAAGAAAAGAAACGTCAATGGTAAAAGACGACATCAGTCGATGGAGTTAGTTTTTGACAAGTAAATTGTTCTCGTCAGTGCGAGTGAAGCGGCACGCAAACATCGGCGCGTGCGGACGAGAAGAACAAGGAAAGTGTAAAAACTCGGAGAAAGAAAATTTATTTCTGTTTAACGTTTACTTTGCCGACAAACACTAGCGAATCTCAAACTCCTTAACGATTCTTCAAACGACTTCATTAAACACGATTTGAGGGTGAACTGACTTGTATTGTTCGTGTGATACACATTCGAGAATCGAACTACCTTCGACTTGATTATATTGTTGATGTTTTCGAGAGCGAACGCTGGTAACGAATAAGCCTCCTCCTCCTCCTTCTTCATTATTATTTGTTATGTTACTCTTGCTATTCTTTCCATCACACAATGCAAACATTTCTTTCTTCGTGATTACTGTCAATGCTTCATCATTGTTTAGATGTTAGATTTCGAACAACAAAGAGAAAACTCAATAGTGACATAAGAAAAAAAAGAAGGAACACAAATGAATTATTTCTTCTTCTTCTTCTTCTTCGGGTTTTTTTTCCATCGATAAACATCGAATAATTGAGAACTTATTCGATAAGAATTCTGATTCAAGTGATGTATAGATCTATACATGGAAAACTTAAGTTAATTAGAGATAATCTCGAGAGATAATGTTTCATGATGTTGTCATCCGTCTTAGAAATATTAATTAAGGTTAAAAATAGACGACGTTACAAGTCTCCCTCTTCTCATTCTTTCATGTAATTGAGATGATACAATCAGTTGCGAAGGAGAAAACGATATGTTTTCCATGACTTTCTAAAGTTATTCGATTTGTTTACTTTCCGAGCTGCTCTCGGAAAGATTGATACGGCACGTTCTGTTAATTCAAATTTATTATCATCTCTTGTTGTTCAATGCAGATAACGGATGACGCGCACTTACCTATTTCCTCTGATAAAAAATGGACCATGTGAGCATAAGAATTTCATTCTGTTATCATCAGGATGCAAACGTGACAAGCTGACTAGACTGCCGACAGATAGCACTAGACGATGGGAGGGATACCGATATTCTTCAAAAGAAATTTTTAATTGGAAATTCAGATGTGAATGTTTCGAAAAATACCAAAATTCGTGCTTTATTTGGAGATTCAATGTTTCAACGAAATCGATTTATGGTGCTATGAACCAATCAGATGCGACTGAAACTTTACCTGATACAATGACAAAAATACGTTAAATTTAGAAATCAATATGATTTAACGAACAAAATGGATGCAGCAAGTAATGTTATCGTACAGATGAATGCGCTCGACGTGATCAAAACCTATCGCGTACCAGAATTACAAGTAGACAGTCTCTATTCGTTTGCTAAACTGATCAAAATTTTCTTTTCATAGGCGCTACTCGAATACGCACGTCTTTCTCGGCAAGGAAATAAGAGTGAATTGTTTCAACGTTGCAAACTTCTCATATCTTCGAACTTAACGCCACAACTACTCAATAAAATCAATCAAATTAATCTCGCACGGATCAGTTCCTCACGACCATCACATTCTCCACAAGCACCACCACGGAATTTCTCTACTCAACAATCCGTTGTTTTAACACCAACATCATCGATTGATAATCTACCACTACCACAACAAATTCAATATGTGAATCTACCTTTTTATGAGAAAATTCGAACGATTGAATGTATAAATATGCCTGTTGATAAGAAGACTTTTCTTCCATTGCATTTTACCTTAACCGAATACGATATCAATCTGATTGTCAAAGGTGTCGGCAAAGTCTTCATTCGAATTGCTCCGACAATTATTCACGATAAACAATGCGATGTTCTTCCGCCCTATGTATTCATTCAATGTAATGGTCAAACAATTATCAATAACAATGTTGCTAAAACAGTTGGCGCACAAGCGCATTCGATCGCCTTTCCAACTGATATGACCGACAAAATCATACCGAAATCGAACATGCATAATAATCTAAATTACTTTTGGCTTCAAACACCAAACAATATGTCGTTTAAGAACCTACCGAAGTCTTACACCTTGCAAATACATCTTGTTCGTTGTATTTCCTTAGAAAATCTATGTGAGAACATTCTGCAACGTGAGTTACAATATCCACGACGCGAACAGCATCAAGATAATGACATCGAAATTGAAGATGTCGGTTTAATGGCCACGCGACATCGCGTTTCATTAATTTGTCCGATAACGCAAGCATTGATTGTTATACCAACAAAATCATGTTTTTGTTCACATCTAACGTGCTTTGATTTACGTGCATTTCTTCAAATGAATCAACGGCGCGTACAGTGGACGTGCCCATTATGTAAAAAACCGGCGTCTTATGAAACATTGCTTGTTGATAAGCGTTTAAAAGCCATTCTGGCCAACGTTCCAGCCAATTGTTCGACAGTGGACATCGACACATCAACAAAGGATTTATCCGAGTGTCAATACATACTAGATCATGTGAAACAGGAAAGAACAGATCAGCGTAATAGTACGACATCGTCATATAATTGCGATGATGATGATGACGTTGAAAAAGAACAAGAAGAATCTGTACAGAATCTATCGAACAGTAAGTTATGGTACAATGTTAACGAGCAAAATAGTTTGTTCTTCTTTGGTCTAGAAGAAAGCGACTGTGTTATTCTATCATCCAGCAGTGAAAGTGAAGACAACGATGAGATAGAAGATAGTAATTCTCCGGTTCCTACGACTTCGCTTTCAACTGCTTCTATTAGTCAAGTCAATGGAAAAGATTTCCAACTAATCAGTACTACTGCTCAATCGTCTTCGGTAACCAATCTTGATGATGAAAATTACTGGCAAGAAGTGGCAAATTTTGCCAATAATTTAATAGCAGCTAAAACCTCCTGTCCGGAAAAATGTAATCGAAAGCGTAGTAATAGTTCATCGTCATCTCTATTGTCCAACAGTAGCGATCGGCGACGTCGTAAAAGATCGAAATGTTCGTCAACAAATCGATCTCAAACCAATGAAATTGAACTCATCATTCTTTCATCCAGTGATAGTAGTGATAATGACGATCAGTTATCATGACCATCCATGTTTTCTCTTTTCCTATGCTATATTATATTCCTTTCGTTCGTTTGTTGTATATTTGAAGAGTTTGTCTATCCATATGTCTTAATTCGTTTGCGTGTGTGTGTATGAGAATGCAATAAGAAAAACTCAGAGTTATTAAATGCGATTAAAAATATTTTTTAGGACACTGGTTTTGTCCTTCTATTGATTGTATATTCTAGATATATTGTCGTCACGATTCTTTGACAAGTAATCAAGTAAGTGTCCAAACTTTTTTCTGATTGGACAAGTGGTGAGGCGAATTTGATGTAACGATCACCAATGAATGATATCGAATCCTCTACTGTTGTAAGAGTGTATATCATACATCGTCCTCCTTCATTTCGATTCACATTTATGTCTGTTCGGTTCGAATAATAATAGATTCCAAGTTGTTGAGTACGACATGCACCTGAATTTAATCTGTGGCATTGCTCGAAATTTACACTTGGAAAAGTAAATGAATAAAATTCATCGTTACTTTTCATATACACTAAATTGATATGTAAAAAGCGGATTTTATTCTACATGATATGCTCTTAAGAGTGCTATTTCATTTGTTTTGTTTTCATGCAGATGTCTACATCGCAAGTTCAAGCCACTATCGATGTGAAATCTGAACAGTTTCATCAAACATTGGAAGAGGCTATTGTTGATTCATCGTCGTTGCTTTACGACGGGTTAATCTCCGCTAATGAGCGGTTAAAATCGAATATTTCCAAGATCTTAACAGAGTTTGTGAATAAAGCTCGATTTGAACAGGGCGCAGACGTCGAGAAGAAAAAACGTAAATTAGAAAGTAAAACAATTCACATATCTTATGCTATCAGTGCAATTTTATTTCAATTCTTCCACAGATGACGACGATGACGAGAATGTAGATGAACCAGAAGATGAAGACGAAGATGCTGCATCATCAGACGATAATGAAGAAGAAGAAGAACAAGAATAGTTACTAGAAGCAATTCCTTTTGCTTTAGTATTATTTGTTATACTAATTTTTTAAATATATGTATTTCTGAATAAAACATGACTCTCATTCATTATTTTTTGAAATACATTGATAAGTATATTAAGCTCGGGAAAAATCTAAACTGTTTGGTAAATAACACGTTCCCATTGTCTTGTGTTGTGAAGATTTTTCGAACTTCCACATCGATCTCCACCACCACGGTCAGAAATCGAACGCAATGACCAACAAAGTCGATATTCAGAATTCTGGTCACTAGAGTCACATGGATTTAAAATCAGTCCTCCTTGTAGGCCTTGATTTTGTCGATAACCCACCAGTCCTCCTTGTAGGCCAAAATTATGTCGATAATCCACGTGATCGTTGCGTACTTCTTGAAGAGTCTAAAACAACATAATGGATTTATTTCTTACACTGTTCAACGTTTCACTTACATTTAAAGCGCCCTCGAATCCCCATGCATGATCTTGTGCGTAATAGAAACCTGTACCGTTTTTCTTTTCTACTCTGCAGTGCGAATTGGGTGAACATGGGAAAAATATATCTTCTCGTTTGCCCACACCAGCTAAAATCAACGTTCGCGTGTCATTCGTCGACCGGCAAGCAACAAGAAGTCGTCTGCCTTTGCACGGTCCTGTTAAAACTTTACTATCGAATGGTTTATCGTATTTTTCACGAAAACATTGTTTCCACCCAATGAGAGACTTCAATGTTAAATTTAAATGAGCGCCCTTGGATGGATATAAGAAGTAATCAGCTAAAAACGAAAGAATGAATGATGGTTGCATTAGTCTGTTGTTTTCAGCTTACAACTCAAGCCGAGTTCCACAAGCATTGTTGAGAAATCAAATGGTACGCTACTATTCGGTGCAGCAAAGTTAAGTTCATACGCAGGCACCTGTGGACCACGTTTGATCGCTCGTAACTGATCGAGTAAATGCCCAAATAGAACAGGATTGTAATCAAAAAAATGTTTGCTCTTCGGTTTGGATACATTCTTAGCGAAAAGAGCGGCTAGCTTGGAATTCGGTACAGCAGTTAGAGTTGACCGAAATGTTGTTATTCGTTGACCACCAACATTCAATTCGATAATATCATCTATCGTCGATTCCGATAGATCAATATGGTTTTTGTTATTAGTGATAACTACGCCTCGATATCGACTGTTGATTTCAGTAGAAGTCGCATCGGTGGCAACAATAGTGCCGTTTTCTGTTGTAAGCAACGATTCCTCATAGGGTTCCGACTCGAAATAATCCACGGCAAAACCAACTATGGTTGATCGAGCTAATAGAAGAGTCCAAATGACCTAGTACGATTTTCGAATGTAAGAAAAGGGAAATTAGTCTTTGAAAAAAAACGAGAATACATACGAAAAATACCGAGAGTACTTTCATGTTGACTAATACAGAATAAATGTCATCAACTATTGTGAATGATCTATATCTTGGCCAGCAGTTATCTTTTCTGTAATCTACGTCGTTGTTTGTTTTTAGTGTAAATCAAGATTGATAAAGAGTTGACACGAATGCTCGATACTATCATGTGACTATTGATAAGAAAGCCTAGACAGATTTCTGTTTATGCGTCCTACATGGGAGAACGTATTTGATGTGTTGAAAGGCAGAACTTTAGATGATCTATTTGAGAAAAAAAATCACTAAGATATTTCCTGAATTTACAAATATATTCAACTGAAAATATAAATAAAAGAAAATATTGGCACACTAATTCAACATTGACTATAGATCATTCGATTGACTTGACAGTACATGTGAGAAGATTAGAATAGTCGTAGGAGTGTGTTTATTCAAATGTAAGTCAAGCCATTGTTGTAATCGTGATTGTAAATAGTTTACATCGATGTTAACGGAATAAATTCCACGTTCCTGACATGCCATTTGCAATTCTTCGAAAGTAAGATTGTCGATACCCTCAGCAACAATTAGTTTATCATCACATTTTATGCGATGAAACTTGAATTGAAGTTTGAGACGAAGATAGGAATTGACACCCAACGATGATATGCGAAGAAGTTTACATAGTGAGATTAGCTGTAAACGATTTAGCTTATCGATGCTGAAATCATGGGAAAATAGCAAACCGAATTGCAGCATGCCATCGATTGATGGATATGCTTTGTTGATGAACACCTAAATAATAATAAATCGTTTGTAAAATTCGACAGTTTACTTGATTCTGACGGACATTTTGTTCAAACTCATCCTTCCAATTGACCATTGTCTTTTGTAGGAGTTTTGCTATTTCCAATTGTAACCTCAGGTAATTGTTACCTGTTTGCTCCTATAAATGCCAGATCAGTACGGTTGAAAAGGTCGTTATCGACTCACTGAATCACTCGTTTGTTGAAAAGTACTTGGTAACATATTAGGAAAGAGTTTTAGAAAGAATGGTAGCGTAAATTCCAAAAATGGAACAATGATGAATACCGAAAAAGGAACAAGTCGAACTAGATCATTGATTGTCCGAATTAACTGAAACACAATTATTAATATCATTGAAACGAAGCACTGATAATACCTGTTTTCTTTCTTTTCTAGTCAATGTACGTCCGTTGAAGACTTGATGAAGAAGACTACATGAGGTCCCTGTTTGAGAAACTAATAATTTGAAACCATTATAATAATGTTTTATTTCATGAATGACACGGTTTTGAACCGATTGGTATTTGTTCACCAAACCGTTACCAGTCATTGTCGAAGTTAAACATTTATGGTAAGAAATGGCTCTCTTCGCTCTTGACTTTGCAAGGGCAGTATTTCGCGACAAAGAATGTACAGAAATACGAATAAGTTCCTTTCCTAGAACGAAGGCTTTGTCTAAAAGGTTTTCATTGTGCAACTTGAACATACTCATTGATAAAATTGACAAAAGTCGATTAGCGTTGTGAATGGAATTCATGGAATACGGGCTGTGACGATAAAAGAAATGATATTCAAAGAATCAAACGAATTGAACAAAGAATGAGAAGATTTACCATTCTTTGCACTGTCGATGAATTTTACGTTAGATATCTCTAGCTGTCGATAAACGATTTCTATTTCATTCTACTAGTCAAGTTTATTACGTATGTTTTCAACTACACTAAACAAGAGAAAATTAACTCGCCTATGATCTATCTAAAGTAACCGTGTCGTGTTCATTTAATATAGTAAATAAGACGTTCCCATTTGTTTGAATTTTGTAGATTCTTCGCACTACCACATCGATCGCCGAATCCTTGTTGAATATTTTCTTGTGTTGACCAACAGAGACGATAATCGGCGTCGAGATTACTAACATCACATGGGTTAACAGCAAACGATAGAGAACCACGAACAAAACCCCATGTTTGATGAGGTACATGATACCATCCTACTCCACGCTTTGCTTGTGTAATACACTGATGTCGTGACGAACAAGTTAGTGTTCTATTTCTCTTCTTAAACTTCCCGTTTACTTTGCATTGTTTGGGTAGACATGGATGGAAAATATCTTCGCGTTCACCGATAGCTGCAAGAGTGAGACGCTTCTTATTAGTTGCTAAGCGGCAACCCACGAGAAGTCGACTTCCATTGCACGAACTTGTCAGCACGGACAAGTCGAATGGAGTATTGTACGTACTCCGATAGCATTCTTTCCAACCGGCAAGGGAATCGATGGTTAAATTCAGATGCGTACCTTCCGTTGGCGAAAGGAAATAGTCAGGTGTCAGTCCTAGATCAATAAGCATATGTGTAAAATTCACGTGTGAACTCATATAAGGTGCAGAGATTTGTAGATTGTGTATGGATTGATCGGACATGCGTTTGATTTCTCGTAATTGATCGAGTAAATAACTGAAATAAAGAGGATTGTAATCGAAGAAGGCGACACCTTGTTTGTCTAGTGATAGCATTTTCTTAGCATTCTCCTTTTGAAACATCAAAGATAATTTCGATTTGGGCACAGCGGTCAATGTCGATCGAAGAGTTGTCATTTTTTGCCCTCCAATATTCAATTCAATAACATCGTCGTGTCTTTCGACTTCTTTGTTATTCTTCGGAAGAACATTTGTTTCTCGTTTAACAATAAATGCATCTTCACCAAGTGATACACTTCGAACAATCGTCCTCTGAGAAAGCACTCCGTAGATCGAAATCAATAAACCAATGACCTAAATGAAATAGTGCAGATATTTGCAAATCTCTTTCTATAATGATATACATACAAATAAGCGAGACAACATCATGAGCAATCTCGTCGTTGAGATGACTGGCAAATGAATGTCATAGTTACATTACATTATTTTTCTTTGTCGAGTTATGTATAGATCGATAACTACTCTATGTTAGAGACGTTCTCCCGAATCTATAAGCGAGGGAATCGATACTAATGAATGACGATAATCTCGTTTTTTTCTCAATGACATGTCTTTTTGTGCATATGTGAAGGATATCATCATCATTTAGGATTGGATCCGCTAGAAGAACCCGAGATGTATCTTTTCTTATTGTTATAGATTATCATATCTCATCCATTCTCTTCATTAATTATCATTTAACATTCATATGTATACCATGCACTCGTTCTTCGGATGCCCTTTTTATTAAGAAGGTCGACTTTGTATGATGTTACCGCTCTCTACGGATCATTATTCGATGATCTATTTGATTCACCGGAACATTGATGTACAAATTTCAATCAACTAAGGCATCAGACCAGTGTCCGTTACATATCGTTGTCGTCGAAGGTGTCTTCGGATGAAGAGTCTTTGTATTGCCCATGGCCAGTATTCGTTTGGTTTTAATTCTTCTGCTAAAGATTTCCATTGTCGAAGAATTTGATAGTCTAACGACGATCGACGTCGTGTACGTAAGCGGAAATTCAACGACGACGCCTCCGTATCCGATGACCGTGCGTCTGAATCTAAATACTCGCGAAAATCATCGTCAAGAATCTGCTGCACACTGTCGCGACGATATGGATCAATGGATGCTAATTGTTTTTCAATATTTTGGATTCGACGCGTTTCAGCTTGTGTAATTCTATCATGAGAATCACCTAGATAGATATCCCATAACTTATCGCGTTTTTCTTTATCGACAAGTTCTTCTAGAAAGAAAAATTCATGAGACAAAATTGTATTCCGATCGATGATCAGCCAAATCTGTATACTTAGTATTTTAGTATTGTTCGTTTGATCACGTAGACTTTGCACAAAAACTTTTTTTGAAGATGCTCTAGTCGTATCAAACATATCCATCGATGTTCCTGTTTGCATTTTCAATAAAAATGCAAAACTTGATGCATACCATAACAGAACAACGACAATGAATGCGGCTGCACCGAAATCGTCGTTATGAACAAATGTTTCACCAGCGGTGGACGTTGTGTTGTTTATCATGATTATTATTTTATGAAGAAAACGAAAGAGCTACGGTGCTTATCAATAAGATTTCGTATTCCGAACATCGATCAGCGAAAGATAGGCTCCGAGTATTAAGCATGGCACGTTTTGGAAAGGCGGAGTTCGTGTAGGGTGAATATTTGATAAGCAACAACAAAAAATAATATATTTATGAGTAAGAACAAAAGATGACAGCGAAACTTCTTTCTCTCACATTTAATAGAAAGAAAATGAGCGAGAAAGAGTACAAAGTAGCATTTGGAACAACATTTTCAATTCATTCGTTTTCTTTTTTTTAAGCTATTAGCAAGAAGGCTTGGGCGCATGTGTATGTATATAAAACAAAGATCAGCAATCAAAGAGAAAACGAAACGAACATAAACAAAATATAAGACAGAAAAAGAAACGAAAGCAAATCAGAAGAGAGGTTAAACCATGAATCCAACGAAGTGAGTAATCGACTTTGATTGTGTGCGTGTGTGTGTGTGCATGTAGGTGAATGTCTTATATATTTATATTTGGTTATGAGAATAAGTGAATGTGTCTTAGTGCACAAAAGAAAAACAAAGTTGCATTTTTTTTCTGTTGGAATTTAGAGATGTAAAGAAAAAATAAAAGCGATAGAAAATAGAGATCGTTCATAGGAACAAGAAGATGAAGGAAAACAGATTGTATTAGAGATCAGATTCGCCATACAGTGCCGACGAGAAGGTTTTGTAATCATAGGCGCCAGCGACACTATCAGCACCTGTATATGGTTTCATACGTTGCATACACCATACAGCTTGATCGGCAGGTAATTCACGTTTGAGTTCAGCAGCGGTGATGTATGGCTAAAGTGAAAAATACGAATGACAAGTCTTTTTCTTGTTTCGAATTTACTTTATCTGCTGAGAGTGTCTTGAAAGCTTGAATCAATTGATCGACATTATCTTCTTCGGAGTTTTCACGCGTCATGAAATCCAGAAATGATTCGAATGTAACAAAACCTGTTTGCGATGGATCAACATCGGCCATAATACGTTGAAAATCAGCGTCACCTTGTCGATCTTCGCGGATGTTATAACCACAAGCGATGAGACATGATCGGAATTCTTTGGGATCTAGTCGACCTAGAGAAAAGCGAAAAAAAACCTTCATAGACGAGTTCCCCACAAATCAAACCACGTACGACTACGACTTTTATCGAAATGAGCAAATGCAGCGCGGAATTCATTCATTTGTTCTTCGCTGATTCCTTTCTTTTCCAACGTATAAATTTGATTCTTAATTTCAGCAATCTGTCGTGTTAGCTGCGTATTCAACTGTTCCCAGGCAACACGTATGACTTCCATTGTGTAAGGTGTATGACGATTTTCGAAGATCATGCATTCTTGAATTTGTTGATTGTATTTTTCTAATTCGTCAATGTGTGGACGATATTGAATGAAGCTTGTTTCCATCGCTTCGAGTTGTTTCTGATGTTGTTCCAATGTGCCGACAACTTGAACAGTCAGTTGTTGAAGTTGTTCGTGTTGCTGCTCGATCCATGGGCCAACAACATTGGCTTTTTGAGCGAACTGCATACGGAAACGTTCATTTTGTTGCTGTTTACTGTGTTCATTTTGGAGATCTTGATCACGTTGTGGTACAAGTGTTTGAACTTCATTCCATTTCGATGTGATTTCCTGCAAATAGTCAAGCAATGCAACGCGATGATGTAATCCTCAACTGAATGTAATCAACGGCTAAACTAACGAAAATAAACTTCACCTTGACGGAAATTCGTCTCCGTAATCCTTCGTTATTTAATTATTTAGATCGAGAAAAAAAGAAACTACACCGAATAAATCTTTTAACTACGATAAAGTTAATCCCAGAGCCTTGAAATCGATTTGTTCGGCAAGCAAAGAATGAAGAATAACGTTTTTACAAGTAACTTACATCTGATTCAATATTTGTATAAGGATTTGGTGTTATTTCTAAATTATTTTCATGACAGATTTGTCGAGCTTCTTCGACAAGACGGATAATTGTTTTGAATTCACTATTAGCATCGCCTAATGTTGCTTTAAATTGATTGTGAGCTTCGATTAATCCTAGAGAAAAAGAGTCGAGAACTTGGCACTGATTCAATCACTTGATGGTCAATTTACCGCTGATTTCATCTAATGTATGGATAAAAAACATATCGACTAGGTCTTCCCGCGCTCCATCGAGCCAGTTCGAGAAAGAAGCCGCTTTCTTGGCGTATTCCAAGAAAAGACTATCAATGTTTTCAACAATTTTCTCTGCTTCGGTCAGCGCGGAGCGTCGTTGTTTCGTTAAATTACTTAATTGATCCCATTCATTACAAATCTTTTCACAACGTTGATTAACTCGGTTGATTTGATCATAACCAAGAACGTTCAATTCTTGGGCGATAGCAGCGATTTGTTCAACGCGATCTTGATGAGCAGCAAGATCGCTTTCAAACGCTAAATGTTTACGAAGCAAAGCTCGAAGATCATTCAATGAGTATTGTTTGAAATCAGCTGATTTTAGGAGATCAATCTTGCCGACGGACCATTCTTCATGAATGTCGCATTTGTGTTGAAATTTCTTCCCCAAATGATCGAGTCGTTCAAGTCTAGATCGGGCATAGTTCGAAAGGAAGGCTCGTTCGAATGAGATTCACTTACCGACGCAGTTCACGTAACAGCCAGTCTTCGAAACCCTTCTCTGCTAATTCCAGACCTTTCCAAGCTTCGACAATGTTCTAAAAGTTAACATAAACTTTGCATCAAAGCAGAAGTTCGGATTTGTTCGTCTTACAGCAATTAGTTTGCCTTCAGTTGGTGTGAATATAGGTCGATTCGATAGGCGAAGACGTGTTTGTAATGTATTAAAATCTGTTTCAAGCTTGGCTTTTTGTGATAGCTTCGGCGGCTTTTGCGAACGACAATAGTCTCGAAATTCGCCTAATTTCGCCTGAGTGCCATTTAATGTATTGTCTGTAGCGCGGTTCTCTAACCATGGACGTTTTTGTTTGATCCACTCAAGTAAATCCGATGCTAATCGTTCATATTCGCTCATCATTTGTTCGTTTTCTTGATTAATACTCAACACTTTACATATACGACTCGCTGCTTGTTCAGCCTAGGAAAACCATTCAATGGTCAGAAAGTTGCGGATTTACTGTCGATTGATTACCTTTTGTGTTGTCGAAAAAGCATGGTAATATGATGATACATACGTCATCACAACTTTTTCATCGGCTTTTATGCTGTTATTGATTTCTATAAATAAACGTGCGTCATTCACGGAAAATAGAACAGAGAATCCAATAAAACTCATGCTCACGGCAAACCAACTCTTTTTTACCCTTAATAATACATCTTTCTCAATTGATCTAATAGGATCGATGTGTAGTCGTTGATTTCCGAGAATGACTTACCTTCAGCATCCAACATTTTTGGTATATCCAAATGTTTTTCAGCGATGTCAAACGCCAGATTCAAGTTAGTCAATGGATCTTCCTGGAAGAAGGCACTGTAGACGCCTTATCTGATTATTTCCAAATGACTTACTTTGGTCAGTTTATTATAATCGAGTAAATCTGGACGATGGCGATGGATGAGCGCACAAAATGCGAGACCATCTTTGAAACTAAAAAAATCAATATTCAGCGTTCGTACTATCTCATTCAAAGTTGAAGCAAACCTAGTGTGAAAATTTTGTACATTGACATTTTTATATGGTGATGTTTTACGTTGACACCATAATAATAAACCTTCTTTAGCAGACATTTCTATACGCAAAACAGATAAGTTAAGAACGAATTTTTGAAGAAGTTGACCTCGACTTACCCTCGACTGAAATATCTTGAATAGCAAAACGTAAAATAATTGTCCAGATCATTCCTAATGTCATTTTCAAATTGCCATCAACAATTTCTATGACAAAACATCAAATACAATGAAAAATTATCTACTTCATTTCTCCGACATACCTTCAGCACCAACCATCAGTTTCACACCTTTGCTCGCAATAAAATCCAATGCTTTATTTACATTTGCAATCTTATGAAATCTAGAAGCAGACGCAGAATAAAGATCGATTTCTAGCATTTTCACTGTTCGACGTACCTCATGCGTCCACGGTCAGGTTTAGGTAATTGTTCGTTGGAAATAACCTCCAACAAAAGCATGAGTTTCAAACCATTTTGAAAGTCTTCTTCGATATTTTCAATCGATGTTTCGACTTTACGTAGATGCGAATTGCACCAAGCAGTAAACGTCTATGATTAAGAAACAATTATTTGCTTTTGTTTCTATGAATAAGTAATGATTTGTCCTACTTTCTTTTGTTGCCGTTCCCAAGCCGGATCAAGTACAGATTCACGTTCCCATTCTTCTTCTGGCATCATGTATTCATCGCCTGAATTCTTTTGTGGATACGTCCCATTGCCATTACGATGCTGTTTCGTTGACGTTCCGTTATGTCCGTTAGTTTCATGATAGTAAGCACTCATCTTGTGTACTTCGTCTCGATCTCACTTGTGTTCGCTGTTTTTATGATTAATTTTATAAGTTGACCGTACGAGAAGAGAACATCTGAAAAAGAAAATTTACTCACGTTCGTTTTTATAGCTTGTTTTTTTCTCTGTATGAGTCACTCAAATTCACGCTTAGCCTGTATACGTGCCTGTTTTACGAAACAAAATACCAGACAATCATTGACATTACTATTAAACAGAACAAGAAAAATATAAAAGAAAGAAGGACAGGTGATAAAATACATGGGACGAACACGCTTGTACGCATCGTATGAAAAGTAGATGTTAGTATTTTTTTAGTAGCTGAATCGTATATTTACCTAAGTTAATAGTCTTGTTCAATCGAGCGAACGGATAAATATCAAGCATATTGATACTTCTCTCTCTCTCTTTCTTTCTTTCTCTAGGTACCACTAAAGAATTCTCGTTTAAAAACAAGGAATGAAATATTACTATACAGAAAGATGATCAACAGTTTTCTTCTATCTTGCGCAGATGAGATTTATTTACAGTAGATGGATGATCAGTTTCTTTTTGTCGTTGCTTGATCTTCATTCTTCTTTTTTCGCTCGCACTGATTTCGATCTAGCGTACGGAATGCGCACAAAAAGAAATAACACCAGTGATCAATCTATCCTTGTATTTCGATGGTTTTCTCAATGACGGCCCTTCTTTTTTTTCTCATCCATGTCCTTGAGTCACAAAAAAAAGAAGAAAGAAAACGAAGATTTCATCTAGACAGATGTCAAGTATTAGTAACGATGAAAACGCCTTACGATCAAACATATCAAATGCAACGCGAAAAGGCCCGATATGTTCTTCGGTACTGACAAAATGTTCGATCGATGTTTAGTTTGAGGCGTCAGCCACAGCGCATAGTTTCTCTCTTCTTCGAAACGATAACGATAGACTCGTATACCTTTCTATGTATCTTTCTGTTTGTCCGTGTTATAATCTTTTCCTTCACTCATCGCATTGTTCTCTCTCTCTTTCGCTCTCGTTCTCTGTTATTTTATTTTCTTACGAGGTTTCCTACAATACATATACACGTACACAACATCATTAAGATCGACGGATAAAGAACGTAAAAACAACACATCACTTGTCACAAGCACAATGAATGATAAAACTGTCCATACATATTTTTAAAGATTTCTTCTTTTGTTCGATCGTAACTACGCAATCTTTTATCTTTCTATTCATTTCGACAGAAACTAATGAAATCAAATAAAACAACATACTTCAGGCATTGATGAAGAATCGAGAGAGAGAGAAAAAAAACAACAACGTATACTGAAATGTTAAACAATGAACATGATTCTTCTTCTTCTTTCTTGAACAGTACCTTGTCTGATTGATAGTCATCCACAGAACGCGAGTCGTTTTCTGATTGGTCGATTTCGAAGAGGATAGATTGAGATTTTCTATTGGTTCGAATCTGCACCAGTTGAACTCATGTGAAATAACATCACATTCATTCATTTATTACGGACTGTCTGTCATTAGAAGAAAAACCCCAGCTGAATCATTACGTCATTGTCTCGTCTTAAACATGTCTTTTTGCACCAAAGAAGGTATGAACTGGATCGATGGTAATTAAAATCGACGATTGATTTTTTGTTTAGGAAACGGAAAAGATAAAATCATGTTTTTAACGAAAGATGATTTAAGTTCTCCATCGACTATCAGACACAAAGAAGATGAAGCATTTGATCCTTGGGAACCACATGGTATGTCATCCTTCATAATATTTTTCTTATATACGATTGGTTATCGATCGCACTTTGCTTAGGATTAATTCTACCGAATGGTTCAATTAATTGGGATTGTCCGTGTCTTGGTGGTATGGCTTCAGGGCCATGTGGTCTAGTGTTTCGTCGAGCGTACACTTGTTTTCATAATAGCAGCTCACAAATGAAAGGTGCCGAGTGTATGTCAGATTTCGATGCTCTAACTAAATGTTTTGCAAAATATCCAAAATTATATGGAGGTAAAGACAAATCAAATTCACCGACTGACGCTGCCACATCAGCTCTAGTTGATGGAATCAATACACCGAAGTAGTTTTGTTTTGTGTGATTTTGATTGTCTATCCTAGCTTGTTTCCTAGTGAATGATGCAATCCCTGTGCGTTTTTTTCTTCTAGATATAAGTATGTCCAATGAAGGTTCATTTCGAGTACTTTCGAGTGGTCGAAAACTTGAAAGCGTCTCGTCGGTTAATCGTGTACTCAAAAGTGGTCGTCGTTTAACGGATAATGAACCAGCACAGAAAAAACAACGTACACTCTTTTCGGAAATTGGAACGATTTTACACCATAATCAAGACGAACAGAATCCTCATGGTCGTCACGATGCAACCAGCATTTCGAGTAAAATTCAAGTTAGCGAACGCAAACCACGAGAAAACGAGCCAACAAAGAAGCTTCTACTTCAAGCTGTTTCCGATGCAAATAAAAGCGTTTTGATGAAATTAAACAAAACAAATGGTGTTGTCAAAGTGATGAAACCTGATGGCACAACCGAGTGTTTAACAACACGTACACTGGCCAAGCGTTTGAAAGCAAAGGAACCAATTTGGGTTGATCCAAGTAGTCTAGTTAGTAAAGCTGAACCAACATTAGGAAAAATGAAAATTCGTATTAAAAACGAATACTGTGCTTCGACAACAAATGAAGCCGATTCGAATGAGCAACGCATATCGCCAATGGAATTCGAAGACGACGACGATGATGATGATGAAGTAAGCGAGATTCTTTCGAATGTTCTTTTCCAATGAGCTCCTCTATTTTAGTTCGTGGTTGTTGTAAATAATGATTATGAAACTGGTGATGATTTAAATAATATCTGGATGTTACATGATTACCCTTACGATGATAATGGAAATCAAGCACAGGGCAATGAATTTGATGTCGAACATGGAAATGGAACGTTTAAACGTAAATTAAGTGATGATGCCATGTCAGAAGATAATGATCAACAACAATACTCGCCTCCGACAAGTTTGTCAGCAACGGCAAATAAGAAAACGAAACGGTGTCGATTTTGGCCTGACTGTAATAATGGTGAACAGTGTGAATTCGTTCATCCGACTCAACGTTGCACGTACGATCAGCTGATAAGAAGATATCCAAGTTCGATTCTTTCTTTTAGACATTTTCCAAATTGTGTCTATGGTGCTGAATGTTTATACATTCATCCACCATGTCGATTTGGTGCTGCATGCGCACGACCTGATTGTCCCTACTTACATTCATCAGCCACGCCGGCATCATCGCCAACATCAACGAATAATAATAATCCAACGGTAACTGGACGTTCATCGATAACGATTCGACCAGAAAGTTCAACGGTAAGTGATTTTCCTGAGAAAGAAAAACAGGTGATCTGAATTCTATTTTATTTCTTGCTTAGATCTGTAAATTTGGTGTACAATGTATGCGTCCGAATTGTATGTATTCACATCCTCGTGTTCCATATCCAGCTGCTCGCAATTACAAATGGGTTAATAGCAAATGGTAAGGAGAATATTGTGAGGTATTTTATTTCATTTCTATTGGAATGAGTTTTAGGCATGCTTCCGATGATATCTTATTGGTGCCACCGCCAGCGAAAAGTACCGTCTACGAAAATCCATTCGTGACCGAGAAAATTTCTCCGAATAGTAACGAAAATGAAATCGAAAAATGAGTCTTTCTTTTTTCTGTAACTTGTTTCGAAAGATCGTTTTGTTTGTTTCTCGTTGTTCATGTTTTGTTTTTTTTTTACATTCAAACTTCTGTTCTCACTAAGTTTATTGTTTTGTTCCTTTGTATATGTGCTGTCGGTTGACATTGACATAGAAAAAAAACAAGACAAATCGAGAAGAAATTCTTGAACGATTCATTATTTAATTCTCAGTCTTCTTTTAGACTCATGTGTATGTTACTCGCAGTAATCGTAGGACTATTTTCGGCAAGATATCCTATGACTGGAACGTATGTTCCGTTCGGTGAAATACTCAGCTTTTGAATACAAATTCTATGCTTTTACAGAATATTGTAGATAATTAATTTCGGAAACGAACAGATCCTTAGTCAGCAACTATATGTCATCAAGTACGATTCCATCAGCACAAATGGACAGTAGTAGCAATTCTTCAACTCATGATAGTAGTCATGTAAATATTCTCATTATGTCCGCAAACCTTATTTCGTGAATGTCTTGTTTTCGTATTCGTTCAGAATGTTTCCGATGTTCTCTTGTATGCCGAATCCAAAATGACGCGAAAACAAGCCGTAAGTGAAATAGCTGATGTCGTCTTACGTGCTAATATGAAGCCGAGAACAGTTAAACATGCTCTACAACTATTGAAAGCTCTTTTACCACCCGGAAATACTCTGCCAACTACAGTTAACGAATTATTTGGGGCAATGCTATCATGTAACTAGACGTTTAGACTCAATTCTTCACAGCAGAGAGATTCCATTTTCCTTCTAGCGGAAAATGATTGGCGTTTAGCACAATACTTAATCAAACACAAACAGCGACCAGCATTTCTGTCGGGATTATCTACAGGATCGTCACCTCATGTATGGAGTGACTACTCCAATTCTGCTACGTCTCTAACGGCTGCAAGTTCATCGTCAGTACCAGTGAACCAGTCACTGAATATACCAATGCAATCATCTCCTTTATTCTTACCACTCAGCAACAACAGCGGTAGTAGCAGTAGTAGTAGCAGCAGCAGCAGTAGTAGTAGCGACAGTGACAGCGATAATGAAAATAGTAGTGAATCCTCCTCCTCGTCATCATCATCAGAATCTGAGGCTGATGATGATGACGACGACGACGATGATGATGACAATGATGATGATGATGAAGATGATGACGATGAAAGAAATATACTTCGAGTTCTACAAGAAGCTCAACAACAACGTCGTGAAAACGCATCAACATCTTCATCGTCACCATCTGTGCGACCAACCACTGAAAGTGCAGGTAACATCATTTTATTATCACTGATATCAACGCTATATACACACGTTTCTTTTCTAGAAGTCGATAACAGTTTAAATCGTGTAACATCAAACAACCATAGTGAATCATCCGATCAACGATCTCAAATAGTCTCTAGTTCATTCAATCGATTTCCATTTCTTGGCTCATTCAAACGTCAACGAAGTGAAGTAAGAATTTGCAATTCTAATCGAATTAATTGTTCATTTTACCATACGTATACATTTAGACTTCGTCGGACGAATCGGATAGTGAAACTGATTTATTCTTTCAGACACACATTCAAAATAATCAGGCAAATGATGACGACGACGACGACGACGACGATGATGATAGTGATAGTGATGATGAAACAACGTTTTATTCAATAGCTAATAATAATACTAATATCAATAATACCAAATCGCGATGTTTCGTAAGTGATATATTCCTTTCTCTTACGTTAACTTCGAAGTTTCTATTTTTGTTCGCTAGGAAATGAACGGATGTGATTTACTAGATGGTGGCAAACGACGTCGACATTTGTAGGGCAACGACACGGACATAAATCACTATTATTTTCGACGTCAACGTGAACGTCAATGTTCTAAACTAGGACGAATCCGCATAGATTCATTCGAGAAAAAAATATGTCTATTATTTTTCTTTTAATTCATTCATTTATCTTATTTTTTTTTCATTTGTTTAAAAAGTGTGTGCGTTTGTTTTATAACAGATTGGGTATTAAATACAGAACGATGAAGAAACGATTCGACTATGTCAGAATTGAATAAAAAAATTCAACGGAGGCGGTTACCGAGACTACTCACAATAAGGATGGAAGTATTCTACACGTAAATATAGTGTACATTATTTATCACAGAAAACATAGAAGTTCAGAAGAAATTTCCGAAAAATGGCAACTGCGCATCAGGTAAAGAATCAGGCAAGCGAATAAGAGATTAGCTCAGGACATGTTTTCTAGAGTCGTTCTGTGCACGTACATAATACCAAAGATGAACGTTGCACTACAACACCTGTCCCGCATTATAACTATGAAACGTACTATAAGCATCAGGAAAAGCAACCGGCCCATACGAATGCTCTTCTTCAGTATTTATCTGATACAGAATTAAGACACCGGAATGATAATCTTTACGAAAGTGAGCTTTCTCGACTACCGAGACGTGCTGAGTAAGTCTTTTTTTCGTGTCAGATCGAAAATACAGTTCAGGAATTGATTGTCTACTTAGTATACTCAGTCGTTATATAAAAATGAATCCAAATTTCGAACATTTGAACCGCGTTTACGAACCGAACCTAACGATGATTGAAAAGCAACGTTACAAGCGTTGTCTTGAACAACAACAGCAGAAATTACATCGAACAGTGAAAAAATTCGACTTTCAAACGGCCGACGGTTATAATAGTCATTATTTTCTGACTGGTGCTCGCTATAATCGTTTTGATACAGTGGATTCGAAGATTCTTCACAAATATGGAACATTTGTTAATCGAAACAACCCCGAACAAGTCGATATTAAACCATCGCATTTTAAGAAATTTCGCGAGATTCTTCAAGCTCAAAGACGTTCAAGTACTGGTGAAATAGCGCGACGAGATGCCGGCTATGATTCGACTGAAGATGGAAAACAAGAAGATCTCGATGCACTCACAACTAGATATGAAGGAGGAGGAGCAATTCGACCATCGAATATGGTACCTATGTACGGACGACGTCATAAGCTACCGAAAATCAAAGGTATGATCTATTTCGATATGAAATATGAATTATGATTTCACTTTTTGTGCTCAGATCCGGCTCGATACGTTGATGTTGGCAGTCAAATGCCAGAGAAGAAACGAGGTTTGTCGATTAGACTACTTCGATTGATGAATAGAAACTTTTTTATGCAGGTCGACGTTCGGTGGACCGAGCTATGTCGTCATCTTCAATTCATCGTACCAATCGTCATCGTCGTCAGTCCCAACATCAACAGCAACAACAACAGTCTCAGCAATCGCCCGCTCAACAAAGCAGCGTCTCATATGTTGCTAATAAAATTTCATTTTCATTGGTCAATGAACCCAATACATCAGTCATAACAACATCGCATAAACAAAATGATGATGAATATGAATTGATAACCACTCAGGATTCTGATCGACATTATCATCACCATCCGCATCCTCCTCCACATCCACCTTCTCATCATCAACACCATCAACCGCAAGAGCGCTATGTATCCCCGGAGCCGATCGATAATGTTGGTACTGATGATAATGAGGATGAGGATGCTGATGATCCAGTTTTGATCGAACAACTACAACAGCGAGCAGATGATATTGTTTCAAATGTTCTCGCTTTTGCTATGGAACATATTTTAACAACATCGGAAGAATAATATTATTCTATTTTTCATTTTTTAATGATGAACGCTTTCCTTTTGCTATTCTCACTTATCTTCAATTATAAGAATCTTTTAAGCTTTTGATATTTGTTTTCTTCTGATGCAACAAATCATCAATGTAAATGATTCAAAAAATGTGTTGACATCAAATGCAAAGATAACAAGTGATTGATTAGTACCAAGTGATCTCATCTGTCTTGTTCAGTAGCACGAAAACAGCAGTGGCAAAGAAACAGCGAACAACTTATCATTGGATACGATTCATCTTTCATTCGAGTTTTTCGTTGACTATTGTTCGTTGTGAGGAGTTAGCCGGAGGAGTAAATTCGTTTCAACATCGTTCAAACGAGAACGAATGAAAGATACATGAAGCCTATTATTATCGTCGGTCAGTCTTCGGGTATGTTATTTCTTATCGGTAGATTGGGCCAATTGCTTCACTCTCGAACATAACAGACGCCCGATGGACGTTTGTTTTGCTTTCATTTCACNATTCGAGTTTTTCGTTGACTATTGTTCGTTGTGAGGAGTTAGCCGGAGGAGTAAATTCGTTTCAACATCGTTCAAACGAGAACGAATGAAAGATACATGAAGCCTATTATTATCGTCGGTCAGTCTTCGGGTATGTTATTTCTTATCGGTAGATTGGGCCAATTGCTTCACTCTCGAACATAACAGACGCCCGATGGACGTTTGTTTTGCTTTCATTTCACCTCAAATGGCTTCTGTGTTGATAATGGTGAGTCCACTCACCATCATGCATATGCATTTGGCTGCAAGCCAAAATAAGTATGTTATTCAGACGTTTGATACATACCGTGTCAGAGCCAACCAATCTCGTCTTCTTTTTCTTTTCTTTTTCTTCAGTTGCCCGCTCTTCTTCTCTCTAAGGTCAATATGTCTGACTACGAATAGAAAGAGAGAGAGAGAAATCTATCCATGTTGATTGAACGGGACGATGTGTTCTGAACAAATCGCTGAGGCTCACGAGTCGTGTATGCACATGAGTATTCGAATAAGTATATAGCCTTCGAGTCCTACGCCAAAATAATGTATAGGAAAGAAAGAGAAACAGGTCAATGTTCGGTCAAAAAAACGGGAGAAAAGAGAAATGTACATATCTGAACATGTCGTTCATATTAGACAGCAGCTAACAACGGTCGGACGCGGGCGCGCGCACACACACACACACACAAATCTACGTTTTTTTTCTCTTTTTTTCGACAACGACGACGTGCGTGCGCTCGCGCGCGCAGAGTATACATACAAAACAATGCACAAAGGGTCAAGCATCGGTTCAGTCCGTCCGTTCGTTCATTCGCATCGTTGTTCTTAACGGTTATTGTCGTCTACTGCCGCCAAAATTCGTCCTCCTTTGTCTACTCCTTTTCAGCATTATGACAGTAAAGCTCTAGTAAAATCCACATATTTCTCTGAAAAGATCTTATTGCATGGTGAGCTCATTGTCAATGTTGTTGTGTTTTTATCGACATTATCTCTGCATGTTAACGTGCTGCATGTCACTGCTGTTGTGGCTTTCTTCTTGAGGAGAGCTCTTTGATTTGCATGATTGTGTTATTTAGTCTATGTGGATTTTGCGAGTTCATGACTAGATCTCACACTCATCCCAATTGAGAGCACTTTCACGGAATACAAATATTCGCTCTGGTCTTCCCCCTTCTCCTTTCACAACTATACTTTGCTCAGGCTAGGTGGAATCATGGTTGAGGTTGGTTATGATCGAATTCCTCACCGGGTTCTACACTTAGCTTCAGCGATTATATTCTGATTTAGGCAATTGGAAACTCTCAAGTCCATTTCTTGTTCTTTCGTTGGAAGATTGTATAGCCGGTTATCTTGATTTAGAATAATAGATAAATCACCGGGTATAACACTCTTCCTCTGATATGTTCAANATACTTTGCTCAGGCTAGGTGGAATCATGGTTGAGGTTGGTTATGATCGAATTCCTCACCGGGTTCTACACTTAGCTTCAGCGATTATATTCTGATTTAGGCAATTGGAAACTCTCAAGTCCATTTCTTGTTCTTTCGTTGGAAGATTGTATAGCCGGTTATCTTGATTTAGAATAATAGATAAATCACCGGGTATAACACTCTTCCTCTGATATGTTCAACTATCTTCGATTTTATTCGAGCCGGAAGTGTTTCAATTCTTTAGTAGGAAGATTGCATAGCCGGTCACTTGGATGTTCATGTAGTCACCGGGTATACACTCTTCCTTTGTCTGGCTCATCAGCATCGTTTACCAACCAGAACGGGCCCAACTTTGGGAACAAATGAAAGTTTATCAAAAAAAAACATTCTTCGCATGTTCTTCGAATTATCGTTGAGCAGAATTTTTCGTGTGATATCATAAAACTTGTTGTACTTTTCTTTTTCATCAATAAAATCATAGTAGAAGATTGTCTCAAACAACAATTTCGTTCATATATATATGTGTGTGTTCGAGGAGCCATGTCAACTTTGGAAATGTACATGTTTGTTTGATCGATCGATTATAAATTAAAGATGATTAGATGTGTGTACATGTTACTATTCGCTTCTTTCACAAAGACAGCTGGGAACGATTGAGAACGGTGAATTCCCTTGATAGCCGTAGTGTCGAACGTCATATGTTCAAAAATAGAGTATGGAGCTGTTTTTAGAGAAAATCATCTTTGAAATTGTCAACCATCGTAGGTGTTCGTGCATGTTTCTGGTAAATTACTCGAATCGTTCAATTACGAAAATGACGCTGGATTAATTTCAATACAAGTATTCTTAATCGATGTTCATGTAGGAAAAATATTTTCAAATCAAACGAGCTGTCGCCAGTAGAAATAGGCAACGGAAATCAAAGCTGATTATGAAAGATAATATAGGTTTATTATGGATATCTTTAGAATGAATTGTCATTATTAATTCCGTTCATCATCGCTTTTTACTACATTATTAAACATATCGTCTCGTTCCACGACCTTCAGCAAAGATAATCAGTTCTAGGCACACGTTTTGCCTTCTTGTTGATTAAGATGAAATAATCATCCGGTATTATTCATCGACGGAAATCTTCTTGGAAATCATGATGAAAGATTGAATTGGCATGATTTCGTAACGAATCAATCTCGATCAGATGCCTCGACATAGTTACAAGTTGACTGGAACAAAATGTTTCCTAGTATACTCAAGACATTGTCAAAACCTTTGATCGATTTTGGCATTTATTAACATGCATTTTCTTCATCATGTCATGTTATATAAAAAGACCTATCTCATCAACTATAAAGACAAGCTGCATCTCGCAAGAAACTCATGCCCTCGTGTCAAATTCAGATCCCCTTTGCTGCTCTCTCTCTCTCTCTCTCTTTCAATGTCTTGTGAAACAAAAAATTAATTAGAACGAGGAAGTCATATCGCAAGTCAAGTGCTTCAGAATGATTGTTTCACGTAGATGACGGCAAACGAGAGGTGACTTTCTGCGTATCAGACAAATTCTGAGACAGACGAGGTCGAACATAACAAATACTTTCACTTGATCAATTATGCTGACATTGAAATTTTTCCGAGTTGAACATTTTCCTCTGACATGTATTAAGCTTCTATTGATTAGAAATACACCGAGTGGAAAAGTGAACATTTCTACCGTAAACGATAGCTTGTAACACATGATTTGACAAGCAGCTGTTCAAGTCGTGATTCTCCCTCTCTTTCTAGTCTCCCATTCTGATCGAGAGAGTATTTCATATAAGTAGAATATTAGTTTTTTTTTATTAGAGAGAAAAGAGAAAAAGAGAAAGCAGGAGAAAAAGATTCTTCATAAAAGCCAAGCCAAGATTGTAAGATATGTCTTCTTGATGATCATCTTCATTGAACATCGACGATCATTTTGTGAGTTATCATATCGAACAGAACATGATAAAAGCACCTGATGAATATTCATGTTCGATGACAATTGCAATTCTTTTGTTATTGTTTAATCTTCATATTTTCTAGGTAATCAATAACTAATTCAATAGTGTGTGACAACTTGAAAAACAAAATGAGCAAAAGTCACAATCAACAAATGAGGTAAGGCTGATCGAGTTTCTCTTGCATATGTCACTCATGTCAATAAAGATTAAATTACGTACATCAGTCGAACGAAGTTCGTTGCAACCAAACTTTTCCCCCCTCGTCCCTGATTAAATCATATACATTACAGGATATTTAATAAGACAGTATAAAGCTGGTTTTCCATCCATTAGGAAAAGGGAAAGCACCGATAAAAATAATCAACGACACGAAAAGCAAAATAGGAAGAAAGTTTTTCTGTTGATTGAATTATATGAAGAAGAATTCGATTGAAAACTTCAAACGAATATTCTCTTCGGGTAGTATTTATCAAACTAATTCACGTCGACATTGGTAAGTTCGATTTTCTCAGTTGCATACTTAAAAATGAACGTTTAATAAAACGTCAAACTTTTCTTTCCGATCGTGTCTTGACTTTAATACTGGAAAGTCGTCAAATCCAATCTGACAAGTAGTTAGTTACATATGCATTCTCTTGCAGAGCCTATTAAAGGCCAAATTAGACTTGAATTTGATTCTCATTAGCGCGTACGTGTACGTAGGTGACTTAATCAAGTGTGTTTATTGTTTTAAAGACGAAGAAACATCCTGATGAATGGTGTGTTCCATTATTTATTGATTTGATCATTATGGTCGGTATTGTTTGGCGATGGCTACCATAGACCGAAAGTTGCGACGTGCATCTACTTCGAATAAGATGTCAGAAGGATCTTGTTAGTAAAAAAAAAAGAGCAACAAAAAGCAATCAAAACTATCATAACTTGGCTTAGAAAGAAGAAGTAATAAAAAAGAACAGAAGAAATCTTTCTTCTACTTATTACTACTCTATACTGATCCTAAATGCGAGCGTCTCTTCTTTCTTCTTCTTCGCCTTTTTTGCATGCAACTACACTTACTTAGTTATATCCCTTTACAGTGATTAAACACAAGAGTGTCCTGAATGTCTGGAGGATAAAATCAGACGTTATTGTTTTTCGTGATACTGTCTTTATTATCCGACACGATCAAACATATATAACTACACAAGAAAAAACCAAGTCTGTGTTTTCTCTTTAGTATGAACATGATGGAGAAACATGAACAAACTGTAGCGATGCTTAACGATGAAAAACATCCAACACGGACAAGAATTGATGATAATCAAGGAGAATATCCACCTGTTAGTAGTCTCTTTGATTGTAGGAAGTATTTATTTGCTTTTTTTTCTTCGTTTCAATAGCCTCCGAAAGGTTTTTGTGGTCATTTTCGTGACAATCTGTTACTTACATTAACCATTGCCGGTGTGTTCTTCGGCTTATTACTCGGATTTCTATGTCGTATGACGAAACCGTCCTCCGAAACGATTATGATTCTTTCGTTTCCCGGTGACATTTTGATGCGTATGCTCAAAATGCTCATTCTACCTTTGATTACATCCAGTCTCATCACCGGTACGTGTTTTGATTTGTCAATCATTTCGTCTTCTATCTCTCTGATCGACCTCTTAGGCTTGGCTGTCCTCGATCCAAAATCAAGTGGCAAATTAGGCTTTTATGCACTAACATACTATCTATGTACGACAATGTTAGCCGCTATACTTGGTATTTTACTCGTACAAGCTATTCGACCAGGCGAACGAGAGAATCAAGCTCAAGTTCGCACAGAACTACTAGGTGATGATCCCAAAGCCGATCAAGTAACGACCCTCGATGCTATATTCGACTTAGTTCGGTACAGGATTTTATGATTCTCACGACACCTATTCCGAGTGTTCACTATATTTAGAAATATGTTCGCTGAAAATATTATTCAAGCGGGACTTGAGCAAGTGAAGACAACGCGAGGTAGTCAACTTACTATCGTTTATTTTCATGCATTGTTTGCATTTGATAGATTACTCTACGACTCGATTGAATGATACGAATGTGACCAAAGTCAAATTTACAACACGTTACGTTTCTGGTACCAATTTCTTAGGTAAAAACTCTGTTTAATATGCGTTTGAGCATGAGTTTCTACTAAAAAATGTAGGTTTGATTACATTCTGCTGCGCATTTGGTATTGCCATTGGCACAATGGGCAAACGCGGAGAACCAATGTTACAATTTTTTATTATATTAAATGAAATCGTCATGAAATTAATAAAACTGGTCATGTGGTATGTTGAATTAAATCGGAAGTGAACATTTTCTCTCTTCATATTCAACCGTGCTTTAGGTATTCGCCATTCGGTATCATGTTTTTAGTTGCTGGCAAAATTTTAGAAATAGATGATTTAATTAAATTAGCTCAGAGTTTAGGCATGTATGCTTTGACGGTGTTAACTGGCTTGGCTATACACTCATTGATCACATTGCCAATTATATTTTATGCTGTGACGCGACGGAATCCATTCTCATTCTATCGTGGAATGCTGCAGGCTTGGCTAACGGGTATTGGAACAGGCTCAAGGTAGGAATCGGATGAAGATGAGCTGCGAATTCGATGTTGATTCCTAGTGCGGCGTCGTTACCTGTCACATTCCGATGTTTGGAAGAAACGTTGAAGTTAGATCGACGTGTAACCCGCTTTGTCTTGCCTATCGGAGCAACTGTTAACATGGGTAAACAATAGAAAGAGAAATATCATGTTCAAGAAATAAATCTTCTGATTTAGATGGAACGGCTTTATACGAAGCAGTCGCTCCGGTTTTCCTTGCTCAATTAATGGGCAGACAATTAGGTGTCGGTCAGTTAATTATAGTCAGGTACGAGATTTGCTTCCAAATAAAAACAGAACTAACTTTGTGAATGTCTAGTTTAACCGCAACAGTAGCCTCTATTGGAGCTGCGTCAATCCCATCAGCAGGCCTGGTAACTATGCTCTTAGTTATGTCCGCTGTGAACATTCCTGCGAAAGAAATAACAATCATCTTTGCTATTGATTGGGCCTTGTAAGCAGAATTGTAATCATGTTGATTCGACTATTGATTATTTTTGATATCTAGAGATCGAATTCGAACATCGGTTAATATCTTAGGCGATGGTATCGGAGCTGGCATTGTCGATCATCTCGTTCGCGATAAGCTAGGTCCGATGGATCTTGAAGAAGGGGAAGGCACAACTCATCCAATAACAGCTCATACAGCATCGGAATTGAATGCTGCGCGACGTTTACACAGTCGTGATGATTTTCATCAAGCATCCAAGCTCTAATCAGTGGAAGAATTCGTTTTTCTCTTCTCTCAGGTAATAACAACTGCCTTGAATTAAATTTGAACAAAAAAAAACAACAACAAAGCAAATATTTGAACATTAAAGTACTGTGTATCTATCTATTTTATATTAGTCTAGTTTTGTAAACACTTAAAACAAAAAAACCATGTGTGTATGTGTGTATGTATATAGACTATACAAGTCTTATTTGTTTCTCTTGTTGATTGATTTCTCTTCGATGTTGTTTCTTCTATTTTTTGCTTGTCATCATAGATATGGAAACCAAAACACAAATTCGATCGTACGATTGATGTTTTAGAATTGAGAAAGAAAAACATGCGCATACTTTCTTCTTCTTCTTCTTTTTTTTGTCACTGTCGTTATTTTAATAATTAAATATAAATGAAGCAGAATACCAAATGCACTGCGCCATTTCGGTACGTTTTATGCATAACAAGACTCAGCAGATATGAGAACAACTATCGATTTGCTTGAGTGCGCAAAGGATTGCTTGAAATGTGATTCCATTTCAATGATGGAAAAACGACATTTATCGAGTAAAATTTTAATTCATCAAAGATATGCCCTTGATATTTTTTCCTGATCAGAATATGTCTCCGATTATCGTAGACATGCCTTGAAGGTTCAAGGAGTGAACTGACTACGTCAGACTTTATATTTTCTAGGCCAAATGAACGTGCTCACGTTTGGATTGAGTAATTACGTTGTTGTACGAATTCCGCAATCTGTGATGATCAGTGAGCAATTTTCCAAGGTTTGTGTGAATACCTTTCTTGAAAAGATGACGATGAGAAAAAATACCGTGTCATTTCCCTCGTTGAATTCATTATTGAAATGGGTATGTCAAGGTTTTCTGTCGCTTTCTCATCCAGGCACTCGATGATCAATCTCGGAAAACCTCGTTTCAAATTTCTAAGTAATCACTCGACTTGTAGTCATCTAATTCGGCACCTGAATGTGTACTTTGCCAAGAAAGTACGAGCAATGACAATTGATAAATAGAAATAATGAATGCGTAAGTTATATTTTGCCTTCGTTTAAGTAATCTCACGAGAAATCTACGAGGAATCTCCCAAGATATTCATCCGAATGGAAACTAATCCGAAATAAAATGTATATTAAATGAAAATGAAAAAAAAAACGATGATCATCGTCATCATCATCTTTGTATCACATGAAATCTATCTGATTTTGATCAATGTCCATTGTTAGTATATTCGTGTTCTAATTGTAACGTTTGATGAAGTGTATTTGACTCGACAGCTGATATTAAACCATCAAAATCACAACAATATTGATCATCATTGAATATGTATGGTAATGTTAACTTTTGGTTTCTTGTGGATAACGTTCGTTGTAAAAATTCCTTTTCGTCCGTATGTTTTGGATCGCTTATGTCGATATCAATATAATCGATCTTGTTCGTATCGAGAATGTGTTTCAATTTGCGTTGATTACCGATCGTTAATTGATTACTTGTAATACTGGTTATGTAAACTTTTATTGGCATTTTTCGATTCTAAAAAGAGAAAGATCGAGCATACGGATCTATTCGGGTAACAGCTGTCTAATAAAGAGCATGTACTCGAAAATGTGTGAGTCGGATTCGAGTGAATAGAATAGAATAGTATGTGAGAGAATATGTCGAGCGAAGTAACTAACCACGAAGTTTCGTAGACCGCCAATAGTGTCACTGGTGTAGTAGGGCCCAGAGAGAAGAATATGATTGGATGCCAGAAAAGAACCGATCATATTCCAGTCATATCAGAATAGAATAAATATAGCGAGCAAGCGAGCGACACTTGAAATGACGTAAAAGAGAAAAAGGAGAAAAACCAATCTAAACTGCTTCTTTTTTTCTCGAGAATTTGCTCTCTTTCAAAGTCGTGCATTCAGATGGCATACCTAACTTCTTCGTTTATCTTAATAGAAGCAAGAGAGGAAGACAGAGCGACTACACGCACATGTTTATCACTCATCGAACTATTGATTTCTTTCGTTTTATTTCAGACGAAAGTAAAGACTTGTGTAAGTTGATCTTGTTTTGCTTCTAGTCATGCGATTTTATTGTCAATGTTTAAATGTGACTATTGACGTATTCGAATTAGACAATCAACAAGAAAGTTTAAGACGTAAGGAACTTGTTGACTTGTTTTCTTCGGCCAGGAATGTATTTCTCGTTTAGAGTTTTTACCCGTTGACTTCTGTGAAGAATGGAATGAGTTCCATCTGCTATCAGATCGCGCTGTACATATCGTATGGCAAAGTCTTTACCAATCAATTTCCATGCGTGATATGAAATTAAACCGGTGCTTAGCATGTAATCAATACACACATGTAACTAATCTCGAATTCAATCGAATACTAGTTAACAAGAATCTCCTTGTATGATTTGTTTTGTCAATCCAGAGTAAAGAAAGACTCGTCTCGTTCGTGTTTTAGAATGAAACGACAGTCAAAGATGCTTATGATAATCCTAATTATTCAAAAGTTACCAAAATTCTCTTACCAACGACGACAGCAAGTTCACCGTTAACAAGTCTTTCGACGTCACAAAGTATGTTGGTTATGAAATGATGTACAAGCAAATGAACGACAATATTCGACTATGCATGTTATTTTAGATGAAAAATTTCAGCGTGAATATGAATTAGTTCAACAACTCTATCGACAATCAATAGAAGATGTAGATCGCGAGATCGAAGAAAAAATACAGTATGACGAACATCTACGCATATAAAATATGCATCTCGCCTTCATAGGACATATCAACATGAACAAGAACAATTTTTGAAAACTAAAACAGAAGAAATCAACAAAGAATTAGGTCTCTTTCTAAGGTAAGTTGCTTAGGTACATTGTGCAGACTTTAGTCCATCGACATTACTTGAATCATTCACAAAAGATTGTTCTCAAAGTTTCCGTTCATTTCCCCGTTGTTACTTAACAATCAATTAACTTCCGTTCAATTTTCCTATTTTTAGTTTCATGCGTGCAATACCTCGACAAGCATCTAGCACGAAACCACCGCCTATTTCGCAAACATCAATTACGTATTTGAATGAAAACAGGTGCATTACGATTGAATTACATCCATAAATAGAAATCAACATGCACTTTTCTATTCGATAATAGTATGGAATCAGGTCTAGGTTCGGATATATTTGATACTAATGGAATTGACTTAAGTCGACAATCATCCATGATAGAACGCGTATGAATTCTCTTTGTACTTTCCATTGAGTCATTGCTCTTTTTAAGACATATTCGGAACGCACGAGTAATATTGACGATGAACCAAACGATGATTTATCATTTGATAATGCAGCTTATGATACAATCTCCAACTTTGCTACTTCGATGCCAAAAGATATATCATTTCACCCATATTCGATTCCTCAACAGGTAATTTGATTTTGCCGAAGCGATGATGGTCGACATACTTTCTTTTGAAGAACATTGATCGCAACGATGATAGTACAAATCTCGAACGCATTGGTAAATCATTTCGTGAATTGAGCCAATCGTTAATGTGTACCGATGGCACGGAACTCTTTGGTGATTTGCCATCACCTCGACTGAATGCCCGATAAAACTCCAATTGATCGTTTCCTTCCTCGTTCACTTCAACATTTGTTTCGATCTCAACTTCTTGAGCGACATTCAATTTGTTCTTTCTTTCTCTTACTGTTCGTCAATGAATTCGCTGTATATCTTTTCGTAGTAATGATTACTATCTCGTAGCTTTGTTTTGTATTTCCTTATAAATACATATGTCTAGATTTGATATCAAATCATATCGTTACACACAAATAATGAATACCGTATGTGTAGAATTACCGGCCGAGGTTATGTCTACTTTTAACACATGAGTAGCAATGCAGAAATAATCTTAAATTCTGAGCATGTGTGCCAGTTAATCATATGTAGCTCATTGATTATTCATTTCACTTGCGAGCAGCTCATATAAGCACGCTCACGCCGGCTATTCCGTATCTAATACGACGTCAGTCAAATGCAAACTAGTTCACAAATAGTTCTGACAAAGTTCAACTAAACGTTTCTCCTTTTCTTTATTGTCAAATGTAAGAACAAGAATATAATTAGAAATGACACTTATCAATTGATGCGATCTAATTGTACAAAGATTTTTCCATCGTAAAATGGAACTAATTCATCGTCCATGATCAGTTCACGATAGACATACTGCTCTTTATTGATATCCGGTGTACAGATTGTTTTGAAGAAGTATCTAGAAAAGAATTCGTCAAACCATCTTCGATTTGCCGGATTTGCTCGTTACCTGTATGTGGAGTGTTTTTTGAATAGCTCTCGAAATTCTTTGAATGTGAAATGTCGATCACGGTAAGGGATTGTCGAGAGAAGAGCATGGTTACTGTCTAATGAGGAATACCATATAACATCGATGAATGAGCGTACCTTCGTCGAAGAAGTCAAATCGTAATTTCTAAAAGCAATTCAATTTCTCGAGATGATAATTAATCAAAGTCTTGTTCAATTTACACTTCGGATATATCTGTGCCCATGCCAGAATCGTGTCGAATGAGATGTTGTGATTGATTTCGATTGATAATAACATTTTCATTGAGATAGTTATCAGCATCGTCAATAGTTTGAGCAATTTGTCGATCGAGGATAGCAAACGATTCAGCATCTTCATTCACTTTTGTTTGATAAACTACCAAACGTCGTTGCAGTTCTTCGAAAAACGCTATCGGATTACGTTGCGCAAGATCGCATGATTTATTTTTGTTCAACTCCTACAAACACATCCTTTTATCATCATTTCAATTCGATCAAGTTAGACTCACCGATCGCTTTGAATTTTCTTTGATCGACGTTCTTCCTTCGTATGGACTAGAACAGAAATCGATGAGAAGTTCATTTGCGTCTGCTAACTTACACGTGAGAAAAATTCCGTACAAACAGTAATGTCATTCTTTGTACAAATGACTACTTATTCTCTACAATTGAAGATATGTATATGTTTTGTCTCCTTTCTTTCTTTCTCTGCCTCTCTGTTTCTCGCGCGCGCGCGGCATAATAGTGTAATCTAATTGAATCTGATTCATGTTGACAAGATCAAAGCAAGCGGCTGCGTTAGAAGTTAGAGAGATGAAAAGCAATGCGTAGACTTTGATGCAAAACTACCGACACTTAATCATCCATCGGAGGTAATCTACAGATTGTTCTTTTTGTCAATCAGGTAGCGAAGCGAAAGTGTGACGATATGCACTTATTCGATCGCCGTCATTTCAATTCTATGTATTTATCTTACTTATTCGTTTGTTGCTTGAATTTATCGAAAACGTCTTTCTTCTTCGTTGTTATACAACATCGATGCATTGGAGTGAATCTCGAAGAATCAGTTGCTTGCCGTTTTTTAACCGATGCATTGTGTTGTTCGACCAGAAATTTTGGATAACACATTTGTAACATATATTTGAGAACGTATTCTTGAGCATGTTCGTAAAATGTCGAATAATACTCCCGTTTGATCAATCGTTGTTTAATCGAGTGAAGTAAATCATACGGAAGAGAGAATTGCTTTGATGCTAGTGATTTACCAGTGGATAAGTAATGTTTGTAGATCAAGTCAATAATTGTGCGTTGACTTTTGTTTTCGTCGGTTAAGTTCTTTAATCCATCACACGCTAAGTAGAACTCCAAAACAGGAGCTAATTGTTCGGATTTCATGTAGTTGTAGAATTGTTCACAGGACTCCGATTGATGGAGATAAACGAGAAATTCTTCTCGTAATGAAAGCATGTCGATTCTGTAATGAAAGAACGAAGTTCACTTTCTTTAAATATATATTCGACAAGAGAAAGAGGATCAAAGATGAGCAAATGAAAATTGACAAATCATCTTCCCTCCTTGATGATCTCATTCGTTGTGGTCGAAATTTTCGACTAATATTCTCATGATAATTTCTGATCGCGTTTGACATTCATCATCGATGAAGTAATGAGAAAACGACTCGATCAACAATTACATCTCGAAATTCTCATGTATCATAAGCCCAACTTACTCATCATCGAATGGTCTCTTGTATGTCATCGTTCGAATGGCAAATTTGTGAATAACTAGTTCAACGCTTTTCTACTTTAACTTTAAAACATACGGTACATAACACTTCGGTTTTTTCTTCTTCGCCTTCGCTCTTTTTTTTCGATTAGCCCTTTGGCACTCTGCCACTTGAATTACCTTCTCACATCACATAATGAACATACAGTCCATCTTTGAATATATCACCCACGCGTTTCAAAAGGATGCGTCCTCCTCTTCGGTTACAATCTGAACAGCTTGAATAGCTTCAGGGAAAAGTGACAAAGAGAATTTAATTGAGTATATCATCAGTTTGTAAAGGCGTGTCTAAAGTAACACAAGTGTCAAAGTTAACGTTTTGCTTCTTCGTCGTTTTTCTCTTTTAATAAGCGTTGAATGATTTGTTCGATTTCTTCGTAGTTATCATTCGCCCGTGCACGCGGAACACCGTGATGGTCAATGAAGAATTTGCCAGAGAAATTCCATGTTACACGACCGGGATAGCTTTGTTTTAGCCAAGCATAGATCGCATGTGTATCATCTCCATTGACATTGATTTTGTCGAACATGGGAAACTCAACATTATATTTTTTAATAAAAGATTTGATGGTCGAACACGAACCATGTTCTTGAAACAGAAATTGATTGCATGGAAAGGCGAGAATTTCAAAGCCTTGACCGTGATAACGAGAATATAGATCAACTAAACGTGAATATTCACGATCTGTTTTACCACATGATGATGCAACGTTGACAACCAGGAGAACTTTGCCTTGAAACTCTGACATGGATCGCTCTTTGCCATCGATATCGATTGCTTTTAAATCATGAAATGTACCGAAACTCGGCTGATAATGACCATCAATTTGCGACGATGTCGTACCCATTTTATCAAATACTGAATAAAGTATGAAAGCTTTACAAAAACGCGTTTTTTATTCTACTTCGTTTTGATAGGTCAATTTATCCGTCAATCATAAGAACAGAGTTTCTTACTTACTTCTTCTATAAAACTAAAGAGTATTTATCGCTCTCTGATTGAAACAATGTGATATCTATGATCTCGCATAGCACAGCATGCGCACCCGAAGAGTGTTGTTAGATCATTTGCGTTAATTATTACGTCAACAAAACAATTCCTCATGAGTAGATGAAGGATTGTTAGCTTAGAGCAAAATAATTCAAGTTGAAACGAACTGATCTTTCAGATTGACTAGCAATGTCAGATGCAACATCATCGAAATTTCGCAATTGTTATCAACAAGCACGTCAATGTGTGACATCTAACCAATCTATTCGTCAGTTATTAAATGTGCTTTCAATCTACGGGTGTCCTTTTGATTTCGATCGTCATTTAACATGTGAAACTACGGATCGAAATCTTCGCGGTGGTTTTCATCAATCTCTCTGTCAAATTGTTTTATATCCAGAAAATATCCAGTCAACGGGTGAACTGTGTACTATCTTTGAACATGAACTTATCCATGCATTGGATTACTGCCGTGCTAAGATTGATTTCGCTAACCCATATCATCTCGCCTGTACAGAAATTCGAGCGGCATCGTTAACAGATCAATGTTCGCTACTGCAACACTTATCGACATCGTCACGACCGTTCATTATTAAAAATCAACACGAATCTTGTGTGAAAAATCGCGCTCAACAGTCCATGGAACTGTGTACCGATCTTCCAAGAAAACAAGTCGATCAAATAATCAATGATGTTTTTCTTCGTTGTTATAATGATACGGAACCATTTGATAGAATTCGACGAAGACAATAATTATTTGCCTTTCTCTTTTTTGTGTTCCCTCTCTCTCTCTCTTCTCCATATGTGTCTACATGGAAGAATAATAACAACAGTTAGAAAGAAAGTCGAGTAACATCAAAGCAATTCGCTTAACAAAACATGGCGAGAAAGATAAAATTTTGATGATGATGCTGATGTTATTGCATGAAAGATCTATCAGTAGGAGACATACATGGAATAACTAACAATGTCAAAAGTTAACCAGTAGACTGTGGTAAACGAGACGGTAGAGATGTACAGACATGTTTTTCCTAGGAATGATGTTAAGTATTAAAAGGAACAATTTCGATCTATGTATGACAATCATATGCGAAAGTATTTTATCTGTTTACTCAATTTAAGATGTAGATATCTCCAACTGAGATCTTCTTCGATATATAGCGCGAATACAATCCAAGTTTTCTTTAGAGAATTATGAACGTCAGCATTATCAATGGTGGTCCTTGATTGGCTTCAGACATGTGAATTTGTTCGTGGTAAGTTAGTTACATCAATCTTTCTGATTAAATGATGGTATGCATGTTCTAGCGAACTCGGAAAAGTTTGTCTTGTATTGTCTGTGTGGTTGTTTGGCTGGTATTATTGTTATATTATTATCGATTATAATCATTCTCTTCGTCAACAAATATTGTGACTTCGATGACGACGACGACGACGAGTTATCTCCAGATCTCCAAGATGAATATGTTCAGAAACTCGCTAATCTACCTGTCTACCGTTACAACGGAAGAACTCATCAAGAATTATATGATGTATAACTAGGCAGTGGTCTAGTCAATATCCGGTGAACATTTTATTAACATAACAGAAAAGCGTGCGTTGTACATTATCGCGGTTTCCATTTGATATCGTTTAAGCCTTGAAATTGACGTTTTAGCGAATTGGGATCAGCCCATGCTGAATCCATGTAGGAACTATCTTCGTTTTCTTCGAGTTTCTATTTGAGAGAAGCACATACGCGACTTTTCGAGGGAAAAATCGAATTTTATTTCTTATCTTACTTTCATTTCTTGTTGTTTTCTATAATAATATGCCATCATTTGTTTTTGTTCGTCTTCGGATACGACACGTTCTCGTGCTGGTGCAGCATTACCTTTCTATAGGAAAATAAATTCATATTTGTTTTCATCGTGTTTTTTCTCTCAAACCTTTTGAACTTTAACAATCACTTTCGTCTTTTCATTTTTACCGACAAAATCAGCAAGAACTTTGCCACGTTGCATTTCCTTTCCACTAAACCAAATTGTCATATTAGGTTCAGGAATAACATCGAGACTATCCTAAAAGTTCACATTTTCCAAATGATTCGACCTTCTCCTCAGCAAAACATACTTGTGTGCCCTCAAGTTCTTCTTGATTTTTGAATTCGAGTTCAACAGGATCGTAGGGTGGTAAACCCATGGGATAAACAATCATGACTGCACCTTTCAATTGTTGTAATGCTTCGTTTATCTGATCACATGTTATACATTGATCAGCTTGAACTAATTTCTAGAAAATTTGAACAACGAAGATATTCAATACAGCGTTAGCTCTTCGAATGCATTCGTTATACTTTGGATATCTTGTCCTTTGCTTCTTGAATAGTTCGTTCTATGATTGATCGCATTTTTTCCGTCGGTGCTAAAAAATTTATCGATTGGTGTTTTTGTTTTTGATTGGAAAGTCTTTACCTCGTCCATTTCGTTTTCCCATTACATCTGCTTCTTCGACGTAGCCATCCATCGGTATACATGTATCCTCATATTCATCTTTTAATTTCAAATCAGTTATTTGATCATCGGTTAAACCCTGCATATTCACAGGTAGTGTTATGCCATGTTTGGCTAACATGGACATTTCTAGAAAGAAACGAGGACGGTTTTAGATGAAATGAATGAATGTATTGATTACCATTGCAAATTCGATGAACTTTTAATCGGCCATTGTAGAGTAAAGATATCTGATGAATTAAATCATCAATCGGAATGTTGGTTGTTGTTTCATATAAGAATTGACTTTCATCGCCATGTTTAACGTGTAGTTTAACCATCGTTGATTGAAATAAGAAGTCTGATTCAATGTCGATTTTATATACATGCATATATATTCTTGACAACCGTAACTAGCTTGCTGATTATTTCAACCTATCAACATCGTTTCAAACATATTCCTACTGATCATTCGAGACATCTACAGAAACATGATGAACGCTATGTAAATACAGATATGTATATATATATTTAGGAATGGATGCAATGAACTAGAAAAGAATGTGAACAAAAAACGATCGAAAAATAAAGTGTGTTTTTATGAGTGTCACCAGAGAGAACTCTCCTCTTTAACTATTTGATAAGACTGTTGTGTAAAAGATTTCGTTGTTATTCGTCGTTGCTGTTGGCAGTTCATACTGTCGACGTATATTTGCTTCGGGATCCATCAACTCCGATAATTGCTCTTCAGTAAAACATGTTCGGTGTTGGTGAGGTACACCACTGTTGATCATAAGATTATTTGTCGTGTGAGTGATTGGCTCGCATGGTTGATAAGATCGAGTTGCGACGACATCAGGATCACAGCCAATGTCTTCGAGAACTTTTCGAATACTAGTTGATCGTCGTAAGGTTGAACCGAATTGAGCACGATAAATTTCTGGATCAACACGAAAGCAACCAACATTTTGAACGTCCTGTTCAATACGAACACGTGGAGGATCATATTGAAGGATGACATTACGCTGTGGAGCTTGTATTTGTTCCACTTGCTCGGCACGTTCGTATATAACCGGACGTTCGGGTACTGGCTTGTACGGCAACCATTTCTCGATGATTAGAGGACGAGGCTTGGCTGGAAATGGAGGTATACGCTTGATAATCACGCGACGCGGTGGTGCCGGTTGTGGTGGAAGTGTTTTGGTGATGATTTTTGGTGGTTGAATTTGAGGCGGCGTTGGAGGTTCTTCACGAACAATTATAGGAGATGGAGTTCGAGGTATAACTGGTCTAAATAAAAATAAGAATACGATCTGGATGAAAGGCGAAGCGGAATAATCAACTTACGGCGTCGTAGAGAGAACGAGTGGAGGTAGTTCTTGCGCTGGTGATGATTGTATTTCTCGGATAATGATTGGTTCAGGTGGCGGTGGCGTAGGTGGTTCGAGATATCGTACTCCAACTTTTTGAACATACACAATCTCGTCGGGATTCTCTTTGTAGACAATTTCTGGATTAGGATCATAGTTGAACGGTACTTCTAATGATTTATCATTTAGACATGGGAATGATTGTGTTCGAGCACCTAAATCGGCTTGTTCCGAGGATAATAAAGGTTCGTTTTGTTGTTCGCAGAATGACATGTGTCGAGATTTACGTATCAAATCATCACAATCGTCATCACTAGCTATGCGTTGATTGAAACTTCGATCGAAATTATATCGACGATCATCGGTAGATTTTGAACGTTGTCTTCGCACAAAATCTTCTTGTTCCTGTCGATATTTATCCGGAAAAAGTCGAGCATACGCTGACTGTGGTCCACTAATAAGATTGACGCGTCTCAATGGACTTTTGTCCAAAACTGTCGTTTCGTCCGTTGTCACATTCGCTTCCTTATTAATTGTAGTCGTTGTTGTTGTCGTCGTTATTGCTTGTTCATACAAATCTGGTAAAGCCGGTTGTCGCGTTTTGTGAAACCAATTTGTTCGTATTTGATTAAATCGTTGATTGTCTCTGTTACCAAGACTGGTTTCCTCATCATAATTGTTCACAATCATCTTTTTGTCTAGAAATATTCAGTACACAACAAAGAAACCGGGAGACGACGACTACCTTGAACACGTTACTCTCGTTTTTCTCCCTATCAACTAACCTTGCCGTTTACAGCAATAACTTTAGCGATAGCAGAAAATCAATTGCTGTGACCATGATGTTGTGAAAGAGAAAATATATATAGACGTGGGTAATATGCCTGTTTCGCTTCGATGAGTTTCATAGTAGAAATGTAGAAAAAAATAATAAAGCATTGCCGCGATCTTGTCTATTGATTAGCCAGTCGGTTATTTTCGAATTACAATACAAGAGAGAAAAAAAGAATATTCGCTATTGATCGTATCATTCGTTTCCTTCTTCTTTGTTTTTCGTATAGTAAACAAAATACTCATTCACACATGTGATGAAAAGAATCGTCCGACATATCGGAACTTCATCTTCAAATATCGATCATTAATTTCGTGAAATATTTATTTATCATCTAATTATCTATTGAAAAAGGTCTATCCTAACGAAAATTGAATCATCTGGAATTCTTCTTTCGAATGTTACGGACTCATTCGCCTAATTGACGAAGATGCGGACCGATTGGTGCGTCTGTTCCATGGCGCATTGTCAATTAAATGTCTCATTGACGAGACACTATCGAGAGTATTCGAATGCTCATATTCAGGTATAACATCCATTGTTCTTCCATTATGATATGGTATTGTGTACAGTGGTAATTCATCAACTGCATTATGTCCTGAATAGCTTCTTTCGCGCTCGAATTCACTGTCTTCATTGGCATCGATTGTTACGCGTGATAAGCGACGTTGAATAGAAGCCGAGAGGTGCGGATGGTCAAGTTCCTTCAGTGAATCCTGAATATAGATTCGTTTCAAGTTACTTCTTCGCGAAACATTCATAAAGCGATGCAATAACTTTTGTGCGTAGTTTTTCGCTTTTATATGATGTACAACAGCAATCAGAACGTGTAAAACAAAGGCAAATGCGAATAGTAATGGAGCTAGGTAGCCTGATGTACTTCCATGGTGTGCACCAACGGTCTTTTCGCCGAGCGTAAACTCGTAACAAGCAAAACGTGGTTTGAATACTGTCCCATATTCATCAATAAACGTAACACATGAGATGTAATCTCCATCGTGAAGACCGACAATACGAAGTGAATTATGTGAATCGATGAGCCGTTGACGTGGAAGATACTCACTACGACCATAGGAGCCAAATGGACGAAAGTCGAAATAGTAATATCGGTATTCTTTCAACGTTAAATTGGCTATATCGAAATAGACGGTGATATGTTGATCGCGTTTATTCACTGTATGACCGAACGTTAAACCGAGATCGTTGGTTGGAGCAGCTGGTGCCGGGCTTGCTGAATTATGGTCACCGCCACTTGTGCTCGCATAAATATACGGAAAAGTTAAGAGCAATGGAAGAAAATGCATTGTTCGAAGCGATGCAAAAACAAAATGTGGTGAATTGATTTTGTGCTGTTTTATATCGAAAATGCCATTGACATCGATTACAATTATCATCTCAAAGTTCACTATCGATAGATGAATCTTTTTTCATCTATTCTTTGCAGGCAACGTCGTCATCATAGTACACATTTAACAATCAATATTTGTTTATGGACAAATAGAATCAAATCATCGTGTGTCTTACGTCAGTAATTTTCGGGAAATTTTGCAAGCCCGATGAGTTTTCATATCTTTATCTACTTCCTGATCTGACTAGCTGTACAAAATGAATCATGACATCGTACTTTTACCTTATATTTGCATATGTAACTAACATAAACATGTACAGAGCATATTCATTCGTGAAATGAGTAACCGCTCGTTAGGTGTAACGAAATTTTCAAAAAGTAATCCTATTCCATGGAGAACTATCGATGCTGGTTTGTGCGTCGAAGGGCAATGTTTAAATCGGCAGCATTTCTGCAAAGCGTACAAGCAAATGGTCATCGGGAATTTTCAGATGGGTAAATTTCTTCTTACATCATCAAATACTTTCCACTGTCCGGAATGTGGACATGACGTATATGCGATTAAATTTGGTTTAAATCGTTGTCAATGGAGAATTAAGAAAACCGAAAAATGGAATGTGGTCGAAGACGTTTATCAAACATATAATTTAACTCATATACCTATACATATCGAAATTTGTCCACTAGAGGAAGAGCGCCGAACTGAAGATTGTACCATCTGCTTGTCGCCAATGAATGAACCGAATAAATGCTCAATTTTGCCATGCAAACATATTTTTCATATGAATTGCATTCATAGCTGGATCGATGCTGATGAAGATACATCGTTGCAATGTCCTGTTTGTCGAAGACCCATCTTTGAATAAATTCTTTTTTGTGGAATTCGAAAAGTGACGCCATCTATATGCTATATTTTTTTTTGAGTAAAAAATACCAATCGACGTCTTCACGTCTGTTGCCTCACCGGTTATTTTTATCTTCATACCTAACCTTTTCTTTTCTACTTCGCGAATGATAAGTACAAATCGAAAAGGATCCCTTGATACACCATAGCAGATATTTTTTTCTCTCTGGCAGTCTCTTATTTGTCTATGTTCTCTCTAATCCAATCTTAACCATTGAATGATTCCTGGGTACTTCATATATAAACTAAGCTACTGGATATTGATTTGTACACATAGTGCATTATTCATGATGACGATGCAAATTTATTCAAGCATCATTGTATACTCATTTTTTCAGATTTAGTAAAAAAAATGACGAGTGCCGATACCGTTACAACGTTACAACGCATTGCTAATTTGCTTCGCATTGACAGCATCGAAGCAACACAAGCATCGAATTCAGGGTAAGCCTGGAAGTGAAAATCTAAGTTTGAATCTATTAGAAACGTTTGGTGTTTAATAGCCATCCAACAAGTTGTTCATCGATGGCTGAAATCGTCAGTGTTTTGTTTTTTGATGTTATGCATTATGATCCAAAGGATCCACGTAATCCAGCCGCTGATCGATTCGTTCTCTCCAAAGTAAAATTTATATCTTTGCCAAAATTGTGAGTTTCATTTTTCTCATGAAATATTTAGGGACATTGCGCGCCAATTTTGTATGCTGCTTGGGCTCAAGCTGGCGCTTTTCCAGTAGCAGATCTTAAAAACCTTCGAAAAATCGATTCCGATTTAGAAGGTCACCCAACACCCGTGAGTCTTTCCCTCCTCTTGAATATGCATCAATAATTCTTTGATTTTCCTAGCGGTTAAACTTTATTGATGTTGCTACCGGTTCATTAGGTCAAGGGTTAGGATTTGCAAGTGGTATGGCATATGCTGGCAAATACTTCGACAAATCCGATTATCGAGTCTACTGCGTTCTTGGTGATGGTCAGTATAATAAACTGTGAGGTACAGACCTAATCTCGTCGTTGTTCATTTAGGTGAATGTTCGGAAGGTAGTGTTTGGGAATCATTTGCATTTGCTTCGTTTTACAAATTGGACAACCTTTGCGCCATCATCGACATCAATCGACTTGGTCAAAGTGATCCAACACCATTGCAACATGATTTAGAAACATACCGAAAACGCGTTGACGCTTTTGGGTAAGGAAGACAATGTAACGGAAGATTTTCTCAAGCGAACATGTTTGATTTAGATGGCATCCAATTATTGTCAATGGACAAGATGTTTCTCAATTACTCGCTGCATTCAAAGAAGCATCGGAAACAAAAGATAAACCAACATGTATCTTAGCCAAAACATTCAAAGGCAGTGGCTTGAAAGGCATTGAAAACGAATTAGACTGGCATGGTAAACCATTGGGTGACAAAGCAGACGAACTTGTTGCTAATTTGAGAAAATTAGTCAACGAAGAAAGTTTAGTTCGACCAGCGATCAAGAAAATCGTTGCTAAAGTTCCAGAAATAAAAAAAGACAAAGAAATCAAATTATCAACACCACCAAACTATGATGGCAAAAAAGAGGTTTGAATGAATGAAAAGTCGTAAATGTCGTTTACAATGAACAATTCTAGATTGCTACACGTCTTGCACATGGTACTGCCTTGGAAAAATTAGGCAAAGCTTGCGAATATGTTATTGCCTTAGATGGTGATACAAAGAATTCAACATACTCAATCAAATTCCATGTAAAACATTAGTCGGAGACATGCTCATTCCATTACAAGATGATCTTTCGTTTTCTAGGATGCATTTCCAAAACGTTTTGTTGAATGTTACATTGCCGAACAAAATATGGTTCAAGTTGCAATTGGTATTGCCACCCGTCAACGTTATACCGCGTTTGTTCACACATTCGCTGCATTTCTCTTACGTGCTGCTGATCAAATACGTATGGGTGCCATTTCGTTCACACGAGTCAAGTATGTTGGCTCACATGCCGGTGTATCCATTGGTGAAGATGGCCCATCACAAATGGCTCTGGAAGATTTCGCTTTCTTCCGCACGGTTCCACATATTGTTTGTTTCTATCCATCGGATGCTGTTTCAGCTGAACGCGCCGTTGAGTTAGCAGCCAACTATGATGGAGCTGTTTACATTCGTACAAGTCGACCAAATTTTCCAATCTTATATAAAAATGATGAAGTTTTTCAAATCGGAAAAGCTAAAATCATCGTCGAATCATCCAATGATGTTTGTACAATTGTTGGTGGTGGTGTTACACTACATGAAGCTGTTAAAGCATCGGAAAAACTCAAAGCACAAGGCAAAGCTATTCGTGTCATTGACGCTTTTACAGTCAAACCCATCGATCGAGAAACTATTCTCAAATCGGCCAATGCAACACACAACCGAATCATCGTTGTGGAAGATCACTACCTCGAAGGTGGCCTCGGCGAAGCTGTCATGGCTGCATTAGCTGACCAAGCTGACATAAAAATCATTCACTTAGCTGTCCAAGAAGTTGCCCGCAGTGGCAAATCGGCTGAATTATTAAGCAAATATGGCATTGATGCTGAACATATCGTCAATGCTGTAGAAAAGCTTCTTTGAAGTATATTCGATGAACAGTTGATTCGAAAGAAGAGAAAGCCAAAACAAATTTTAGTTTATAACTAGCTTTTATTCTACCAATAAAACTAAACTATTTTAGTCTAAAAGCACTGCTGGTTGATGCCATGTATGTTATCATAAATTCGGATCAAATGCTAATTGGAGTCGCTTTCTATTAGCGAATATTTGTCGGAGCGAAGAACGAAAGCTATGGTAATGAAAGAGCGATTAAGAATAACATATCATTAGACTCATAGTTCGTTGATCTTATTGGACTTGACATCGATTGTATTTATGAATAGACAAAAAAAAGCAAAGCGTTTACAGAGGATGAAAAAGTACGAGTCTCAAGTATGAATATCATGTTGTACAGGTAATTGATGCATAACTATCATAATGATTGGCTGATTCAGTATTGAGGACTTGTTTCATTTGATCACACAACACATCATTAGTAGCCGACTGTTATAATCAAATATCTGCAGATGATATTCTACAAGAATCAATTGAACGTTATTGCGTCCGATTTTCCGAATATTACTTACCAAAACCGCTCAGTGTATGGTTATATCTTTCGATTAGTCGCTGTCGGATTTATCGCCGGATGCGGCTTCTGTTTTGGCTTTGTCGCCGACCTCCGTTTCAGTTTCATTTCCATCGACTGCTTTCACGATTTTATTCATTTTCTCTTGTGTATCAGGAAAACCGTCACCTTTCTGTCGAATGCATAGCAAACAGATTCGAATCACGAGAAAAGGCGAGCGAAATTACCTTTTTCGAGTGGACTAGTTTTCCATCAACAGTGACTTCGAAAGATCCAGATGTATTCGGAGTTGCTTCACCCGACTAAAGAGACAGTTTACTTCAGTAGTAAATCTAGTGGTAACTTACTATTTCAATGTTTTTTGTGGAGCAAGCTTTCTTTAGTTCATCGCTGAACTTTCGGAACTTGCTCCCGTAACCTCACCCACCGCAGTAGACAACGTGCACCTTAACCATGTTTGCTACAGATAAACTGCTCAAGAATCTGTAGAGAGAGCGAGCAAGTATTTTGTTTTCGAAAACGAAGCGACCAAGATTTATCGCGAAAAGGTATAAACATTCGACTTATATGGGCGTCATCAACTGTATCACCATGTCGTTCTCCTATTTACCTTTCTCTTTTTTTTCCTTTTCGTATACTTCATTAGTTGCTGCAACCGATGTCGCCACCGTTCTATGGTAAGACAAAACTACAGTTTGAATAGAATAGCATCGGACTCTAGTGAAGCTAGTGCACAGTAAACACGAAAGTGCGTCGAATTCATTCTTTCTGGAATAATTTATTTGTAAAAAACATCACATCAGTTGCTTTTCTTTCTCAAAAAAATTAATTCACTGCATCGATGTTCAGTCTAAACATTTTAAACGATACTGGTACCACGCTCGCTCCGTTTCAAGTCCATATTTGTCACACAAATTCGCAAATGACTCATACAACTGTCGAACATCGAAGCGAAGTGACGAATAAAGTTTATGTAGACAGACAGGACACAGAAGTAAAGGTTGTCGATCCATTTCTCTTTCGTTGTTAGCACCGTTCATTAAACAAATGTAATAGATACAATGGTTCAAACCAAATAGATGTCCGACTTCATGTAAGAGAATTTTTATACAGCGCCGAAGCATAATGATGCGATGTTCTTCGGTCAACGGTGTTTGAAGAATTTCTTTAGGAGTTGAATGGTAGAATAATGGATCAAGACGTGCAAATGAATATACGCCAACACCCTCGCTGCTGCGAGCTTGTCCATAAACAAAATTCCAACTCTCATCTGGATATATATCAGCCATTGTGACGGCAACACAAAGAAGTTCACGTTTTGTATCTCGTAAATGACGTGTTTGGGCAATATATGTGTGTATATTGCCAGTCAAATATTGAAGAACACCACCATTGTCACGACTTTTCATACTCGGAGAAAAATCAACTCCTGGTAATAGCTCTACTTCACAACCGGCAAAGAAGACTCGAGCGAATTCAAGTATCACATTCAATTTTGCTGCTCTAAAAGTTATAAATCATTGAATGACAAAGGATCATAGTCAAAATTGTCTACCTTGGATGATCAAAACTGCCGATTGGTTGAATAAATATAGTTTTATAACTATTATGATACAAAGATGCGAAATGTTTCGAAATGAAACGTTGAGTATTACTCACGTTCCATGAGGAACAGCTTTAGATGCCTTTGTTTCGAACGATTTCATTGTTTGGCCTCGTTCTTGGTGCTGTTTTAGCCAATCGCCGTCTCGAGGCACTGGCACAGGCTGAAAGCTTTCGTCAAGTCGATTCGACACGGCCATCTGCATATCCTTCGGCAACTATATGTAAAACGAATAGAATGGAAAAAATAAGTCTGGAAAAATTTAACTGACTTGAGAAATATCACCCAGAGCATCAACAATACGAACACTATCAGGACGTTGAAAACTCATGTTGAATTTTTATTTCACGACGGAAGTCGAGTGAAGTAATAATGATGAAATTCGTGCATCTGCAAGCAGCTATAAATCCTAGAATTCTACCAATCCAAATTTAACTGAATTCACCTGCCTGCACATGAGTGTCATGAGTAATCATGCGCATCAAGACAACAGCGATCTCTAGCGGAGCTTCTATGCTGTACATAACTAATTTCCATATAATTCGATTGAAGTGTTCATATGTATTCATCCCTATTCAGTATCACACCAACTTAAGGTGACCACATCATTGGTAACGGCAGTAATCTAAATATAGTATTTGTTTTCGTAATAATTCGATCTGAAAATGCGAAATTATAAAAGATAAGAGAAGATGTTGGATTTGAGAAGTGGTCTATTTATTTATCCTATGATATAAGGATTATTTTGCGAATGATCTCTGTTAAACCAATGAATCAATAGTACATAAACCACTTGAAATCGTATCTAGAAATAACAATGCTTGGAATTGTTTGGTTTTCTAAGACTAATTTACAGTATCGATTAACTGACTCACTCACCATTATTTTCCATCTTAGATAAGGATCGACAAAACTGACTTTTATGTTTCGCGTAACGTTCTCTTTCAACTTCAAAAGCAGGAAGAATACATTCTGTACAGATACTTGTTCCAGTCACTTACAGCTGTTTATCTGCATTCGGAAATGCGAGTGGTCATTTTTATCTTATTGTTATCATTGAGCACAGGTTCATTCGCATCCGGTAATGACTGGAACTATCAAAATGAAGGACCTGATGTTTGGAGCGACTCATATCCACTTTGTGCTGCACGATTACAGTCGCCAATCGATATTAAAACTGCATGCACAAAATATTTATCCTATAAGCCTTTTCAGTTTACCGAGGATTACAGTATGGTGCATAATTTTACGCTTCAAAATAACGGACATACCATTGTTGGTACATGGAATGCAAGTTACTCAGCTTCATTGAAATTGGTCGGTGGGGATCTGAATGGAAGTTTCGATTTTGTTAGTTTTCATCTTCATTGGGGAGAAAACTATAGATCCGGTAGTGAACATCAAGTGTAAGTTTATTGTGATATATTGAGCGAACTATAAGTGTTCTTCTCTTTTCCAGCAATGGCAACAAATATGCAGGCGAAATTCATTTTATCTATATGAATCCGAAAACGCATCAAGTAGCCGTACTCGGAATATTCATGGAAAGTGTTCGAAATCTTACCATAAACGAGACTGTCGAAAAGACTGCACGGTCCCCTAGTTATACGATCGACGAATGGAAACGATACTTCGATGTAGCTCAGTATCTGAAAAAGCCGGATAATACGACCAACCTCAGTTTGAACTTGTCTTCACTGATGGGAGACTCTCTTAATGATTTCTGGCGATATGAAGGATCGTTAACAACACCGCCATGTACAGAAGGGATCATATGGACAATATTTAGGGAGCCGATTGTATTCACTGAGAGTGAATTGGAGAGTTTTCGAACAAACGTCTACTTCGAAGATTATCGCGATCCGCAGCCTTTGTACGACCGTATAGTATATCGAAGTTTTCCAACTGAAATCATTTCAAACATACCAGATTACCAGTGTTGTTCGAACGATGCGTGTAAAATCACTTCAAAACTGTCTTTTTTTGTACTGACAAAAATTATTGTTGTATCTATTGCTTGTCTTTTTCGAATAATCAATGAATGAGATGTCGATTTTTGACATGAGTTATACATTTCACAGAATAAGGTCAATATCTAGCGACAGGAACTGTTACGTTATGACGAAAATACTCACTTAGACGTCGTGGGTCCTTCAACTACATTTATACATTTTCAATAGCCCAATACCTCCAATTATTACTATAGTACATATAATTTCCTCTTTTATGAAAGAAACGTAGTTGGGCGAATCACGTAGGTAAATATTAACATACAATTGACTCATTCTGCATGAAACATTTATATTGTTGTTTTAATATATTTAAACCATTCAATTTTCTCTATATTTACAGCAATACTACCGAAATGCCTATCGAATTATTTATTTTCGTGACTACTGCACTAGTAGTCCCTCACGCTGTATTTGGAGAACTCTGGAACTACGGAGATCTTGGACCTGATGTTTGGAGCGACACTTATCCACTTTGTGCTTCACGCTCACAGTCGCCCATCAATATCAAGACTGCCTGCACTACCTTTCAACCGTTCCTACCTTTTAAGTTTAGCTCATCGTACAGCAAAACTAATAACTTTACACTTCAAAACAATGGACATACCATCGTAGGACAATATTTTGGTAATGATACTGCCTCTTTCAACCTCACCGGAGGTGCACTGAATGGTACATTCCGTTTTGTCAACTTCCATCTTCACTGGGGAGAAAACTACAAGTCCGGTAGCGAACATCAAGTGTAAGATCACGACGATCTCTTGAAGGGATCACGAATGTTCGTCCCTTTTTTTTCTAGGAATGGCAAAAAATATGCAGGAGAAATTCACTTCGTTCACAGAAATCCAGATACGGGTCAAATAGCTGTTCTTGGAATGTTCATGGAGAGCGTTCGAAACTTTACCATACACGAGACCATCGAAAAAGCTGCCAAGGTCTCTGTTACTACGGTAAATGAATGGAAAAGATACTTTGATGTTGCTGAACAATTGACACAATATGAGAACAAAACTGTACTTAATTTAAATTTGGTTTCCCTAATGGGAGACTCTCTGAGTGATTTCTGGCGATATGCGGGATCGTTAACAACGCCACCCTGTACAGAAGGCATCATCTGGACTATGTTCAGAGATCCAATCATATTCACCGAGAGTGAATTGGCGAGTTTTCGAACAAACGTCTACTTCGAAGATTATCGTGGTCCTCAGCCGCTGTACGATCGTATAGTATATCGGAGTTTCGAAAATGAAACTCTATCGAAAATACCTGAGTATAATTGTTGCTCGAGTGATGCCTGTAAAATAACTGCCAAGCTATTTGTCGTGATAGTATGGAGTTTTTACTTGCTTAACTTGCGGTTATTTTGCTGGATAAACATTAAATAAACTGGCAACTTTCTCCTCCGCGAACCTCCTTGATTCAACGTGATGAATAATCAATGTTTGCAGGCTACTGTTATATGCTTGATGTAACTAACGACGAGTGTATGATGAAAAGAGGGAACTCAAGAGAAAACATTCACGTTTTACACTCTGAAATCTGTAGAAGTATATGACATTTCTTTGCGTCTGCATATTTTAAATTCTTCTGCATGAAATCACGACGTGAAAGCGAGTCAATGTGTAAACAATCATACATGTTTCGCGGGTGGCACTTCAAATCACCAGTATAAAAACAACAGGTCACTTCCCATTCATTACGATTAATCGAGCCCTCGTTTGCATTCCAGCACCACCGAAATACCTATGCAGTTGCTCGTTCTCCTAACTTCTCTGCTTGTGGTGATCTCTCACGCTGTATTTGGAGAACTCTGGAACTACGGAGATCTTGGACCTGATGTTTGGAGCGACACTTATCCACTTTGTGCTTCACGCTCACAGTCGCCCATCAATATCAAGACTGCCTGCACTACCTTTCAACCGTTCCTACCTTTTAAGTTTAGCTCATCGTACAGCAAAACTAATAACTTTACACTTCAAAACAATGGACATACCATCGTAGGACAATATTTTGGTAATGATACTGCCTCTTTCAACCTCACCGGAGGTGCACTGAATGGTACATTCCGTTTTGTCAACTTCCATCTTCACTGGGGAGAAAACTACAAGTCCGGTAGCGAACATCAAGTGTAAGATCACGACGATCTCTTGAAGGGATCACGAATGTTCGTCCCTTTTTTTTCTAGGAATGGCAAAAAATATGCAGGAGAAATTCACTTCGTTCACAGAAATCCAGATACGGGTCAAATAGCTGTTCTTGGAATGTTCATGGAGAGCGTTCGAAACTTTACCATACACGAGACCATCGAAAAAGCTGCCAAGGTCTCTGTTACTACGGTAAATGAATGGAAAAGATACTTTGATGTTGCTGAACAATTGACACAATATGAGAACAAAACTGTACTTAATTTAAATTTGGTTTCCCTAATGGGAGACTCTCTGAGTGATTTCTGGCGATATGCGGGATCGTTAACAACGCCACCCTGTACAGAAGGCATCATCTGGACTATGTTCAGAGATCCAATCATATTCACCGAGAGTGAATTGGCGAGTTTTCGAACAAACGTCTACTTCGAAGATTATCGTGGTCCTCAGCCGCTGTACGATCGTATAGTATATCGGAGTTTCGAAAATGAAACCCTATCGACAATACCTGAGTATAATTGTTGTTCAGGTGCGAGTAAAATACCTTTGGAATTACTTCCATGCATTGCTATGAAATTCTTACTTTTGTTGTTTTCTCATGTTTCTAAATAAACGATGAAAATAAATCGCGAAAAATGTAGCTCATCGATCAAATGCGTGAAATTCTCATGCCCTTGCAGTACGTCAAAGTCTTTACAAACATTCTACGAAAGTTAAACAGGCGCGGCATATCTGATATAAACCATGATGGCTTGTTGTAGAAATGGAATGAGAGTCAGGGAATATTGAATAAATTGGTCACCTGTATTATAAGTCGAAAGTAATAAAGTTAGAAACAAACCATTTCACTAGAGCGTGTTAAGTTATTTTCAATTATTACATAAAGATAACTTTCGTCAATTTATTTCGAAGGAAAAACTTTGAATTCCAGATAATCTTTGGAGTAACACACCTATACTCCTCGACGTTTGAAAATCGTATTTAACAAAATTAGAAAATATCATTCGGATCACATTGTTGCATTTGCGTATCGCAGATAAATCTTATTCAACGATTAAAGTTTTTACCATATTGTTCAAAATATGCAACAACTTTTCCGTTTGTTTTTGTTTTTGTAAGTATTCTATGTACAAAGGATAGAATAATTCGTGATATAGTTTCGGATCAACTTGATGTCGTCCTTGAAGAACTGTAAATAAACTATGTATATTAGTTGTTTTATCAATAATGCCTTGCCCATTGTATTCTTCCATTTCTTTACGGCGCCATTTTAACCCTTTGTTTATTGCTTCAACTAAATGATTTTGATTTTTAGTTGTCCAATCCGACAGTCCCCAAATGCTAAGACCATACAAGTTCAATACGGGGACAGTACTCGAGGATGGTAGAGAACTGTGATGAAAGTGATATAGATCAAATATATTCGTACAACGCGCTGTTAGAAAGTACAGAGTATATTCAGTCCACATCCGACCGAATAGAAGACGCCAGTAGTACCATTTGGCCATTATGGTTAGAAAGGTTTCACCGTAGAGTTTTTGTAGGCGACACAAAGTTCGTAGGGCAATCGTGCGTGACAAAATACTTGGTGTAACGCCCATAGCTGGAATTGATGACGTATTTGCTTTGACACATGATTCTAATTTGATCTGGAGCAGTTCTTCACTTTCTGACCACCATTTCGCATGGCCCGTGTTACCTTCTACTTGAAACGCAGCCCTGAATATTGAAGATGTTTCATTCTTATACAACAGTTGCTCAGCATGTATTGGCCATAGTGCTAGACAATCAGAATCCAAGATAAGGTAATATTCTGTTTGCACAATCTGTGCAATAAATAATTTAAACATCATTTGTAATCGATAAGACATGGTATATTGATGTTTCAGAAGAGTATCGTCAGAAATCAGCGATACCGGCCATGGCCATTGCTTGGCTTGTTCCTTAGAAAGATACGGTTCGAGAAGAGATACGTCTTTCGGTGGTACGAGAAACATAACTTCAGCAATACGGCGAGAATCGAGATGACATAACAAAGCAGCGACAGTTGCGGGCAAACGTTTAAATTCTGGTCGGGCCGTAACAATGACAACAGTAAGATTGTAATCTGATTTATTTTGAACGTTTACAGAATGTGGCCATTCCGGTTGATAGTTATCTGACGCACATTGTAACGGCTGAACAGATCGTACATTAGCTGAAATGAACAGACCGAGATAGAATTGACCCTTGTGTAATGTTTGACCATTGAAAACAAATAAAATGGTTATCAGTAGAATCGCACATAGAGTAAAACGACGGTATCGTAGGTATATACCAAATAGTTTGGAAAAGATCTTCCGTAAGTAGAATATCGAAAGTATTATCTTCTTTTTAACGAAATTCATGATTGTATAATAAAACACATAAAACTTCTATTATGTAGATCTTTCATCTTCGTTAAAAACTTCACAATACGAATCTAACACCAATGATATTTGAGTCAAATGACCTTCAAGACTCTTCCGAATAAGACTATGGAGTAGTCATCCTAACTATTCGCACATTAAACTTTGTGTAGTAGTTGCAAGGTTTTATGACTCTATTAAATGTCTCAATCGTTGCCATTCGAGTAAAAGGTGTCATGGCATAAATAATATTGATGGCTATGAGATTCGAACGAACTCTTACGCCATCTATGGCTCATTATTCACACAACTTGCACACTCATGAAGTTCTGCGTTGAGTAGAGTGAATTTTTATTTATATCTATGCATTGTTTTCGTATAACGACAAAGAGCAAAACCAAAGAAAATAGATAACAACACGAACAAAGGGAAAAGAAATTTTTAACACAAAAAGTTTTATTACTCCAAAAGAAAACATCAAATATGTGCATCATCTGACAAATCTTCTCGTCGCTGCTATGATCGCTGTCAATAAGCATAGTAAAAAGATCATAGACATTGGAAGAGAAGGATCAGTTCGATGGTGGATTTGTCCGATTATTATCTGAATCACCATCACTGTCGACAACAATCAGCGAATTCGCATTTTGACCTGATGTGTCAGCTGTTATTGGTCGAGGTAGAATTGGAACTGCACGCGCTAAAAAGCAAAGACGATTTCGATTAATGGGAATAGATTTTTTAGGATGCTTTGTTTTACTCAGAGGTTTCTGTACACGTTTAGTTGCTGTTTTGACGACATTATTGGTTCGATCATTGATGGCTGTTGCTGTTCCCGTGTTTGCTACTCTTTGATTTACCAATTGCAATAGATGATTATAATTTATCGGTGCTCCGTTTAGTGAACGAAATGTCTGCTGAAATTCATTGACTAGTTGAGCAACGTTTGTATTAGTGAATCTCGATTGAGTTGCCATTTGCTGCTGTTGTTGAAGTTGTTGCGTAATCATAGCGTTCAATCGTTGTTGATTTTGAATACGTTCAAGATACAATTGACGTTGGTCGGGCAAACGTTTCAGATTTTCATATTCTTCCACAGCTACATTACAAAAAGTGATTCAGATATCAAACAAATTATCTGTTGTACCTCTAAGTCGTTCTTCTTCGGTAAGACCTTCATGAATTTTGTTCTCTAATAGTGAATCGTGTGAATGATAAGAATGTATCCACTGATTGTGTTCACATAATAGATCAAGCAGAAGATGATCTTTCGGTACGGGATAATTCACTTCATTTTCTAGTTCAGTTAAAACTGTCGTTGCAGAGCGAGGTTCGGGTAACATTTCTCGTTTGAATTTATACAATTCTTTAATATCATTTTGAGTAAAGTGACGATCCAATTGATGGTCATCTACCACGCTAGAATAAACGAATATCGATTACGAATGTTAGACTTAGAAACGAGCATCTCTACCGTTGGGAGATCGATTGCTTAACAACTTGGCGTTGGTAGATCTTTTCTTCCATTGTACCTTGTGCGAGAAATCGATAGATATACACCGGTTTCTTTTGACCAAAACGATATGAACGAAAAATAGCCTGAGTATCATGACTAAACAGATGCAAACAAAAGGAGTCAGTTGAATTCTGCCGTGTCGCTTCATTCGATTTACCTTGGATTCCAACTAGCGTCAAAAACAATCACTCGGTTACTACCAGTTAAGTTAATTCCGATCCCGCCGGCTAATGTTGAGATAAGGAATAATCGTCCGCGTGAGTTTTGTGCATCATTAAATGCTTTGGCGTAACGTTTTCGTGATGTGACTTCGGTTTGTCCATCCATACGGAAATAATCTTGATCACGGATCCATTCGACGGGTGGTGGAATTGGTTCATTCGAAATAGTTTCGTGGGTTTCACTGGACGCAAGAAGTTCGTGCAGTTGTCGTCGAGAATCACATTGTTTTTGGTATTCTTTCTCGTTTTCGACTTGTAAATGTTTGAGAAATTTTTCGATGTGATTCAACGTGTAGATGCTTCGAGAGAAGAGAAGAACTTTATCGCCAATTTCGAAGCATTTATCGAGAATAAATTTCAAGATGAGAAATTTTCCGCTTAATTCAAGATCAAATCGATGCTCTTCAGGTATACCATCCAGAATGGAAAACCAGAACTGTTCGCGCATTTCATCGATCCACGGCGCATCGGCAATTGGACTTGACTCTTCAACTTGAACTTGACCATTTTCTGTATCGCATACATTCAAATCGCCTGCTCTCGTCGATCGGTTCTTCTGTTCGTCCGTAGTCGTTGCTCGACTACGAGTCGGATACGATCGAACGATCTCGATATCGGATTCGCTAGTGTCAGAAGTTGAATTCGTATTGCCTTCCTTTGCCGGAGTTTCATCACTGCTATCAACAGAAGTCGAATTAATCGTTGTCGTGGCAGATGAATTTGAAAGTGGAGGCTTGTCTATGTCGGATGTTATTGGTTTAATTTCATCATCGATATTATCGATCAGAAAACCACTGTAACTTTTGTGTGATTCGGACTGAAACAAAAATAAGATGGTTTTCACAAGCAATATTCGTTTACTAAGAGTAAAAGTTGTAAAATCACAGATGACTTAGAATTATCGGAGATAATCAGAATTTATCGTCTAATGAAAAATGTACTCGATTATGAGAACTATATGGAGTGTGTTAATGAACAATAGCAGGAAAAATTAGTAAAACATCGTTTGAGATCAAAAACGGAATTCGAATGTCACTATTTCAACTCTACGTTACACTAATGATGTTTTACTCGATTTTACCGTATAGCAATCTTCTGAAAGTATAGAATATGACATTTGATCACAAAAGCAACATGAAAGATCTACCTGATTTGGGTTTTTCTCGGATTTTTGTTGTTTTCTTTTATCTGAATCTTCTTCATCGCCGAACATAACTTCTAAATCGTTATCGTCAACAAAACTGTCGTCGTCATCATCAGCAGCATTCATGCGTTTTTTCCAGCGATCAATAAAATGCGGATAAAGTAAAAATGGATGACTAGAAAAGATCGATATGTCATACGTTTTGAAATTTTCCTTCGTCTTACGTCCAAATCTTCTGTAAAAATTGATAATCAGCAAACAATTGTGCAGACTTGAAATCTTTCTTCGAAACGGTTGAGCGTTGTTCTTGATTAACATGTTTCTTCAGATAAATTTCGTATAGTTCAGACTGTAAATCACTTAATCGAATGTTAATAATGTATTCGAATTTCGGTGGAAGATATTCTTTTAATAAAGAATAATCTTTTCGATCGACGAAGCCGGTTAGTAATCCATGTAAGACACATGCACGTCGTTTCATTAAACGTACGTCCTCATCATTCGAATCGCGATGTTGACCATTTTGAATGGGATTGACGAACCGATTGATATATTCGGATTGACTACCAAGAAGATTAGGTTTGATAAAAGACACCATACAGTAACTGAAAAAGAGAGATGATTTCAGAAATGCATGAAAAATTCGTTTTTACTATTCGATCAAATTGTTTTGCAATGGTGTACCGGTTAAAACGATTCGACGACGCGTTTTAATTTTCGACAAACTTTTCGCGAGGGCTGTTTGAGCATTTTTCAGAATATGTCCTTCATCAGCAACTAAAACATATTTTGAAGTTTGATAATGACAATATTCAAGTATTTCGTATCGAATATTTACCGACGATGTCTGGACCGGGATCGACAAGACATTTGAGCGCATCTGTTTTTGATTTTTTATTTTTGATACCGAAACCATTGGCCAATCGGCGGTACATTTCATAGCCCATGATCATCACGCCACCGTTTTCAAACCAATAATTCAAATGACAAATACGCAAATTGGCTTTGATTGTTGCTAGCTGATAATGGTCAATAGGTGGATCGATATTTTTTAACCAATGATCGAATTCATTTGACCAATTGAGAGCTAAAAATAAAACGATCAAGTTCAATGTTTTCTATTGTCTTCGAAGTCTTTACCAGCATTGATTGGACAAAGAACAAGACACGTTTTCACATTTGTTATTCGATCATAATTAAAAACCGTATGCAGAAAACTGATAATCTGTAGAGTTTTACCCAAGCCCATACAATGTGCTAAAATACATCCATTTCCCTGATGTTTCTTCTTTTGAATCGCTTCAATTGATTCGAAAACGTTGTTCCATAAAAACTGTACACCTTCACACTGATGCGGCTTGAGCTGTTCGACTAGCGCAGGTGCAACTTCGATCAATGGTTCGTTTGTGGTTTTGTCTCTTTCGAGAATTAACCGATCGTTGTTTGAGTCCATTTCGTTATTGGAATGAAATGATGATTGCTCTAGTAAACTTTCATTGTACTCCTTTTGTTTTTCAGCAATGCGTTTTCGACGTTCCTTTTCCGCTTCGATTGCATTTTTCGTTTGAGCATCTAATTCTTGATCATCCATGATCTTGCGTATATTTTTTCGGCCGTGTTTTCGTTTCGAAGGTGATTTCTCTTCGTCATCATCAGTTCCATTTAATTTTGATTTCGAACGGTCAGTGCCAGTATCATCGGACACTGCCGACGAGTTTGAACTTCGCTTCTTGTCTCGTTTACGTTTAACTTGTTTCTTGGAAACACTTGCTTGTTTTCGTCGTTCGCTAGAAGATTCCCCCAAGACTTTATCACTAATAACGGACTCTTCCGACGAGGAGCGCTCGATACGAAGTCGACGTGTAACTGAAGCTGCATTTTCGTGCGCACTCGAAGTCTAGAAAGGAAGAAACGAATTTCAGAACATCTGCAAAAACAGCGGGCTTTATGTCTACCGAGTCAGAATCACTTGTTGATATGGATAAATTAGCACGATGTTTGACAACATATTTGGTCTTCTTCTTAACTGGTGATATATCTGAAGTGGATGATAGCGGTAAGAGACGTTTGGAAGATTTTGACGCAGTTGAAGGTTTCTTTGTCGTATCATTCTCATCAGTTGATTCTGATGAAGAGGACAATGATTTGGATCGGTTAAGTAAATGGCCATAGGACGGAACATCGACTGGAGATCTAGAGATTCCAAAGAATATTTATCACTGATGATTGAAACTATTTACTGTTCATGAACAGGCTCGGATTCGGATTCAGATGATAAAGGCGGAGGCTCGTTTACATCATCGGACGGATCTTTTGTGGCATTATCTTTTGTTTTCACTGCTTTCTTCGAAGATGATGGTATGGCAGGTTCTTGTCGATCGTTTTCGGCCGTCTTATCTTCTAATTCCATCGGATTCGAATTTTCATGAGATTCGACGGAATTATCTGACTGCATTTGATCGTTGTCAGATGATAAATTGTAGTTGATGATAACATCTTTGTTTCTCGTTGAATTTCGCCTTGGTCTGTTAGACTCATTCGATGTTTTGTTAGTCTTGTTCGAAACGGACTTTCTTCGTGTTCGAAATTTAATATTATAATCTTCTTCGTCGTCATCCGACGTTGAAGAACTTGCTGATGTTTCATCCGTTTTACGTGTCTTTGATGACGAAGCCATTGTATCATTATCAGATATGCGCGCCTTTCTTTTCTTTGAGTTTTCACCATGATTCTTACTTGTAGATCGAGAGATATCCGCAGATGTATTGGTATCTAGAATTCAAAAGGTCTTATTTCAAAAACATACTATTCTATTTACCATTGTGACTATTTTCTGATATATCCGATTGTCTCTTTCGAGTATCTTCTTAAAGAAAAGTTTGTATTTAATTACCATTCAATTCTGCAATGGATCTTTACCGTTTCTCCATGCTAATGGCATGTATAGGTGAGCATCTTCTTGTGAAATACGCTTTAGACGAATCGATGGGCGAAAAACATCGTCATCTTGTTGTTGATGATCATCACTATCTTCGCTCTCTTCGAGCAAAGCTTGTCTGGCTCGTTGTTCATCGTTTTCATGATCCGAATGGGTGAGTGCTGTATTCTCGAGTCCTAATGTAGAATGAAAAGACACTTCCTCGTTATCACTTGAACTATGGTCGTCGAGTAATCTAGCGCGATGATATTCTTCATCATCTGTGAATACAAAGGAAGTAGAAGAAAGGTTCGTTAAGAAACGATTCGATTACCTTTGACTATATCTTCGAGTTCAGTGAGTTTCGCTATGATTAACTCATGTAGTTGAGTATTCTCTGGAATCTGTTCTAGTAACCACACGGTTTTAAATACCTTTAACCAATCCAAGATTTGATGTAAGTTAGTTGTCATAATTCTACAACAAAAGAATTTTCTTCGAAATAGATGATTTATTGGAAAGGGTGTCATACTTGTTGGTTAAGAGTTACATCCCACAAAACTTTTTCAGATTTATTTTTGAATGTCGTCTTTTTTTTCCTCAAGAAACGTTGCATTCATATTTCAATCAAACGTGTAGCTATTTAAACTAATCAGAAAAGAGAAGAGTAGAGGGCACTGACTGTTATTTCATCGGTTTTGGGTATATTTCTCCTACACGGTAAAAAAGACGACTTAGTCGGAATGAAAGCAATCAGTGAGAGTAGGTTTCGATCGAAAAGATTAGACACATCGGAAACGAGATTTTATTTGAAAAAGTCTCTTAGATTCTTCAATTATAAAAAAGTTCACACTGTATCGTATTTAAAAATGCATGTATTTATATAAAAAGGTTTCATTGATGTCATTTAAATAAAAATCGAGAAGATAGTTAGGAAAGTTTATGTGATATCTTCGTTAACCTGGTGTAACAGGTGGAGCAGCACATATGGAAAATGTCGAATTCCAATTCGTACCCGACGGACAGACACACACTCCTAGGAATGTTCCGTTTCCATAATTCAGCGTATGATTACACACCAAACCTGCTCCGGCGGCTGATAAACACGTGGATGTATTCACCGGCGCTGTCGTCCAATCCATACAAGTCTGGGACAGCAGCACCCGGTCTATACAAGTAATCCCATTCTAGAACGAAGTCGAAAATGAAAAAGATCAATTCAGTTTTCGAAAACATTAGCCATCTCCTTACCCAATACTTCGTTGTGGCACATTCGCATGTAGCAACTGACGCAATTGAACTTGAACCGAATGGGCATGACACCAAATTGTAGTCGGCACACTGATACGTTGCATTGCATGCAGCACTTGCATTGTTACCCCAAGATGGTATACCTTTGTCACGACAATATGTTCCATTCCACCACTGAATACTAGTACAGTTACTACGAGTCAAGAAAAACAAGATGTTTTACAAAGTTTCTTTCCTTTATGAACAGAGTTTCGATTACATACCACCAACCGGATGCGGTTTGATTGGAAACCGAATCGTTTATACATTGTAAATTCGCATTTTTATCACACTCGTTTGTTGTACAGTTCTTTACTAGAGTGCAAGATTGATGACGCTAAAAAGAAGAAGAAGAGCGGTCGAATTTTATGTACTTAAAGGTAGTCCCATACTTTTTTCGAGATAAGACATGTTTGTGTACACTCTTCCCAGTATGATGTTGAATTGCAGAGACATATATATCCAGGCGGACTTGACAGAGTGGAATAAATACACACTAAATTAACCGGTGAAAAATCTCGACAATATGTGGTATTAAGACATGCGACTGAATAATTATGTTTTGCTTGACATACACTACCATCCCAATAATCATAGTACGCGCATAGACATGTGCCATTGTAACATTTCAAATAATTGTAATCTTGACAGTCGAGATCACCATAACACGTTGATTGACCGTATCCCTTTTTCAATACGCACGAGTTCGAACCATTGGTAACATATAATGAGTTCCAAATGAAACTGATGTTAAAACAATCGCATTTCTGAAACAGAGCACCACCTAAGCCCTGACAATGTAGACCACGATTGTCATCACAAACATAGGATGACGTGCAACTTGTGTTGAACCATTGCTTTTGTAAGCAAGTAGTATTCCAAAAATGATTTTTATCACAGTCGCAGGTACCGACGGATTGAGTGTAGTTACTACAGAATAAACCATTTCCAGAACTGCATTCTGTAGTTGTAGTACATTTCCCACCAATTGATAGTTTATTGGCACATGTCGAACCGTCCCAAAACATAAAACTCGAATTGCATAAGCATTGACCTACTGTGGATGATCCCCATATACTATAATCACAATAGAGACCTTGCGATGTACTGCACAGAATAATCGATGTACAATTATCGAGATAAGTTGCTGCTGGTGTACAATAGCCCGTAACACCGGCAGTAACAACAGCCGTTGGATCATAATTTGTACTCGATGGACATGAACAGAGGTTGTTTGTACATATCAAATTTTTTCGATAATCACAATTTGAACTTGCAGAGCAGGATTTATTAAAAGTGCGTAGTGGCTCACAATAGCCATTACCCAATGAAGCTGTACCGTTATAGAATTGAGTGGATCCACATTGACACACACCTGACATGGAAGAAAAATAGAATTATACGAATATATATTTAGAACAACGGACTCCTCTCTTACCATATTCACTGCCATAGGGATTCGAATATTTAGCACATGTCAGACCTTGACCCATGGGAGCAGAGTAATCGCACCAACTATTATCATACGGATAGCAATACTGATTGACTGTTCGCTTATATTCACATGTACCCGAACCTATCTTCCCGTTCCAAAACATCGACGAGTTACACTGACATATATTCCCCAGTGATGAATCGCAGTATAAATACCTCGTCGTATCACAGTTCGCGCTGGTAAGACACGTGTCATTGTATAATCCTTGAGCTGCACACTAGTACACAATCGAAAGATTAGTAAGTCCTTACCCAATCAGTTGTTAAACTTACCTGTACACCGTTCCAATTTAGTGAAGCTTTACACTGGCATTGAAGTTGAATATCACCATTACTAGAACAAATAATGCCATTAGAAATAAAAGAATCGTCAAATTTTCTCTTCGCTTACCTTAGCGTAACATTGAAACACTGCAGATTTGCTAAAATATCACATTCCGAATTGTTAACACATGTTCGATTGATCATTCGTCGTCGTTCGCAGGTTAAATACGTCTCACTCCAAAAATGCGAATACGCACATCCGCAATGATAATTGTTACACATCAAACCCAGATCTTGCCGGCAATCACTGTTACTTTTACATGGACCACCATAACCTTGCTTTTGCAACGTAACAATCGTCGCAAAAACGAGAAACGCTGCCATAGCGAGAATACCCAATGTAACTAATGTTAATAAGAGCCATCGTGGAATAATTAAATCACGTTTCCAACACGACTGCGGTCTCTCTTTGTGAATAACATCGTATTCAGCAATCAAAACGTTTGGTGCATTAGTGTTCTTAACTATATGCTCTTGAATAACGGTATTAGGATTCTATGAAAACAGACGCAAAATATGACATACATAAAAAGAGAAATTTTACGAACTATATCCTTGATCGGCGTAACGACCTTACGCTGTTTTGGACCGCGCATCACGCACGTAGATTGAAAACAAAATGTAGTTGTATCTGCGTTGACGCTCGACAATAAGAAAATAGAAAGGTTCTCTCTCTCTCGCTCTCTTTCTTAAATCGCCTACAAGCAACGAAATCAGTAGAAGAAAATTGCTCAAATAAACAAGTTAGTTGTATTCTTCGGATATTTAAATAAGAATGTCAAGCAAAACAAACGGCTTTTTTCTTCTCTCTAAATCAAACAATCCACCCATCCTTCTTCAAAACATCGTTTTTCACTTCGAAAATTCATTTTTTTTTGTTGTTTACTGTTGACGCACTTTACCGTTTGCAGTATTTTTCTTCATACAAACTGCATTTCAATCTCTGAGTATATTTAGTAATGAATAAAAGAAATTTAATTCCAATTTTCTTCTTTCTTTCATCAGCTAATCATGTCTTTGTGAAATGTATTGTTGTAAGTACGGAGAGAGAAAAAAAGGGCGGATAACGAAATTTCTCAGATGTTAAAACGTTTACGCATCATCATCAGATCGATTCCAGTACAAACAAAAAGGTGGGCAAAGGTGTTTCTGTCATTGATAAAACATGATTTTCAATCAGATCTTTATTATCTTTCGAAAATAGAACAAAAAAAAGAAACGCAATGAGACTTTGTACAGAAATGAACATATTCGTGCATGAACATCTCATATGACTAGATGGCACTCATGTTTGAAGAACAGCAAAGCTAATAAATAAATCCGGAATGTAAACTACGAATAAATACAGACGAATTTTTGTACATAATTCATTCTCAAAATGTGGCCCTATGGAAGAAAAAGAAGAATACATCGAATTTACTGTTATCAGCTCAAAAGAAAAGAATAAATATGTCGAGGAAATAAATGATAATTGCGACTATTAATCAATTGCTTTGATTTAACTAATTTCAAACAAATTTCACGTAACGATGAACATAATTGACAGCAATGTTGGAGAATCATTGTACACTGTGCGCTTGTTGATGATACAGCTGGATATAATGGCATCGTTTTTGGTATTGAATGGAAAGCAATGCCCATCGATTGATTATTGACACTATATGAAAGCGTTCGAGCATCAGCATCAAATTCCAAGCCAATTAAAACCGGTTGAAGTGGTTCAAATGATTTCGTTAAGTATCGCCGTGATTCTCCATTATGCCATAATAATCCATGGTGTGATAAACCCCAACCGTGCTGATCTCTTCCAATTAAATCAATAAAATTGGATGAGACTAATTTTTGCTGATTCGCTATGAACAAAAGAAAAGAATCCATGTTTTTTTTTCTTATTAAATCAAAGTTATGATCAACTCACTGGCTATACCAAACATAATTGATGTGCCATATACAGCTGGCATATAGATTTCCCAATAGTGTTTTCCATGGCATGGTAATGGTCGATCAGCAAGAATGACTTCGGTTGAGGAACTTACTCTCGGATGAAACAAGATTTGTTTATCGTGGTTCAATAAGATTGCTGTCGATGTTGTTGACCATCTCCATGAACTTTCAAGACAAGTTTTATGAGGAAAATGTCGACTCTGGAGATGACATTGTAAACTCGTCGATGACCACGAGAATGGTACGGAACGAGTGATGTGTCTGTTATTTATAATGCTGCTGTACTTTTTTCTTTTTTTTCTCATAGCTCTAGCCAATACCGTGGTTGGAAATTTTTTTTCTTCCTTTTTGCACATGTCTATCCACTCGGAATTGTATACGCTTTATATATGGGTATATATGCAAGAAAAAAACTATTTTCTTCTCTCTTTCTCTCGTTTGTACAGCGAACAGAAACGAGAGACACGAGTTGACAAATGATATTAATGAATGCTCAGCACGCTATGACTTGTCTTTGTCTAACATCTGCCAAAAGAAAAAAAAAGTGCCATATGTTTTCGTGTTCTACACTTTTTTTAATAATGAAAGTGATCATAGTGTAGGGAAAGTAAGAAGACTCCTCAGGCGATCTTCCGGTATGTCTCTTTTTCAATTGATCGTTAGTTTATAAAAAGCAATTAAAATGAGAGAGAGAGAATGATCGAGTAACAACAGCTGGCTGATTTTCTCTCCCTTGTTCTCTCATCAATCGCTTGTTTTTGTTCAATTAATGAATGGCGACACGCGACAAAGCGCCTTGTGAACTCGAAAAGAGGAAGTTGATTTCAATCGGTCGATGTTAAATGAACAGTAAAGAGAGGGTGAGAACAACATAAAAGTAAGTCGACACACGTGACCATCTGTCACTAAAACAAAGAATATCCGATAGTGAATTCATTCAAGTAGTTGCTTTTTCGAAACTTGCTAACAGTTGTTCACTCAGCAGGCACCATTTGCTTTTCAATTTTACTCGAGTGATTCTGAACATATTGTTTGCTGATCTTTATCTCGAATAGCCTGCTGAGAAGAGGAGAGATTATGACGATTTGGATATGCGATTAATTGCATAAGCAAGGAAAATGAATTGCATGTACGTATCCAAAGAAGAATAAGATATTTCTCTCTTTCTCTCAATAGACAATCTCCTTATATTTCATTTCCTGGATCAAACTAATACACTTGAAATTTTCCGAAGTTTTCCACTTCATTTCGTCAATATCATCCTTTTCAAGTATGCAGCAGATGTGATCATCTAATCTCATTACATGTCCTCAGCAGTATGAAAATGTAGATTCGCGGATATTTATGTGTATACCAAAATGCTTGTTATAAACACAAAAAAAGTAAGTAACAAATTAGGAAAAAGTTATGTGCACACAAAAAGTAAACCAGATCTTTGGATAAATGAGGAATGTTAGACTGGAATAGAGCCAATTGAATTGTAGAGGAATATATACATGTATGAAACTTTATTTGAATGATTTTTTTTCTTGGCGGACCTAAAAAAAAACGACCGAGAACTTATGAGAAAATAGTTGAGAGAATGTTTTTTTTCTCTAGAGTAGCTCATGCAGCGATGAGAAGAATCAAGAATTAGTCAAGCAAGATTAACAAAGAGCAGAGCAATTTGCCTACTGATTAACAGCTCCTTATCGTTTGTTCTGTATTTGCTGATTTTTACTTGCTGCAAAGGCTTGCATCATCTAAATGAATTCAAATCTCAAGATATTCAAAATAAAACTTCCATCCGTAACCGATTTGAACGTGATAATTCACACTAGCTTCGACTTACACGTGGTGGTATGAATCTTCCGCGTCGTATCTCGGGCAGAGTGCTATTATTGACAATATTCTGATTGTCAAATTGGTTATTATTTGATCCAACTGTTAATAGGCCAAGTGGAATGCCTGCGGTGAACGCTAATGCATTTGAGTTCATTGTTCGCTTTGAGACAGCTGTTGGATTATTTGATCGTTCATTATCCATTTCCATATCTTCAAGTTTTTGTGTCAAGGCCAGTTTTTGTTCGATCGCCATACGAAGCAGCGAGTTCAATGTTTTCTTTTCTTCTTCAGCCGCATGAACTTGCCGTTGTAGTTCATCGATTTGAGTGACATATTCATCACAACGCGCAGCAAACATTGCGCGTAACGACGCAAATGTAGCTGCGTCTTCTTTCAGCGATTTCAATTCATTACGTAATTTGAGCATTGTTTCCGTAACAATTAGTTTTTCATTTTCATATTTCGATTTCAAATTAGCTAATGCAACTTCCGCAGTTTGTTTATTGTTCTTTAGAACTGTACGTAATGTACCGATTTGTTCACGTTTAGTTGTTAGCAACGAACGTAATTTGATGATCTAAAAGAAAGTGTTTTGATTGTTGAGAAGTGAAGATTAGGATTTACTTGTTCTTGCAGATCGTTTGTGTCTGTGGAAAGCTCATTGTCATTGATAATGATTTCATTTGTTGTCGATTGTTCTTTTTGTTTGATTGAATCTAAAATTTTCTCAAATGACTGTTTCATCTGTTTAATTTGTTCTTGCAGAACGTTCAGAACTGATTCATTCATCGTTGGATCAATGATTTTGTTATTCGAATTGGTCAATTGCGCTTTTTTCAGTTGTTTCTCATTGAACGGAACATTCAAACCCACCGAAGTAAACATATATGCATGAATACTATCCAATTCTTCACTTAAGTTTATCTAAACACCAAACAGAGTGCTCGATTTTTCAATAACAAATCTTCTTGCTTACCAGATTATCATTTGTTTTCATGAATATGGTTTGGGTATCATTACACTGTTTCAGCATTACATTGAGATCTTGTTTTAGTTTAAATATTGTATTATCTTGTTCGTCGAGCTTCTTCTTCAATAGATCCTGATCGCCATTGAATAAATGTAAGTTTTTGTTGATAATTGAGTCAATTTGTTCGATGGAATCTAGTGAAGTATTGAGGAGATTGGTTGTATTCTCCGAATTCGAAGAATTCGAAAGAGGCTTATTCGGAAACATCATTTCGATAATATGTTGGATCTTATGTGAAAGTATATTGGTTTTCTCATTGATTGTGAGTAGTTCATTGTCTAGGGACGATTTTATCTGAGATAATTGTAAACATTCAAGTTCTAATTTGCGTATTTCATTACCATGGATTTCACTAGAAGGAAGAAAGGGTCATTGTCAGGTAAATGAGGTTTGTTGCAATCGTACCTGAAGAGATTTCCAACGGGTTGTTGTTCTTGTTGTTCATTACTTAACATATCCGTCGTGGAAGGAAGATGATCGTCTTCAATGTCATCGTCAACACAATTCGCCAAATAATCATTATCAGTATGTGCACTATTGAGCGTTAGACGTAGTGAATCTAAATTACGAAGAGATTCCTAAAAAAAAATGAGATATGAGTGAGAGGAGAGAATGAAAATTTGGTACTTGTTGAATGCGATAATCTAATTGTTGTTTGTAGATATGTTTTTGTTCGCGTTCATCGCGAAGATTGTTATGCAATTCTATCAGTTGAGATTCAGCAATTGATTTCAAAGATTCAAGTTCTTTCATCGTACGATATAGATCATCAATCTAGGATTGGAAAGAAGGTCAATGGTTGAACATAGTTCAATCGAATGGTATTTACATTTTCTTGCAATTGTTTATTTTCTACTTTCAATCCATCGTAATCGATTAAGTTATCGCGTAATCTTTGAACTTGTTGTTGTAATGTGACATTGTCTTCTTCGAGTTCGGCATTGGCATCGATCAGTCGTTGTTCTTGTCCTTTGCTTTCCTTCAATTCGTATTTCAGTTTAACTTTCATATCATCGAAAGCTCGAAGTTGTTCGGTTAACTCTTGCGATTTAACAAGAATCTTCTCGTTCTCGGTACACAATCGTTCATTGTCTTGTTTTAACAAACGTAATTCATGTTCATAGTGTGTGATTTCTTTCAAGAGATAATCTTCTCGCGTTTGCTTTTCATTTAATAAACTTTCTTCATTCGATTCACCTTTCAATGTTTCTTCGCGTTGATTGGCTTGGAATGTTTTCAGTTGAGTTTTCACTTGTTCGAATTCAATCTTCAGTTGAATGTGTTCATTTTCTAGCTCTTCGTGTTGCGCTTCGAGCACACTCTTCTCGTTGAGTAACGCTAAACCATATTCAGCAGCTTGCTTATTAGCAGAACGTAACTTAACTAGTTGAATATGAGGATCTTCATCGTCCGACGATGTCATAAATGAAACGTTATATTAAAAAAAAGATAAACTGAAATGGTTATTAAGAAAGAAAAGTGCGTATTTGTGATGACAATGAGTGATAAACGGAAATATTCAAGGACGTATGACAGATGGATAGTTGGAAGGATTTTTGTGACGTGATTAGGAAAGAGTATGCACATTCGAAATACAGGTAGATGTCCATTCGGTATTTATTGGATGACAGGTAAGGAAAAAGAGAAAAGATCAATCGAACGATAGAGAATGTGTGCATGCATGAACGTATGGGAAATTGCACTCTTCTGTTCAATAGAACAAATGAAGTTTATTGTAGATGTCACACTGAATAAAAGAGCTGTTTTTTTAACGAGAAAACAAATGTTTAGATTTGATTGTCAGATGAAATCGACGTAGATGCGTGAGACAAATGCTTGTTGAGAAATTGTTCTGTGCGTTCGGCGACTGTGTGAACATGTGTCATATGAAGATGATGTGGACCATCGATAAACATCGTTTCGAACTAAACAAAAAGTAAGTGACGAATATCGTTGGAAGTAAGATAAATGCTCACGTTCGGATTTCGTTCTTTAAAGTATTCGACTGCATGTTCTGCTCTTGGCCATTGTGGTTCCGTAGCACTTAGAATGTACAGAAGAGATTGTATTTAGGCATGTGTGATGACGAAAGCCTACCCAATGAAGAGAACAGGTGCTGTTGTGCCTTCAATCGAGTCTCGAGCCATATCGGAAGAGAATGGAACTAATGATAACTGTTTCGAAAAACAAACATGGTGCAATCGTCAACAATGTACGATTAAACTCACTATTTTCAATGCTTCATCACGAGTAAAATACACTCTGTTATCTACAGGAGAATTTCATAATGAATAAGAAAAAAGAATCGATGAGATACTCACTTGCATCTGTGCGAATAGACCGTTCGGTAAGCAATCGTGCAGCTTCATCCGTTATACCAGGTCTAGTTATTTTAGTTCTAAATCGATCAATAACAATACTTTTAGCAATTTGCGATGGACTCTTGCGCTTACAACTCGAATGCTTTTTCAAATGTCAAATTGACTTCGAAGTTTCTTGGTGGTTTTTGATGATTTTGTAAGCTTTTGTCGACACGATCGGCTTGTATACGAAAAAAGTTTTCTTTTGCTTTATTGATTTGAGGAATCGCATCGATTGCAATGAGACATGCAATCTCATTGGGATAACTTGCTGCATACTTGAAGTATGACATAGAAAATATTATTATCATTCATTAGAGCTAAAGCAAAAGATAGTTACGGTTATTCCGAGAAGTGCACCATAGCTATGACCAAGAATCACAATTTTTTCCTTATTCCAACCAAGATCTGCGTGGTTTGTTGTGAAACAACAAGGTGTCGAATCGGGAGATCAAAGTACTTACGCTGGATGATAGCACGAAGGTCTTGTAGATTATGCGCTTGTGAATAATCCAAACCTTTGGGTATATGACTTGAGAATCCATGGCCAGCGCGGTCGTATAAATAAAATTCGTAGTCTTAAAGTACAAATGAAATTGATTGTAGGCTTCGCTAACGATATTAATTCTACCTGGATGCCGATTTAAAAGTTCTTCTGTTAATGGTAATAGTGAATTTAAGTTATCAAGCCAGCCATGGATGCCGATTATTTTTGTTGTCGGTACTTCACTTGCCTGAATATCGGTACTATCAGATTTAACTAGAACACCAGTTAAAGTACCTCCCCATATGCATGGAATATCGAGTTTTGCTACAACCATAGATCTTTTCTACAATAATGTGATAAAACGAAACATCGGTAGGAAAAGTGAAATCTCTGTATTGGAATGAAATTATTTTTCTGTATTGAAAACAAACCAAGTACAGAATACGATCATACATATCTCGTTACAAAACGATATCACAGTTTACTTTTGTCGATGTTCAATGTCGATAATTGATAAAGATATTTTTTAAAATACCGTTCGATATGATCAGCAACTTCATGGACATGTGTCATATGTAAATGGTGTGGGCCATCGATAAGCACTATCTCGAACTAAACAACGATGGTTTTTAATCAAAAGAAATTCAAACAAGCGAGATATTCACCATTGGATTGTATTGTTGAAATAAGTCAATTATCTTCTGTGAACGAGGCCATGGCGGATTTGTAGCCCTTCAATAACAGAATTGAGTGTCTTCATGATGTTTTAAATAAGCTGCATACCCGATAAATAGAATAGGTGCTTTGGCAGCTTGAATTAGTTCTTTGGCACTATTTTCGGTAAATGCTTGAAGTGAAAGCTGACGAAAACATTGTGTTTTTCAACTACAACTGAATGTACTTACAACTTTCAAAGCTTCATCGCGAGTAAAATGCAGTTTGTTATCTGTAGAAAAAGCCTATTGAAACTGACGAGCAAGATTGTGTAGATACGCACTTGTATCTTTACGAACAGATCGTTCTATAAGAATTCGGGCAGCTTCATCTGTAATACCGGGTCTAGTACTTTTCGTTCTAAATCGATTGAAGATGAAATTTTCCGTCATTTTTATTTACTATTACTTACAACTCGAGTACTTTTTCGAATGTCAAATCGGTTTCGAAATTCCTTGATGGTTTTTGATGGAACTCCAAACTCATATCGAGCCGAGCGCCATATATTTCATATAGGTTTTCTGATGATGGTTCCGGCCGAGGAAGTGCATCGATCGCAACAATACATGACACTTCGTTCGGATAATTAGCTGCGTACTATGTGCAATATACGATAAATTAGTATTAAAAATAATATGTATCAATAAATCATACAATGACAGGCATTGTTGCACCGTAGCTGTGCCCGATAATCGAGAATTTTCCCTTGTTCCATCCGAGACCTATTCAGTACACAACATCGAAATACATACTATTTCAATATTATCTTTACTTCGAACTACCGTGCGAAGATCTTGCATATTGTGTATAGCAGAATAATCAAAACCTCGTGGAATATGACTCGAAAATCCATGACCAGCTCGATCATACAAGTAGATCTCATAGTCTAGTCATCAGAACGAAACCGAATGTGATTAGTTAGTTTTGTTAAAATAAGTCAGATCTAACTTGGATGTCGATGAATGAGAAGTTTTGCTAATGGTAAAAGTGAATTGAGATTGTCAAGCCATCCATGAATACAAAGGATCTTTGTAGTTGGAATTGATGTACGATTCTCCGATGAGGTAGTTTTGAGCAAAATACCAGCTAAAGTACCGCCCCACACACATTGTACATCATGTTTAGTTATATTCATTCTCAATTTCTAGAAACATAAAATCGTTAAAGTTTTAGAAGGCATTTGGAAAAACGCATTGCTTGTCAGATCTATTTCTTCTATTTTCGTTACAAACGCATTACATGCAGAAATAGAAAAGCGGTGTAACAATTATTCCTTCAAATGTTTTTGAAAATACTGTTCAATTCGATCGGAGACAGTATCGACGTGTGTCATATGAAAGTGGTGAGGTCCATCCACTAGAAACACTTCAAACTAGAAGGGAGATCTCCAAAATAAAATACACAAAATCATCATCTATTTACGTTTGGATTATGTGATTGTAGTAACGGAATCAAATTGTTACTGGTCGGCCATTGAGGCTCTGTTGTGCTAGAAGAATAGGTAGAACATACAAATGTATCATTCGATACAAGTTAATTAGATGTACCCTAGAAAAAGAATTGGTGCTGGAATACGTTCAATTGCTTTTGTCACTATCTCATGACTAATCGGCGTGATTTGCAACTTAGGAGGAGAGAAAACACAATTCAATTCTTGTAGTGATAAAGATCATTAACTAACATTGTTTAATCCGCCATCACGTGTAAAATAAAGTTTTTGATCTAAAGCATATGATTAAGTAAATGATACAGCGTTTATGTTCTGTTTTACCTGCATCTTGCCGAACGGATCGCTCGACCAATAGATTTGCAGATTGATCATCGATACCATTTCTCGAACTTTTAATTCTATCTCAAACGAAATGAAAACAAACTGGATCAAATGTACATATTTTATCCAAACTACTCACAATTCCACAGCCTTTTCATGTGTTAAGTGACCTTTATATGTTTTCGGCGGTTGATTAAAATATTGTAAATTATTTTCAATACGAGTAGCGATTGATTTCCATGTTTTCTCTGATGAATAATCGCTTCCCGCAAATGGTTCAAGAACTGCAAGCGATGCAATTTCTTTTGGATAGGCTGCGGCATACTGAAATCACGAAGTAAAACAGCAGAGTATCAATATGTTCAGTCTTACTATTAACGCTAGGGTTCCTCCATAACTATGTCCAATTATCGAGTATTTCTCTTTATTCCAACCGAGATCTATAATGATAATTGACAAAGATTCTCACAGTTGAAGAGCCGGAACTAACTTTGAATAATAGTGCGTAAGTCTAAGAGATTAGACGCAAACGAATAATCAGTTCCTCGTGGAAAATGACTAGAAAATCCATGACCAGCTCGATCATAGAGACAGACTTCGTAGTCTACAATGAAGCACTTGGATTGATATTAAATGGCAAATCAATTAGTGAATTTTTACTCAGTTGCTGATCTACCAGTCTTCTCGCTATTGGAAATAATGAATTAATATTATCAAGCCATCCGTGAATACCAATGATCTTCTTCGTCGGCTGTGAGATTGCTGATGGAACGTGCTTTTTGAGCAAAATACAAGCCAAATGGCCACCCCAGGCACATGAAATATTGATCTTCTTTGTTATCATCAACAAGTTTATCTAGAGTCAGAACGAGAAAAGTGCAGTGAGCAATGTTTTGAAGATCCAAGGTAAAAAATTACAAAAATGCAATGAAAATAGTAACATTTATTGTGTACGAAAACAAATAAAATTCTTACAATAAAAACAATCATAATTTACTGTTTTCCACGATTAATGTCGATGATTGATGTAGATATTTACCGAAATGTTGTTCAATTCGCTCAACGACTTCATGCACTTGTGTCATATGCAAATGATGTGGACCATCCATATATGTCATTTCAAACTAAACTTTTCCATACGAATTTTTCGCTCAGTTCGGTGTAAAATGTACGTACGCGTGGATAATGTTGTTGATAATAGGAAATACCCAAGTGCGCATTCGGCCATTGAGGGTTATTAGTACTGTAAGAAAGAAATGAAGTTTCTTGCATTAGTCTTGCATTTTAAAACGTACCCAATAAAAAGTAAATATGCTTTCATATTTCTAAGTACATCCGCAAAGATGTCTTCAGTATAAGGAAACATAAGCTTCTTCAAAGAAGTTCACACTATTTTGCTATGAGTAGTTCAAGAGCAACTAACCTTTCTCAATACTTCGTCACGAGTTAACTGTAATCGATTATCTTTGAAGAAAAATGAATATTTTTATTCAAAATAAATCAGAAAGGTACTCACGTTCGTCCATCCGAATAGATCGTTCTGCTAACAATCGAGCAGCTTCATCCGTGATGCCCGGTCTGGTACTTTTTATACTAAAACTGAAGACATGATCGAGTTGTTGATCTCAAATGTTTACTGACGATTCAACGACTTTGTCAAATGTCAATTCTCCCTCATAGGCTTTCGTTGAATCACTGAAGAATTTTATATCATAATCAACAGTTGCTGCAATCGTCTTCCAATAGATTTTTGCTGGTACCATCGAACGTAACACAGCATCAATAGCAACGAGACATGATATTTCATTCGGATAACTAGCTGCGTACTAAATCCAACATGCAACAAATTATTCAACAAAATATCCACTGTACATAGTACTCACAATAATTCCAAGTATAGCTCCATAGCTATGACCAATGATTGAATATTTTTCCTTGTTCCATCCGAGACCTATTCAGTACACAACATCGAAATACATACTATTTCATTATTATCTTTACTTCGAACTACCGTGCGAAGATCTTGCATATTGTGTATAGCAGAATAATCAAAACCTCGTGGAATATGACTCGAAAATCCATGACCAGCTCGATCATACAAGTAGATCTCATAGTCTAGTCATCAGAACGAAACCGAATGTGATTAGTTAGTTTTGTTAAAATAAGTCAGATCTAACTTGGATGTCGATGAATGAGAAGTTTTGCTAATGGTAAAAGTGAATTGAGATTGTCAAGCCATCCATGAATACAAAGGATCTTTGTAGTTGGAATTGATGTACGATTCTCCGATGAGGTAGTTTTGAGCAAAATACCAGCTAAAGTACCGCCCCACACACATGTAATGTTGAGTTCGGTTAAAGCTACTGACATTCTCTACAAACATTAACAAGATAACAATACTTTTTGAACTTTTTTTCAAAAATAGACACAAACTGTGTCAAATTCTTTTGCTAAAGGTGAAACATATTTACTCTTCATCTCTATGAGTGTTATTCAAATATTTTCGATAAAAGTACGTACTCTCTCGCAAGAAACCAACAAAAGACAAGCACGATATCACTAGACAAACATGTACTTGTCAAAACATCAAAGCATTCATTTGTACGCATTGAACATTATCATGAATTTCTTCCTTCTATATTCTATGTTTAAAAAAACCGAAGACAATTGTGAAATACATATTCATTATTCTCTTTAACAACAGACAAAATCAAAACGAATACAACATAAAATAAAACTAAACCCAAAATGAACATCTCTCTTCATCAAAATTCTTATATCTGACATATGGAAAAAAAACACAGTATATAAAAAAACGAACAAGCATATAGTCGAAAAATACTGTTCTACAATAATATGATAGACAAAAAAAAACTCGTTTACCTGATTTATCTTAAGTTTTTGAACACTAACTAACATAATCTTAGATTGTTATACTGATGGATTATGGTCGCGAAAAAGAACGTCAGCACATCGATAAAGAAATAACAGATCACCCTAGAAAACAAATGTTGATCAGCAGTTGTTCAGGAAAGTGAATCATTCTTACATTATGACGCCAAATGCCCGGTCGTTTTGTATGATAAAGTTTCGCTAATTCATAGACATTTAAAATTCCTTCATTATCGATTTGATTACTCATCGTATGCAATGCACAGAAGGTAGCTAAATAAACATATTTGAACCGAATGTAGATCGAAAGTGTAACTTACCAGCTCGGTAACCGCCGAAAAGATCGTGAACAACGATTGGATTGTCGGTTCGAAGGGTTTTGACAAGATTGATCAGATTGAACGATGTTTTGATCGGTGAACACGAATCCGGCCAATAGGTATTCGAAATTTGCCGAACTCGAACTTGAGAATGTTCTTTCGAGAAAGATTTCAATAGAAAATCCCGATAGATATATTCACATTCGAATTGTTCGTCGATTAAGTAGACATTGAATTGTCCACAATCAATGATTTGGTTCGTGGATGGCCAGAAATCATGTACATCAGACTAAATCATCGGAAAAAAAGTTAGTTTGTCAAATCCAACGGCGAAAACATGTCCTACTTGAGATTTTTCATCACCATACAAAGAGATGATAATATTCGCGTTTGTATGCCAGATCATTTGCCAAAAATCAATTCGTGTATTAGTCATCGGATGTTGTGTGATGATAAATTCATCAACACAATGATAACCCTGAACAGAAAGAAAACGATCGTATAAGATTTCTTAAAGATTTCATTGGTTTTACATGAATATATGATGCATTGATATATCCTCCATCTTTTTGTCGTTTATCAGCAGTCGGAAGTGTCACTCGACATGAATCAATTGGTAAAATGGCTTGGGTTCGATTTTTCGATAGGTTTTCCTTCATGCGTCCAACAGTTAATTGTTGTTCATTAGTTTGTGTTGAAATCAATTGAAATTGCTTTTCAATTCGTGTTAAATTCAACGTTTTATCATAATAGTTCAACATTTCAATAACTGAATGGTAGTTTTGTTCATTCAGATTCAAATCAGCACAACCAATATTTTCCAACTGAACTGCTTCGAGAAGAACATCGTAGATGAACGTAAATTGTTCTTCGGTTTGCACAAGAAAGTTTCGCTGTTGACGAATATGTTTCAGAAACGAAGGAATATTCAACGATTGTTGTTCAATGATCTTTTTCAACATCGTATCAATCATAATATACGTTCCGGTCCGGCCAACGCCAGCCGAACAATGAACAACTATCGGACCACCAGTTGCAGGATTGCATGAGGATGAATGTCGAATAAAAGAAAGCACGGGTAAGGTGAACAATGGCACACCATGATCAGGCCAATCAGTATAATGAAAATGGTGAATTAAACGTTCGGAATCGATGAACTAAGTTTTGAGAAACAAAAGAACCGACGAGACTTTTGTCATTTGAACGTGTCAAAATAACAAGTCATATGAAACCAATGATTTCATATCCTTGATGTATCGGATATCAATTATCAATAGCTTCTCTTCTTACAACTCATAAATAACTCAGAGATCTCTCCGAATTCTTAGCAATTAACTGTCTGCATACCTGTCCATTGACTTTACATCGAATTGTAAACATTCGTTTGACATAATATGCCAGTGAAGTCATATTTATCAAGCAAACTTCGATATTTCCATACATTTCAGTGCCTTCAAACGGCCAATACACATCGCATTTAACCTGCAATGTAATCATTCACATTCCAGATGATATCTACAACTGCACTTACTCGTCCGCTCTCTTTTATATTCGTGATCATTACTATTACACTAACATTTTCTTCCCATATCATCCGCCTAGAAAATGCCCTACATAAACAAACATTCAACCATCGAGTAGATTCATCTACCAAAAATCATTGATTGTATTCATCATCGGTCCTTGAGTTGCAATATAAGCATTTGTTTTCTTATAACCCTAAATGGGAAAACAAGTTTATTTCAATCGGGTTCAACATTCCGAAATTGATTTACATCAACATAGTTTGCATTGATATAATTTCCCCTCCCATCTGTTTCATTACTTGATAATTTAACTCGTGAGTGATCGTCTAAACAAAGGAATGTCCTGTTTCTAAGATCTTGATTGTGTTTTCGAATGTTTACATGTTAGAATATTGATGTAGCGATTTTTTGATTTATTGATATCGATTTGAGAAGTATCGGAAGGAAATTTATAAGTTTTGCATGCTTCACAAATATCCTAGAAGCACAGAAAAACATAACGATGAAGATATTTTATAAATCGTTACTTCAAATAATTGAATAAACCCAAAATCATTATCTTTATGAAGACTGGCAACATGTGCTGGAAATTGATTGAGTGAAATCGACATGGAATCAAATTCTTCTACAGAAATTAAACTTTCGACATCGATTCAAGCAATTGTATGAAGTTTACCATGATTGTTTCGGATCGGTGAATGATTCATTTGTGTCGTTATTGACCTTGAATGATGATTTTTACGAAACGAATATGCATAGCGATGAAGGAAACGACGACAATTAGGTAATAAACCTCTGTATTAGCACAAATGAAAACTACAGTTGTCCTCTCTTCGAGAATTTCTTACTTTTGATAGGCAATAACAAATGCTACTATTGTCAAACATATGATTAATACAACCAGAACGATAATGATACTGTTTAATAGTAGATTACTTTGCTTGATTGTGACTAAAACGAACGAATCACGTGAAATGTGACGAGAAAAAGAATGCAAACCTATTCGATTCATGGAACATAATATGGAAATATTCAGACGATCATTGAGATCCCCATCGATGAGTGTATTTTCCACAATGATGGAATAATTCTCTTTTACGTCAGTTATGTCAGCTGTGGTATACTAGAAAAAGACGAGAACATCATATATAATCGTATGAAAACAATTATCTCGACAAGTGGTCGCTTTTCAAATTCGGAAATTGAATATCTCAAGTACGCGACACATATATAAAAGATGCAAAACTGTCAAAGATAGTGATGAACAAGCCGATGAGTTTCTTACTTTCCGAATGTCGTGAATAGACTTTTTGACAATGTGATTTCGATTGATTCGATAGAAAATCGAAGTCGGTTGTAATGTGATTAGATCTTTGTGATTATTGTAGAGTTGCATATACATTGTTAAATGGTAAACGTGAGACTTTTTAGTTGACTTCATTGAGCAAGTTAATGGAGAATATATTGGATAGAAATCTTCACAAGAATTCAATATCGAGCCGAGATATTCAGACTGGTTGGTTGAAATAGTTAATTTCATTTTGTATCGCGAAATATCGCTCTTGATTTGATAAATAAACGAATTCGATGTTTTTATAATAGGTAAACGCTGCGGGATCGCATAGAGATTATCGGTCAGAATCAACTGATCTTGATGATCATAAATTTTCAAATTGTAAATATGATTTCGATTGTAAAGTCTCGTCCGATTGAATTCAATCAATAAGAATTGTTGATTGAGACGATAACATGCAATCGATTGATCAATTAGATAAGGGTCAATAATTTGATGTGATGATATTTTCTCATTGGAAGTTAAAGATAACGTTCGACCGGTTATTGTCGTTGTTTGACTAGAACGTTTCCAGATATCAACAACGGATATATCAATCGTGTAGATGGTATTCGGATGCAAAGAATAAAACGTATAATTCGACAAAGTGCGATTGACGAAACTACGATGTTGAATCGTATGATGATTTCTACACGGAACGAAAGAAAATCAAAATCATATGATGGATTGTTTTCCAGTCTTACTTAAGAATCAATTCATAATAAGTGATATTCGCGTTTTGATTGTAACTATCATCGTTCCATTGAACAGTTAAATGTGTATGTGTTGTATCAGATACTGACAGATGTCGAATAGGTAATGGCCGATCTAGAAAATGTGCACGAAAGTGAATAAGATACGCTGATCGATGACAACATGTAACTTTGATCTTTTTGTCTATTGACTTCCTCACTCTCCTTAATGTAATATTTAATCAAGAAGAGGAAATGACAATCAATAAATCATATCGACTTCGAATATCATTCTGTATCTCGTCTCTCATCTACTACTAATGCCGCTTTTGACATTTCATATATTCATTATAGTTCTATTTGTCAAATATCACATTTTTCATTTATAGAACATCATGAATTCTTCCTGATTATATATACAATAGATTCACAATTAAACTTCGACTCCACTTCCATACTTAAACATTTCACACGATGGCCAAAACGGTTTCTTACCGTAGATACGCAGAATAAATTTGTAGTTATCATTGTTTGTAACAGGTACGATACTGGAACAGATTAGTTCACGATGAAATGGTTGTAGACCATGAATACGATAGTATCGCCCACGATGTTGCTCGTATCGCTGTTGAAGAGCATCATACCATTGAATATCTGCGCCGCGCGATGAATTCAATGGACAGCGAACGACTGCGGCATTTGTCATCGGATTGAGAAAGATCGCTTGATTGATTTCATGGAGAATTATTGAAGAATAAAGTGAAATTTGCAGAAATAAACAGATGAAAATAAAGATAAGATTTCTAACAGATCTTTCGCTAAATATCTGGCTCATTCTAAAACAGAAAAAAAGGAGAAGTCGGCGTTTTTTTACATTGAAAGAAGAAACCTCGAAAATAAACATAGAATAGAACTATCGAGTAGGTAATTGACATTACATTCTCATTGGTTTATTTCTCTACTCAATTGCTAACGATATTCAATAACGCCATCTAACATCGAAGGAAGAAATCGTGTTATAAGACACATTGAAAATGAATTCTCTACTGAAAATTCATAAAACTCTTTTTATGGGTACTTATAGAACAATTAATATCTATTTTTCCTCTATTATTTTCCACAAAACTGACATTGACGATTGCCCGAGATTTTTCATCATAATGACAAACAGAAAACGACGACCTAAACCTAAATGTTTGCATCATTTGTCACTCGAAACCATCTCATTTGTTCGTCATTGTCGATCGAAGTCAAAACTCAATGACTCGTAGATTATTCAAATTCTCTCCATGCCTTCCATACACTAAACAGATCCGAGCAAACTTGAAATATTAATTAAAAATGCATGTAAGAAATCAAAGAGAGGTCAGAGGTTCGTCGATCATCATGTCTTGGCAAGACAAAAGGTCAACTTTCTATTTCCGAATGTATGTTACACTTGTTATTGCTGTTTGTTTCTTTCATCGACACATAATCTTGTTGAGTCTTTGTAACGCTCTATTAAAATTATTAAGATAAGTTGCTATTCGAAGTCGTCCAGCTTTGTAATAATCAATTAATTTTACACATCATATTAGATAAACAATATCATTGGTTTCTAGAGCACGGAAATCTATTCGAGAAGTTCTTTTCTCTTTTCTTCGTCTCTCAAACGAGAAGATATAAAATAATTAGTATTGTCATGATAAGCAATGTCATTAGACAAGATGTCTAACACGGAGAGAAACGACGAGCGAAAGGGAAATTGTACAAAAAAGAAAGTAACAGAACGTATTCTCGATGACGGCAACAAAAAAGCAATGCAGGTTTTTTGTTCTATCAATACTTCATACTTTGTTTTTTCTAGTAGGAGACAAGAAGAAGAAGATATTAGTCGTTATGTCGTTTTTCCTGTACGTTATTGAAAAGGAGAAAAAGAAAAAATATCTATCAAGATGCGACACGAAGAGATGCTCCTATCGCACACTCGTCTTTTGTACAAGAATCTAGAGAGAAGAGGAGAGGAGAGAGAAGTAGATAGAGAGAGAGAAAAAAATATTCCGATTGAGTCTGACAGAACTGGCACATAGATGGATGAGGCCGTTAGGACAGCTAACTGCACCACATGTTGAGTGTCGTCTTTAGGTTTTTTAGTCAGGAATAAACCAAGCGAGAGATCGATGATATCCAGCTATGATTTGTTTTTTTGCACACCAACCGTTCGTTCGTTCGTTCGTTTTCTCCTCCTTCTTCTTATTTATATTATTGTGCTTTCATTTTAGACGAAGAATTAGTTGTAGTAGCATCTATAAGACAATCTTCTTATCTACAAATTACGATTGCTCGTTGCAATAATGAGGTAGGTGAAAATCAACTTCGAAGACCATCGAATTGTTGAAACGATGAATGAGTTCGACACTCGAGGATATTTGTCTTCGGAAAAACGATTATCTCACTGAATGAATAGGCTTCGATTATAGACAGACGCATATCGTGGAGAGTACTTAATGAGTCATTTCATGCTGAGTAAAGGACTTTTTTGCTCATTGTTATCTTTTAGTGTATGTACAAAATGTACAAACGCATTTCCAGCAGGATCTCGTAAGAAGTCAAGTTTTTCCTAATGCATTTCTCATTTGAAATTCTTTCTAAAGGTATCACTGAGTTTGATGGCAAACAGTACCACGTATGTCCATCGTCTTGAAAGTTCAGCGAGAAGAAATCAATGTGTGCCTCTGTTTCTGTCTTTCTAGCCGGAATGTTTTGCTTGTGCTGATTGTCAAAAAGCAATTACATCACAATTCTATCCATTCAATAATGATTATCTATGTGCGGCATGTCATGAAACACGTTTTCCACGCAAACGTTGCGCTAAATGTGGTTCAGTGATTACATCGGCTGGTATTACATTTGCTGGTGCGTCGTATCATGCGACTTGTTTCGCATGTATGTAAAACTTTTCTTTACGATCATGATCGGACGAGAGAATCTAATTGTTATGTGCATCTCTTCAGGTGTAACATGTAAACAACCGATATCAGCTCAATCAAAAATCTCTTTGGTCGATGGTCAACCGTGTTGTGTGAATTGTTATGAAGATAAACACGCAAAACGATGTAGTCGCTGTCAGAAAGCCATACTTGCTGATGTTGAATATCTGGAATTCGAAGATAAATATTGGCATAAAGAATGTTTCACATGTTCAAAGTGTCAGGTAAGAAGAACGATATTTCGTCGCGAAAAACATCGATTTACTTGTTTTGTCTAGAAATGTATTGCTGAGGAAAGTTTCTATCAAGATGGAAATTTAATATTGTGCAAAGATTGCATTTAATTCTCTTCTGGTCAATGAAATCAAACATTTTTATTTGTTTTTTTTTCTTCTCTTTTTATCTATGTGTGTGTGTGTGTGCTTTGACAAAATTTATCTTGCTTCTACCATTTGCCTTTCTTCTTTTCTCCCCTGATTATATTTTATTTTTCAAAAGTTTTCTCTTCGCTTCATTATAATTATTATTTTGGAATATAAGATCGAGTTCACATTCAACACAGAATCGATTCATTCGTGTTTTCGGCATGTAAATCAATCCGTCTGCTCCGATAGTCGAATATAAATTCTGTGGGCGAGTATAAGTGATAGTTGTATAAACAGTTGATCAGAACATTTGTTAAAAAAAAATGTCCCATGGAAAAATGTCATCGGACGACATTAATACGAGGCTGTTGTAATTCAATGTCAGTTGTAGAAATCTGTTGTCAACACTCATGTATACTCTGTATTTAGATGACATTGCCAAGCATTAGGCTATTTTCTATCAAATCAATGGAAATGAAAATATCTTATATCAATGATAAATAAACAAAATCGGAATAAAACCTTCGGGAATGAGGAATAGCTGCGAGATTTTCGTGTATGCAACGAATAAAAACTATCATTTGCTTGTCAAGTTCGATTTTGTCCGACATATTTCAAAGATCAATAGAAAAATTCCTGCTTATCTGTCAATGACAACATCGATAAGTATCAAAATCCGTACGCATTGCTTATCTTAAGTCGCGTTTATAAGGGAGAATCCAACGGTTGATGTATTTCTAAAAAAATCCGATTTGATATATTTTTGATTCTATCTGATTAGTTTGAATACACATGCACAAGAAAGAAAAGAAAATGAAACGATTGTCAAATTCACCAACTAGCAAAATAAATAAATTAAATTCCATCTGTCATACTACGAGTTGTATAAATAGACTCTTCTCGCGGAACTAATCCGTTTGTTTCTTCGCATTTATTAAGTGATACTGTTGGGACAAACCAATTTTCGACTAGAGTATACGATCCATCATCATGATTAACATTGGGAGACTTTTCATAAGTTATATTCCTGTGTAATAGTTTGCCGGAGTAATTGTTTAACAATAGATGAGCTAATTCGTCTCGTAACATGATTGAACGTTCAATTGGAATATAAAAATAATCATCACAATAACTAACCGCCAGACCCATTTTTCTTGCTTGTTTGGCTAGAACAAGACGTTGCAGCTGATCGAAGGGTTGACATGATATGAGTTTATCATCGAGTGGAAATGTACATTGACATGCGATATTAGCGGGATCAGTGAAGTTCGAAATGATCTTCAAGAATTGTCTACCAATTAGTTCAATTTGAAAGAGACGTATTAGTTTTAATGGACCAATTAGTGTTAAGATGCGTCCACCTTGATTTAACTTCGATATTAAAGTGAAATTTAATCCGATCTCAAGCTGCTTATTATGTTCATTAACTGAGTTTAAGAGATTTTCGATTTCGTTTACTAAGCGATCGATCTGATAGAATTTTGCTTCGGAACAGAGCTGTTTCAATTCCTGGAACTGCTCGGGTAAACATAATTTATGATCGCGAAAGTAATTTAATATGTAGCGAAAATAGACACCATCACGATCAATAAAATAATGCCCGTTGTGATCCAATCGTGTTGTTGTTTGATTGCGAATGATTAAAGCTAGGAGACATTGCTCGTCAACATTTTCATTGATTGTTGAACGTGTGGTGGAATAAACATGTCCACCGATATTGAAGGTGACGATGTCATCGACGAAATTGTCGGCTTTGGAATCTGTACATTGAAGTGCTAATGACGAGACGGAGAGACTTCGGGGAGCGGGAACCGGCGGCGATGGTGACGGCATTCTGAAAATATTTCTAGAATAATGGCAAACACAGACAGTGAGGAAAAGAAGAAGAAGAAGAACGACAACCGGGCTCCTTTTCTTTCTTTTTCTCGGTTTCTCTTTTTCTTCTTGTTGTTTTTTTCTGTTGTCGTCTTCTGCTTTTTCTGATGGGACTACGAAAAGTCCCGCTGGTAGCAATTAGAGAAGGCCATAGTCGTCATTTTTTTTTCTTCTCTTGTTCTTCTGAAAAATCTGCAATCGTTCGAGATTGATAGTTATCAGAATAGTAGAACAGAAAAACAAATGAACGAGATAGGAGGGAGAAAAAAGGAAAGAAACGAAGAAGAAGTTCGATAGAACTTCGGCAATTCAATAATCTGTACACTAATAAACGAGAAAATTACACAACATGTCGTTTCCTTCTGGATGCTAACGATTAAATGATACTTAGAAGCGAAACTCCAGACAATAGATAACTTGCATAATCCTTTCTAAACGAAGACGACGTTTCTTACGAAGATGCTAAGTGAATCGTAAATAATGCTCGAATGCCTAAACATATACATCGTATAAACTGACTTTTA